ACCATTTTGGGCACTTTTGACGACTTTTTCATTGTTCCAAAAACCAATCAAATTTGCTCTAAGATGAAAGATATTAGTCTTAGGAAGACATTTTTAGCATTTTAAGACAGTTTTGGAACAGTTCAAAATGTCGTCAAAATCGACCAAAATTGTAAGGGGTAAGCCTTACATTTTGGTCAATTTTGACGACTTTTCCAATATTTTTAAAACCAACCAAATATGCTCTAAAATGAAAGATATTAGTCTTAGGAAGGCATTTTTAGCGTTTTAAGACAGTTTGGAACAGTTCAAAAAGTCGTCAAAATTGAGCAAATGGTAAGGGGTAAGCCTTACCATTTTTGGCAATTTTGACGACTTTTTCAATATTCCTAAAACCAACCAAATATGCTCTAAAATGAAAGATATTAGTCTTAGGAAGCTATTTTTAGCATTTTAAAACAGTTTTTAGCAGTTCAAAAAGTCGTCAGAATTGACTAAAATAGTAAGGGGTAAGCCTTACCATTTTGGGCAATTTTGACGACTTTTTCAATATTCCTAAAACCAACAAAATATGCTCCAAGATGAAAGATATTAGTATTAGGAAGCCATTTTTAGCATTTTTAAAACAGTTTTTTAGCAGTTCAAAAAGTCGTCAAAATTGACCAAAATTGTTAGTGGTAAGCCTTGGCGACTTTTTCAATTGTTCCAGAAACCAACTAAATATGCTCTAAAATGAAAATATTAATGTAGGTAGCCATTTTTAGCATTTTAAAACAGTTTTAGAGTAGTTCAAAAAGTCGTCAAAATTGTATAAGCCTTACATTTTGGGCAATTTTGACGACTCTTTCAATATTCATAAAACCAACCTAAAATGCTCCAAAATGGAAGATATTAGTCTTAGAAAGTCATTTTTAGCATTTTAAAACAGTTTTTGAGCAATTCAAAAAGTCGTCAAAATTGTCCAAAATGGTAAGGGGTAAGCCTTACCATTTTGGGCAATTTTGACGACTTTTCAATATTCTAAAACCAATCAAATATGCTCTAAAATGAAATATATTAGTCTTAGGAAGCCATTTTTAGCATTTTAAAACAGTTTTTAGCAGTTCAAAAAGTCGTCAAAATTGACTAAAATAGTAAGGGGTAAGCCTTACCATTTTGGGCAATTTTGACGACTTTTTCAATATTTCTAAAACCAACCAAATATGCTCTAAAATGAAATATATTAGTCTTAGGAAGCCATTTTTAGCATTTTAAAACAGTTTTTAGCAGTTCAAAAAGTCGTCAAAATTGACTAAAATGTAAGGGGTAAGCCTTACCATTTTGGGCAATTTTGACGACTTTTTCAATATTTCTAAAACCAACCAAATATGCTCTAAAATGAAAGATATTATTCTTAGGAAGCCATTCTTAGCATTTTTAAAACAGTTTTTTAGCAGTTCAAAAAGTCGTCAAAATTGTGTAAGCCTTACATTTTGGTCAATTTTGACGACTTTTTCAATAATTTTAAAACCAACCAAATATGCTCTAAAATGAAAGATATTAGTCTTAGGAAGGCATTTTTAGCATTTTTAAAACAGTTTTTGAGCAATTCAAAAAAGTCATCGAAATTGACCTAAATGGTAAGGGGTGAGACTTACCATGTTGGTCGATTTTGGCGACTTTTTCATTGTTCCAAAAACCAACTAAATATGCTCTAAAATGAAAGATATTAGTCTTAGGAAGGCATTTTTAGCATTTTAAGACACTTTTTGAACAGTTCAAAAAGTCGTCAAAATTGACCAAAATGGTAAGGGGTAAGCCTTACCATTTTGGGCAATTTTTACAACTTTTTCAATATTCCCAAAACCAACCAAATATGCTCTAAAATGAAAGATAATAGTCTAGGAAGCCATTTTTAGCATTTTTAAAACAGTTTTTAGCGGTTGAAAAAGTCGTCAAAATTGATCAAAATGGTAAGGGTAAGCCTTACCATTTTGGTCAATTTTGACGACACTTTCAATATTCCAAAAACCAACAAAATATGCTCTAAAATGAAACATAGTATCCTTAGGAAGCCATTTTAGCACTTAAGACAGTTTTTGAACAATTCAAAAAGTCGTCAAAATTGACCAAAATGGTAAGGGGTTAGTCTTACCATGTTGGTGGATTTTGGCGACTTTTTCAATGTTGCATAATTAACCAAATATGCTCTAAAATGAAAGATATTAGTCTCAGGAGGCCATTTTTAGCATTTTAAAACAGTTTTTGAGCAGTTCAAAAAGTCGTCAAAATTGACCAAAATGTAAGGGGTAAACCTTACCATTTTGGTGAAAATTGACGACTTTTTCAATGTTCCAAAAACCAACCAAATATGCTCTAAAATGAAAGATATTAGTCTTAGGAAGTCATTTTTAGCATTTTAAGACACTTTGAACAGTTCAAAAAGTCGTCAAAATTGACCTAAATGGTAAGGGGTAAGCCTTACCATTTCGGTCGATTTTTGCGACTTTTTCATGGTTCCAAAAACCAACCAAATATGCTGTAAAATGAACGATATTAGTCTTAGGCAGGCATTTCTATTATTTTAAGACAGTTTTGGAATAGTTCAAAAAGTCGTCAAAATTGACCAAAATCGTAAGGGGTAGGCCTTACCATTTTGGGAATTTTGACAACTTTTTCAATATTTTAAAAAACAAGCAAATATGCTCTAAAAATAAAGATATCAGTCTTAGGAAGCCATTTTTGAATTTTAAGACAGTTTTTGAACAATTCAAAAAGTCGTCAAAATTGACCAAAATGGTAAGGGGTAAGCCTTAACATTTTGGTCAAAATTGATGACTTTTTCAATGTTCCAAAAACCAACCAAATATGCTCTAAAATGAAAGATATTCGTCTTATAAAGCCATTTTTAGCATTTTAAAACAGTTTTTGAGCAGTTCAAAAAGTCGTCAAAATTGACCAAAATAGTAAGGGTAAGCCTTACCATTTTGGGCAATTTTGACGACTTTTATAATATTTTTAAAACCAACCAAATATGCTCTAAAAGGAAAGATATTAGTCTTAGAAAGCCATTTTTAGCATTTTTAAAACAGTTTTTAGCAGTTCAAAAAGTCGTCAAAATTGACCAAAATGGTCAAATACATCTTACGAAGATATTTCGTTCCTGAGCATAATTTGTTGGTTTTTCGAAAATTGAAAAGTTCATCAAAATCGGCTAAAATGGTATAGGGTCAAGGGGTATCCTTACCATTTTGGCCAAAATTGAAGATTTCCAAAGTTTTCAAATATGTCCTAATTTGCTGAAAACGGCTTCAAATATTTGTTTAGACCAGTTTATTTCGTATTTTAGCATATTTGCTTGGTTTTTTGAAAATTGAAAAATTCATCAAAATCGGCGAAAATGGTAAAGGGCCAATACCCTTACAATTTTGGCCAAAATTGGCGATTTTCGAAAATTTTTAAAAATGTCTCAAATGCGACAATAACCGGTCTCTATTAGAAAAGGCTGAGGGTGTATGCAGTCGTTCAAGCATTAAATTTTTTACGGCGAACGTGAAACACATACGGCAAAGCTGAATTAGCTGTTTTTCTAAATTCTAAATACATCAGAAATAGCCTATTGCTTTCTTACATTTCTGCTGAACATCACAAGTTTTATGCAGAACTTTTTAATTTAGATAATTTGAAAAAATTAGAAAAGTAGTACGGTGGCGCATAGGTGTCACGGCAACGGTTTGAAAGTACAAGGCACAGCATTTATATTGCACGGCAACATCGGCATTGAATGTTCACGGAAACTTTTAAAACCAACGGCACCATCAAAAGTTCGCGGCAAAAATAGAATTTCTCACGGCGACTTTTAAAATCCATGGCAACATTAAAAGTTCGCGGCAAAAATGTAGAATTCCTCACGGCGGAAGTGGAATGCTATTCTTCCTGGAAATTAATCTAGTTACCAGGTTCCTTATTTAGTTATTTTATCAATGATGACAATCAAAATGGCCGCAAAAGAGGAAGAAAACGTGTTGTAAGTTTCTACATAATGACTTGAATCTGACTTGAATGTACTACCACCTTCCCCGTTTCAACTAATTTTGAAACAAGAAAAATTGCCAGAACAGCATTCTAAAATTGGTAAGACTGCAATGTTCGGTACTTTGGTTGCAAAAAGCGTCGCCGTGGGAACTTGGCAAATTTTGTATATTTGAATTACTAATCATCGATAGCTATAACCGCCATTTTGATTGTTAACGGATGGATTGTTAAGTAAAATAAGGAACCTGGTAACTAGATTAATTTCCAGGAAGAATAGCATTCCACTTCCGCCGTGAGACATTCTACATTTTTGCCGCGAACTTTTAATGTTGCCGTGGATTTCAAAAGTTGCCGTGAGTTATTCTATTGTTGCCGCGAACTTTTGATGTTGCCGCTGGTTTTAAAAGTTTTCGGGAGCATTCAATGCCGATGTTGCCAGGCAATATAAATGCTGTGCCCTGTACTTTTCAAACCGTTGCCGTGACACCTATGGGCCACCGTAGCCGTAGTACGAAAATTCTAATTGTTTAGCTCTCTAGTGCAGTAATGCCTGATAATTCTGGCACTTAAAAAGGACAGAGAAGGTAAGATAGGTAAGGAAGTAACAAGATATTATTAAGGTGTAAATATACTCCGAATTTTACATCATTTAAAGAATAATCTTATCGGACAATTATTTGAAAGAAATTTGAAATTTTTTCAACAAGAAATTCCACCGTGCTTATTGTATTTCAAAAAGATGCGTATTGACACTGGAAATTAGTGAATTTTAGAGAACTTTGTTGGAATCGTTAGCGAACTAAGCTGCAAACATATTGTCTTTGGCGTCCTTACTTACCGCTTAGGCAATGCAGATAAATAAGATAATTTACGTCGAAAGTAATTATCAGCCATTAAGATCATTAAATTGATTAGATTTGGTGATTATAACGTTAATTAGACGTCACGAAAACATACTGTTTATGTTAATATCACGTGATTCATTTGTTATATAAGGCGTAGTTTTGGTTGCAATAAACAAGAAACATTTTCAAGATCAAAAGATGTTTAAAAGCAAATCGGACATTATGAAAATTGTGTTACTGGCGATTGTTGTCTCTCTCTGCAGAGCTTATGGTGAGGTTATTTTGGTGTAAACCATAAATTATTTAGAATGCGCGCAAACTTTATATTATTCTGAAATATTTGCCAAGGTTTCTTCTATTTTCGACTACTCAAAGTATAATAAAGACATGCTTTAGCTAACGTAAACTTTCCTATATTAGTAATTAATTAAAACAAAATTCAAAATGTGTATTCTTCTAGACTTGTTTGACATAAGAGATTCTGAAGGCCAAAATTTGGGAAAAAGATCCACGATCGACAGTGAAGCGGGGCAGAATATCAAATATCCCTTTAAACGGTTTATGGTACAGAACGCCATACTCACCGGAAAAAGAAATTTTAAAAACGATGATCAAAATGTTTGGGGAAAGCGACAAAATTTTTTGAAAGGTCGGAATTTGGGCGGACATGATGATAGCGGTGAAAGAAGACGGCAGAACCCTTGGTTTTTCGGGCAGAAAGGAAAACGATCCGAGAGTCAAAACTTTAAACTAAAATAGACGAGAAATAGGACACATGATTAAAGTTAATATAAATACATGGTAATGCATCAGTAGTATAATTATTGTTTGCTCGATGTACTGTAACTGGGATGCAAATAAAATAGCTTGTTCATTCAAATTGTGTTTATTTCTGTTGACGATGATGGCCTATATTGCTTTTCACTTTTAATATTCAGTTGTTGATAAGCCGAATCATTCTACAGTGAAAAACTGAGTATCTTTTCAGTTATCACTGAAATATAATAAGTATATATATATATACTCTATGTATCTGCGCAATGAATTGCAAACAATGGACCATTTCCCAAAATTTAAAAGTAAACGAAACAAATTTTTAGACTGAATATTTCAATTTAAATCATGATAACTAGTGTGCAATAAATAGCTTAGTATATTTGTGATGGCAATACGCATTCAGTCGCACTGTTTTTGACTGATAAAAACAATGATTTTTTAAAATGTGATATAATGATTTGAAATTTTTGCATTCCGTGCAGATATATCGCACCGGCTAGCCTGCTGTGCCAGTTATGATATTGGATAAAAATTAAACGATATTGAAAGATTGGATAAAAATGTTTACTCTCTTTGCCTTCGGCCGTTGGGAAATGATTCTCAATAAACCTTTGATCACATAGCTTTTTATATCTCAAAGAACGTTTGCTTTATATATATAGCATATATATATATGGACCTGACTCTAATGTGTACGAGGTAATTCCAATATTACATCAAATAGCACCTTGGTGACAACTAAAATGAATGAATGTCGGTTGATACTAAACGTCTATCCATTAGACTTTTACCATTTTTAATAATAAGTTCTTTTGATTTATTTTCTTAGGCTATGTGCACACACGGTAACGTTTTCGAGCGTTTCTACATTCGTTTTCATGCCAAAACGGTTTGAAACACAATCACTTTATAATTGAAGTTGAAGATAATTTAGCACATTGAGCATATTTTTCCTTGAATCGTGTGGACAAGGCGTCTAAACAATAAAATGGGCAAAAACGACGCTCGTGTCACAGACATATATATTAGGAATTAGACTTTTACGCGCGTGCGTCTACGTGCAGGCGTATGAAAAACGGCGTAAGTGGGAAGCAGCCCTTGAAGCAACTGTAATTTTCCCTGCAAGTTGAAGCGCAATTATAATTTTGAGAGATGTTAATTAGTAAAGAGTGTTCGAAATGTTAAGAAGAAGTTAGAAGATCGTAAGAGATGTTCGTATTTGTCAACTTTAGATGCCTCAAGAGTAGAATTGCATTGCTAGTTGCAAGAAAAGCTGCATGCATGCATATAGTGTAACAGCGCCTTTATTCAACTTCTTGTATTTTTGTCGTACAGCGCTAAACCCAGTTGTAGCCATCTGGAACAATTTTCTTATTATAAAATATAATCTTGTTTGCGCCAAGAAAATCCTATTGAAAAACTGGCTTTGGTTAGGCATTGTGTGTTTCATACTTATTTTATATGCATGCATGCATGTAACGATGAAAACCCACTAGCGGTTAAACTCTTTTACTCATCGCAAAAACCCCGCAAGTTTGCTGCAAGCGCAATTATCCGATCTTACTTTTACTTCTATAAAGTTTAATGATTTATATGTTTTTCACTGCTGCGAGTGTTTAACAAAAAAATTGAATTAATATATGAATACGATTGATGTTTTTATGAGCTGAATGTTGGAAAGTATGAAGCAAAACCAGTGGCAGTGGCCATCAGTGATCATCATCATTCTTTCAACCGTTGAAAAAATGACAATCCGACAGATAGCCGCCATACCCACAGATGGCGCCATCCATCTTTAAAAATACTTTTATATGAATGATGAGACGAGAATTCTTTTGTCCTAGAAAATCTAAAAAAATCGGCTTCATATGAAAATTTGAAATGTAGTTTTCAGTAGTCCGTCTTCACCATGCACAGGCACAGATCAGTCGGTCTTTTGCAAATTTTCAGTTTTGCAGTCGCTATTTTGGCTGTATGCCGATACGCACGTACGTGATATTGCCGTGTATATCACCGACTTTGAAACAATGACAAGGTGATGCGTTCCAATATTAACAATGCGACACAATCACGATGTAAATAAAAATTTCAGTTGCGTGGAAAGAACAATAGCGTGATTTTTTTGTTTAAATAAATGAACTCAAGACCAGGGCCCGTCGTATCAAGCCTGTTTAGCTTAAACGTGGATAAGTCAAAATTAAATAACACTCTTAGATCTCTCTTGAATGAGTCTACTTGAATATCATGTACTGAATATGTAGTTGTAGACAGTATCTTTGTATTATTAAGGACACAAATATTTAGTTCGGTTGTTAAACTTACTTTCTATTTTGAACGTGTCCACCGTTTAAGCTAAACGGGCTTGGATAAGGCTTAATAATACAACCGGCCACAGACTAGAAATAGCCTACGACATAGGCTAGACTAGAAGTCTCTTCCAGCACTCGATCCTCTAGCGAGGTAACGAAGGCTCCGAGATGATTGAAATCAGAAAGGATTCTGATTGGTTGTTGACGACTTAACGCAACATGGAATGTTAATTGTAATACAATAAAGAAAATTGCCAGTAATACTTTAAATTAGGCAAACGTTGTTCAAAGTCGGTTACGTTAATCGATTGTTTAGGATGTTAAATATGTTTTTCCATAAATATTTTCTGGATCAATGGAAGTCTATTTTGTAAAGTTTTGAAATGAACAGCGGTGCAGAAGCACTCAAGCACGTGAACCATTACAGCAGATTAATATTTAACCCCAGATTAGCACTATAAACTTTATCATTATCTATCACAACTGAGCTGAAATTTATTTTTGTTAGTTTTACTGGAGTTCACATTGATATATTTACTAATTCATGGCATAGACAACAAGCTATGGCGAAATTTCAGGAATGATTAGTTTTGTTTCACCATGATGAAGTGTGAAAAAATCTTCTTCAGGTATAGCTGCCTTCAAGAGAGCTTCTTTTAATTTTTTAGGGGGATCCAAATAATGCTAAAGTGATAAGAAATCATAAATATGGCAAAGCAAGTTTCAAGTAGCTTGAGATAAATTGTGATCAATTAGGGGCTGTTGTTGAGTCGAAGCTATTGCTGATGGGTATAATTACAAGTGCACTCCTAAGGGGTGGTTGTTCAAAAGCTGGTTAGCTTAACCCTGGGTTAAAGCAATTCTTTACATCAATTTTTTTAATCGATTGTTTTCAAAGCTGATTATTTTTTTCCACAAATATTTTCTGGACTGACAAAAGCCATTTTTTGTAGAGGTTTTAAAACTAACAGCAGTTCAGGAGCACTTAATTGAAAACAGTGGATTAAAATTTAACCAAGGATTAGCATTAACCCAGCTTTGAACAACTGGCTCCAGGGTAAAATACATCTGTTTAATTTCTTTTCCACATGTAAATTTGAACTGAATTTTTTTTATGAGTGTAGTTATGCCACAATGAACTTATTTTATTTCTAATTTTGTTCAAATTGCATTATATGGTATGTTAAAAAAATACCTCATACGTCAATACAAAAGTTCCCCAGTGAATTCCAAGAGATTTTTTAGCCTTGACATCCTGATGAATTTTCACAGATTCTTCAGGATTTACATGTTGCTTTTCCATCATCTTTCTGTTGTAACAAAAAGATCCTTCATAAGCTAGACCCCACTAATGCTAGTAAAGTCACCCTCCATTTTCATTTTAAAAATCCAGGAATATTGCCAACTAACAACCCTTGAGTTTAGTCTGTAAAAATTAGGCCCTTTTGCCAAGAGAGAAACATTCATAACATCTTACAGAATTACAAGGGCTATTAAACTATGAAAATTACTAAAGGGGTATCCAAGAATGTCTTACAGTACCTTGGTTCATAGGCACCTATAGGTATAGCTGCCAAATCAAAAGGACCATACTTATGCCCAATCTGCTTAAATCCTGCACAATATGCGGTATCACCAGCAAAGTACATTCTATATCTCGGACCTATTATGGCCCAGCTTCCCCACAAGACTTTATTTCGATCAAACAATCCACGATTACACCAATGTTTTGTTGGAGTAAACACAAAGTTCATACTATAAGTGACATGATTAGAGGTCTTAGTAATTTCCTTTCCTTCCCACCATTCATACTCATTAACATTCGTAGTTACACCTGTTTGGTTCATCCAGCCTTTCAAGCCTGCAGGGACAAACCATTGCAATTGTGGAAATCGAGCATTTAAATCTTTCACTGTTTGCACATCAAGGTGGTCATAATGATTGTGGCTGATACAAACAGCATCAATTTCTGGTAACTCATCCACAGTACAAGGGGTTGGGCGGTATCGCTTTGGGCCAGCAAAGCTTACAAATGAGCATCTGTTGCTAAAAATTGGATCAGCCAGGATAGTGAAGCCGTCAAATTGGACTAAGACTGAGATGGCCTATCCAGGTAATCCTTATCCCTTCTTCAGGGGGACTGGATACATCTGGGCTTAGTTTACGAACTGGAAGTGTCTTGTCCAGCTCCTATGGGAATGCAAAAATTAAAATCACAATAATATTGTGTAGGTAATATTGTTATAGTTTATAGATCTGTTTAATTGCAGTGTTACATTGGTAAAATAATGCAATTGAGCCACAATATAGCCTGTAAATACAGAATCGATCTACACATTGATTTTAAAACCAATTTGGGAAGGAACCTTGAAAAAAACAGGATGGCAAATGCAATATAATATTGGTAAATGGTATTGCATTAAGTTCTTATTATTGAGTTAGGTCTGTTTAACAATAAACTGGAGCAATTCCATACTCTCTTCAGTGCTTAGTAGGTCTTTCCAGAGATCAATGTTTCATCCCATACATCAACCCTTATCAACTAATAATGGAACAACCACACTATTGGTCAAATAACACTACATTTCAGATTCACTGCCACATGAAACATAATTATACATAAACTACAAATTAACTCGATCTAAATGGTATGGTGTGCAGAAGGATTTGTTACAAAGCATTTCCAATTTGTACAACACATTAATTAATAAGAAATAAGCTCACTTCTTTTCCAGGTACATTGCTCAAATTTTGTTCTGTGAGAAAATGCCTTGCTTGAAGAAATGATGGTATATCGCCATCTCCCCAAGGATTTTATACACATTGCCTTCCTTTATTGACTTTGTATAAGTAATTCCATGATCATGGCCTCCTTCAGCCATGGCAACACTATATATTGATGACAAAAAATGGTAGATAACTCTAAGCATGTCAATCATAAAAATGTATACATAGGCAAAGCTATGCATGTGCAGTCAATCATATTAAAAAAAGTTATGTCTGAAGAAAACTTACCGTTGTAGTCTCCGTAAAATAAAAGGCGCAATGAGCGCACCGCCTAAGAAGTAAAGTCGAATTTTGAAAATTATTCTTTTATATTGATAAATCGGCTTTCACAGTTCACAAATCTTTCTCCTGGCCTGGTCTCAGTGGTCTGCGCATGCTCTGATTTGTTCCATCTGATCTGTTGAGTCACTGGAGTGTTGACTAGTGTTGACATTCGTTGACAAAGGGTTGACACCAGTGGTTGACACGAATAAGCAACCCAAATCAGCGTGATAATTTGAACACGAGAAATTTTTCGGCAATTTGTCAGGACATTTTGCCAGAAAATGTATGTAGTGCTCAGTGAGCTGGGAGTGCTCAAATTATCACGCATTTTTGGGCAGCTAATACCAGCTATGGACAAACCGGTGGACTGGTAGACGAGTTCACTGGTAGTACCAGAACGTCCTTCAGACCATATATAAATATACAAACTTTGCCATGAATGCTGTGGGACAAATGTGGGAAAATGCAACATGAATGATGATAACATGAAGTATAAAATCTTGTCGCTATTACTTATTTTGGCCAAGACAGTGGCCAGTCGGGACATGTTGTAAAGCAGATTCATTGCTTCGATTGCTTCTGCTGTTTATTTATTCCCTACCAGTGAACTCTCTCTATATATAGAGTTCACTGTTCTCTACATTTTGGTTGTCTATATGTTCAGACGGCTTCATCGACTTTCAGAAAGTACAAACGTTCAGAAATTTCCCTGAAAATTTTCCGCCCATGCAGAGCAGTTTCTCTCTGAAATACTGAAACTCTCTTTCACAATTATAATGCATGAATTCATATCTTTTGGCTTCACTGAAAATTACAACATACAACCACCCCTATATGGTGGGTTTGCCAGTTAAAAGACATTGAGAAACTTATTGTCCGATGTCTTTAAAAAGTCATTAAGTCCATAATTGTGAAATAACACACTTGACAAACACTTCAGCTTTATGTAACACGAACAAACGAAAGCTCAAAGACTTTTACTATAGCAACATTTTCCGGACCTTCTCAATCAAGCTTCAGCCGAATAACAGCTGTGCATTGCGGTATTTTGCATTGCAGTATCAGAGCTAACCGAAAATTCCCCTTCTGAAGTGAAGAAGCAGGTGAGTCGACCAAAAAGTATATTGCAGGTTAGTATTGATGTTGCGGCATATGTGTAAAATGGTGGAATTAGTCATGATTTTGTACTTGATATTTAGTGTTTTTTGCTTCTACTATGAAATCTAATTAAATGCCAATGTTTTACTAGCCGTTCCTTAAAATATGCTTTTAAATTATTGATTTCGAATAAAAACTTTTTGTATCACCATAATCAAGACTAGTGTGAGAGACCAGTCACCTTGATTCTTCCCGTTCACGCAATACTATAATTGGCAAAGCAAGAATTGGCGACGCCAATCGGCGAGAGATAATGGTTTGTTTGACACCGAAAATGTGAAAGGTAACTATGACAATTTTAAAGAAAAGCAAGTTATTCAAACGTAAGCATTATAATGTTAGCTGAAAGAGTTTACGTAGCTACTGAAGAGTATATATAAGGATATAATTGCAGGCAAGAAGAGAATTAAAACATCCTTTTTTTATAACAATACAAAGATAGCATTGTCACTCCAACATGCATCAACACCTAGACTAGGTATGCTAAAAAATTGAGTACCTACTAGTCTCTACAGACTCTAGCACAGGAAACTAATCGGGTATTGAGTTGGTCTGATTCAATCATGATTTAAAACTTCGTGAACTCAAGTAGGCAGTTTGTTGTATTTTCAGTTTAAAAACTCTAAATAACAGAATGTGCATATCAGCGGAAAACGGACATCCGCGTGCGGGGAAAGCATGCACGTACACAAAACGTCAAACTCTCTCCGGACTCTGCGTCTTTAGAAAGACTGAGTTCGACTCGCGGAATTACCCGCAACGAAAAAGTTTCAATTCTATATAATATATTTTAACTGAACAACATTTTAATATAATATATTTTAAACAACCAAGTTGTAGAATAAAAAGCATACGAAAGTGTATAAAAATATCAAAAAATATTTCTGTTCGATTATTTCTTTCATAGATAAAATAAACATGAATTTAGAATTTTACGCTTGAGGGCTGCTACGTAAATTCCCACGGCTGTTTTCCATTGTCGCGTTTTTGTACGTATTTTATATATACATACGTATATCACGCACGTAAAAATTTAAAATCATTTAAATGATACTTATGTATGAAATCAATGATTGCATAGATCCATAGGCCCGGTTGGATACTGTTGATGATTTGGTGTGGTTATTTCTAGATCGTAAAATTAATTATATACAATATCAGAGAACTTATAGAAGGTTTTAGGCTTTTACATCCGTGTACGTAGCTATACGCGACAGTGGAAAGCAGCCATTATATATGTCATATTTGAAAAAGCTAGGTGAATAAATAGAAAGAATTCATGTATTTTAGTATGCATTTGTTGACCCATTATTCAAGTGGGAAAGCATGCATGCAGCCCTTATCCACAAGGGCTGCTTTCCATTTACGCGTTCTTCATAACAGTACGCACTTACACGGACGTAAAAGTTTAAATCCTTATTAATGTCATATTTGAAAAAGCTAGGTGAATAAGCTAAATAAGACTGAAAGTTACCCACGATTTAAATAATACTGAAAATTTAGATCTAGAAGCATTTAATTAAACGCGTTTGGTCAATCAATGTAAGCACAGGAATTCATGATCAAAGTTCCTTTTAAATTTTCTATTAATACACAATGCAATCATATTTCATTAGTCATTTTAGTGAGTAAAATTTAGGCCCACTGCCACTGGCACTTCAACTTTGCTCACGCCACAGACACGGAACACGCTGTCATGCATTGTATGAAAGACGCTTAAGCAAAAAGCATCTCTAGAAAACAAACAAGTCTTAGATTAGGGGGTAAAATTTTAGCACCAAACTTGAGCATAATCAGCATATTCAATGGACTACTTATGCAGTATATAGTAGCAGTTATTTTTACAGTCTGTAATGACAGTAATGTTTTTAATACGGGACTGATGCTGTTAACAGTTCACTGTTTGTAAATAATATCATTTTACACCAAGTCCGCCCTCGCGTAACTTCATGAAAGAGGAGTGTAGAACGGTGCCAGGATCGATAATTACAAGATATTATAGCAGCGTGGGTGGGCTGCAGTCCTGTTCTTAAAAAAGCTCTTCGCTGCATATTTAAATATATAGCTACATTCACGAAAAACGTTTTCCGATTAGGGCACAGTTGCATGCCTATTATAGAAACACTCATTTTATCATCATTCGATTCCTGAAAGAGGTTCAAAATATGTACCATATATACCAAAATATGTAATTAAAACAAGTGTCAAGTGGAGTTTGAATCATTAAATAATTTAAATTAGAAACTTAGACTGTTTGATCACAGACCGACATGCAGCATTTTGTATTTATAAATAGCCAGGACATTACATATTTTCGCGAAACAATTATGTAGATCCCTAGTTTCTTATATACTAGCATCCTAATGGTATAGTTATAAGCGGATAAGCCTGAAGCTAGTAAAAGTCCCTCGGTGCCAATATTATAAAAGACGTAACGGAATTGTGTAGACAATGTATCCTTTTATCGTGTTATCGCATACCTTATAATGTCAAAGACTTACAATGATTATATATAAACACAGTTTTATGACAGTCTTGCTAGTCTTGTAAGTTACATTCATTGCCGTGCACAGATCGAAAGATTTTCATGTTTTTGACTTTGTAGACATACTGTCAGGTCGACAAAGAATTAGTGAAAAGAAGGTAAGACTTTTACTCATCTGCATAGCTATAGTATAGTGTATATGCATATGATATTTACAATATATGTCATTTAGTATTTTTGCCGATACTAGTCAATGCTGTAGATTAACTCGAGTATAGATTTATCAGTACGAGAAACATTGACCCTTTTGCAACTAAATTAGCTTGACGGTCATATCAAAAATCGAAACATATGTAGTAGCTATACATATATACACTGATTTGAAGGATCTATAGTAATTATTCGTGATTAAATATATAATGACACTAGCAAATTGAATGTTAAATATATATATCCTGTTTAATGTCATTTGAGTTTTTTGTTATTGTCAAAAAGAAGAAAATATGGCTAAAATGTGTTGCAAGTAATGTTGACGATTCTTTAGTGACCAATAATGACAAGTGATTCTTAGTCTTGTTTATAGGCGCTATTTTCAGCACAATTGTCAATGCAAAACACGTCTGTAGAATATCCTGAATTCCAGGATGTTGCAGTTTGGTCAATACTTTTGAAAGAAACTTACTGAAATTGGCATATTATTAAAACGCCGTTGGCTTATTACCAATATGTTAGGCGGCATTCGAAATAATATATACTGAAGGAAACTCAACGGCCAGAACTAGCGGGCAGCGCTTGCATAATTTGAAAGAGGATCTAGAATATTGGGGACTTTTCTTTTATCTATGGTAAAGACCTTACAATTATAAATTCCGTGAAAATATCTTTTTGCGGTCTACCTTTCTCATTTCGTAAATTCCTCATATTCGGCAGTTGAAATAAAGAACTATATGAATTTACTCTTCAGAAAACAGAATTTCAGCGCTAAAGGCTGCTGGCACAATAGACCTGTCCCCTTTTAGCTTTCAAGCGCGCAATGCGTGACGGTAGTTGATTATCAAGCAACTTTGAGTTGCGATATCGCTCTGCCTAGAAGCGATTTTGTTTGTAAGAAAATCTTTCCGATTCTTTTTGCTTCTTTGTTCAACTAAATTGCTCTTGAACATGGCAAAATCACAACTCAAATTGACTCTGATAATCAAATGCCATCACGCACTGCGCGCTTGAATGCTAAAAGGGGAAATGTCTATTATTGTTACGGTAAATGTTATCAGCCTCGCCTACAGCTTGACAGAGTGTACATTAAAGGCCTGTTTTCCACTAGACGGAATTTTGGGGAAATTCCGCTCTGCGCACAAAATTCCGCTTAGTGGAAAACAAGCTTAATACAATTGCTGTTAACATTAATTGCTGCCATCAAAGCTTGCACAATACCACGCTAATCTTGTAGAATCACTAATGAAGTTTTCATTTCAACATTCTAGTCTCTTCTTATTCCGGTATTTACTGATTTTCATGGCACCCAGGGAGCTGAAGATGGTTGCCGTTGGAGAGGGCTCGTGTGGCAAGACCTGTCTTCTCGTGGGCTTCGCGCGAAATGAATTCCCGCGGGATTACGTGCATACTATATTCAACACGTACACAACACAAATGACGCTTAATAAACAAAGTTTAAAACTTTCTTTATGGGATACTGCTGGAAATCCTGATTATGATCGCATTCGCCCGATGGCATATCCCGAGACTGATGTATTCCTATTGTGCTTCGCCTTAGACTGCCCGGATAGTTTCATTAATATACGAGATAAATGGATCCCGGAAATAAGACACTTCTGTCCCAAAACGCCGGTAATACTAGTTGGTACGAAAAAGGATCTTCAGTGCAATAAATATTCAAGTGCAATGACGGTCTCAACCATCCAGGGACTTGAACAAACGTCGTCAGAGAACGGCAGACATTTGGCCAAACAACTTGCAGTTTATGACTATTTAGAGTGTTCCGCAAGGACAATGGCAGGCATGCGCGAGGTTTTCGAAACCGCTGTACAAGCGGCACAGTATTCAGCAAAAAAAAGGAAACAAGAACGAAAGCGAAGACAGCGATGTACTATTCTTTGAACTAAATTTGAAATAATCTTAAATTATTCTAGCACACTCTTTAATTTATACCTTGTAAATTTTGTCATATATGTATAAGTTGTATAATATTTGAATTAAATGAATGGTTAGTAAACTTTACCATAATACGAGTTCAATATGTTTCATATTACAGTATATCGATAATATACCGGTATATATACCATATTCCGGTATATTAGACCTTACCAAGGTTGACTAGTATACCATATTCCGGTATATTAGACCTTACCAAGGTTAGATATACCATATTCCGGTATATTCGAGCTTACCAAGGTTGGAAATATCATATCCCTGTATATTCGACCTTACCAAGGTTGAATATACCATATTCCGGTATATTCGACTTTACCCAGGTTAAGCCTTGACGGACGATGGACTCCAGTGGCTTTTTGATTATTTTAAGGGGAGAATGCTTTTGTTTAGGCTACTTACTGAGTGGCGAATCGATAACGAGTAGAACTCTCAATTCTGGATATAGGATAGTATACTAGTATTATATTGTTCCTCGGGATGATGTTATAACTTTACGTAATTATACTAGTAGCATTGCGTACCCCTAGCATGACACAGCATAATAGTGATATAGGATAGTATACTAGTATTTTATTCTCCTCGGGATGATGTTATAACTTACGTCTTACCAGTAGCATTGCGTACCCCCAGCATGACACAACATAATAGTCTTATTCATATATATTAATATCTTCTAATAATTATTATCAACTTGATCGCGATATCAGCCTCATAATACGTCACAATAACTTAGATAATTTTGCAGTTTTGGCTTTTTGCTAAAGCAATGTCAATTAGTAAATGGCACTAGATGCAATTATTCACAGAAATTGTAGGGATTATTTCTTCTGAAATTGGTTCGATATGCAATCTTCTCTTTGATGATGTCTAAATTTGCCGAAGTATTGTACTTCATAAGTTCATGGAGTCTGTCAAAACTCCTTTCAGTGTATTGGAAATTAAACGAAGAGTAAGGTTTATCAGGATCGTCAAAAATAGCGAAGTTTCCAAAGTCTTTACTCTCTTCGTCCACTCGTGGTACCCCTAAAAAGTTCAAAACATCATACATAACCATGCATACTATTAAAGTATTCATATAACAGTATCTGTAAAACATACATGCGTACGAATTCCTATAACAAATTAACAATCAACCAATGTCTCAATTTACTATAATTGGGCAACATTTCCTTACCTGGAGCACTGAAATCCCTAAATGATTTGTTCACAAGAGGAAAATGTAATACGATTGGGCAATCAGGATTTGCCAGATCCTCAAAAACGTAACACTCTTGAATTTCGGGATTTTCAAGGACTGGGTTTCCGACGATTTGTGGGAACGGTAGTCCATGTTCCCTTGCCCAGTTTTCAGCTTTTATAATGTTCTAGAAAAAGACCAAAGTGATTAATTAATAAATCCGTCGCTAATAAGGACAGAAGATGTCCGATTAAAAAGTCGCCGGTAGGAGCAGTTTTTAAAAGAATTGCTTTCTGCACACATGAATGCTATACTTAAGTTTACTATAAACTACCATTGTATATTAACGAGGTGATATGTTGCCGGCATTTATTTTATTGAGCCAGAGATCGTACGATAAGACATGCTTACTTTAAAAGATAGTTCTGTATCACCGCCATCTCTCTGACTGAAGTCAAACGACAAGATTATTTCGACTTTGCGTTCAGGACGTAGTAATGTGGGATAAGGGGAATTGAACGCGATGCCGCTGTCCACCAAACACATCGTCTTACAGTTGCCATGTACCTCGTCATAATCACAGTCTGTGGAAGGAGGAAAAATACAACATCATTGTCGAGGCCAAAAATATGAGATTACAAAGGCTACGACTTCATTAAACATTAGATTTATAGAAACTACATTCTGCAACAGCATTTCTTACATAAATTATCTTTTATAGCATTTTCTAAATTTCTCACATAATACAGTGAAATTTTAATTATTTTTTTAATGTTGTACCTTCTTCTTTCTTAAATTGCAATCCTCGTAATATGTTAAAGACTTCAGCGGCCTTTCCTCGTCGAGACGCAATTAGATTGTAAGGATTGAGTGCATCAGCTAACCAATGCCCATCTGTAAAACACAATGTTCTCGCATGATTATCATATGAAGCTGAGATATTCTTCGCGGGATAGTCAATTATTAGATTACTCGTATAGTATATAGCATAGCTTAGGTTTAACTTTAACATTCGTCGTCTATCTCTGGCATGCAGTAACTTTTTCTATTCCGCAATACATGTATAATTGAATCGACAATCTACAGAGCTAGTATTTTAGTAGTATAAAATGTGAAATAGAATATGTCTATTTCAGTACCAGTAGTTTGAGAATTAGGCCTATATCAATGTTTGTCTTTGTAAACGAAACTGTAAACCTTGTAAACTATAGATCCCAGGCCGGCTGAGCACATTGGGATTTAGGAACATGATGTAATCTGCGTTACAGAAAGTAAATTTGTAAGGGTTCATTCTTTAGGGACATGCTAAAATAAGACTAGGGGTCATCCTCAGGCCCAAGTCTGAGGATTTTTGAAAGGCTTTGCAATTAAAAAGCAACGATGAAGAACTGTTATAGTTTTTTTTTCTGGTTTTTAGAAAGCTTGTAGGCTACCTTTGATTTCGTCTTCGGGTAATCCATCTGTTTCATCTTCATCATCACTATCATCATCGGCAGTTTTACATCGCTTTGCTTCCTCAATTGCGATTTCCTCTGCAAATAATATAAATAATATAAATAATATATTTGACTTATTTAACATCGGTAAAACCAATCATTTACTTCTGCATGTTAATCATCATAAATCAAGTTTAAAAATATCATTTACTTAGTTCCTCTTCGGCTTCACTTTCGGATTTGTTTTTCCTGTCATGTAATGTATTGAGAATAATACCAAACGCACTGCCCCAAATTCCTAGAGTGACCAAAAACATAGGTTAAGACAAAGTCTGAGCAAAGTTTTCTCCGTCAAGGAACTAAAAATTGTGTTCAAAGTGTGCCCCCTCCCCCCGTCATGTAAAAAAGTAACACGTGATGCATGGGAACTCACCTTGTAAATATGACAACCGGGATTCTTTAAATTTCTTTACCAAACTTCCTTTGTAAAATTTGCCACCAAATTCTGAAGTTTTCCCGAACACGCCATATTTAGCCATGCCATATTCATATGGCGTGAATTCTACCCATTCTAAAAAAACATCGCTGATAGCTAAATACATCTTATCAAGTCCAAAAAACAGTTATTTACGACATTGGCCAGTAAGCATAGACAAGTGTTGGAGAAGTGATTTGGACTTACCACTAAATTCAGCTGCTGGTAAATCTAATCGAACACGAATACCAGTTGTAATTGGGAGGGCAACATCACCATACTTCACTTTTTGACTTTGGTGGCTTAGTCTGGACTCTTGATTCTGTAAAGAAATTGTTTGAAACGATTTTTACAGGCTACTTGAAATGTGCACTTCCATGCAAATGTTCACTATAAAAATTCCTCATGTACATAGGGACGAGATGTAACAGTGGCGTAGCCAGAACGATAATTGGGGGGGCCAATATTCATATATTCGTGATACGCAGGATTAATTTCTTTTCAAATCAATTGTCTTTACAGTCTGTTAACATGAATATATGAATATGGGCCCCCCCAATTATCGATGCTGGCTACGCCACTGATGTAAGCCTCCCCTTCCACACATTTACTTCTGGGTGTCCTATATCTGGCTCTTCCACAGTCCCTGACGAAGCGATGAAAATTGATGACGCAAAGGATCATGAGAATACCCCGAGGCTATTTGGCTATTTGCTTTCCTTCGTCTTCCCATCATTCAGCGCGCCCCATCATTAAACGCGCCTTAGGTAAGCGACTGGGGACGAGTCAGGTCCTATATAGCCCAACGTCCCATCATGCTCCACAAACGAGCTTACTGTATTGATCAAAATCCACGCTTTAACTTATAGTTATCTGAACTCAGCTATCCATTTATTGAAACTTACATCAAGTAAACAATCTCCAATGAACAACCCAAATAAATCAACCAGTCGGACAAGTTGACCACGTTTTGCTTTTTCTCTCATTTGTGTAAAAAAGTGAGCATGAAAATGGCTCAATAAACCTGTCTGAAATTTCGTTTTCAGCTCATGAGCCATGACTTGACATGATATACTGTCAGGCCAACCTTCGTGTTGGTATAATGTGGAAATATACCTGAGTGGAAGAAATAGGATATCAAATGATTACGCTTTGAAATTTAAAAATAAATAAAATCCATTTGAAGAAATGTACTGAAATATGTATAAGGATGGTCCCACATACCATGAAGAGCCTGACAATCCAGTTACATATGAAGAACAGTCGAGTATTCCAGCTTCTTGAAGAGCACAAAATACGCCTGATAATCCACATACAGCCCTATATCCACCTCCTGATCCCATGATCCCAATTGTTGGTACCTACATTCACAGTAATATTATTATCATTCTGATATTGGTTCTTGGAATGCGATTCTTATCTGGAGAGAACAATAATTGTCTGTCTGAAACGAAGGCAAGAACTGAAATTACCCGGTATAAGTCGGTATTGGGCCAACAAAGAGAAATTATACTTATAGAATGCTAAGGTTTAATCTTGAGTTATTTCAAACGGAGCGATTTATAAACACTATCTAGTGGATAGACTCTATATTATCACATGCAGTTAATAGAAATAACCGGCTTCTGTATTGATGGCCTATAAACATCTTATTTAAATTGATTTCCAACCTCCTCAATGCTCCTTGGGGCTGTATTTTCATCCAAAATTCTTGGCATGTGTTTTAAAATTTCAGCTTTTCTCTTCTGTACAAAAGCCTTTTCTTCATCACATAAGTCGTAACTAAGTCTCAATTCTTTTGTTTCACTAATAAAAGAATGATTAAATTTGTTACTTCTTGCAGATAATTTTAATTCCCCTGCTAAATTTCTGTTAAAAAATCAATTACCGTCAACACTTACTCGAATTTTATCATCAACTTGAGCTCGAGAGTTGTGTTCTATGAGAGACAAATCAATAAAAATGTTATGATTCTTAATATCCAACAATCGGAAATAAAGCGTTTAGTAATTAGTACTATTTCTCCGCTTGATTTTCTTTCAGTTGTGATCGGTCAAGGGAATCACCAACGATCAAATTCTCACAATTGAAAAGTAAATCGAGCGAAAAATCAAAAAAAATTTCTCTAGTGGATGTGGAAACCGCCTTTAGTGCACATATTGAAAAGAACTCTATCGCTTTTAATCAGAAAAGGGGCGGTTCTTATAATAAAAGAGAAGCGTACTTCGGTTTTTAATCAGGACGCCGTGGGCCGGCCGATGAATTAATATAATGTTCTCCATAACATACCTTGTTAACATGCAATATTTTCGTGATTTCAGTGTCCATAGGTAAATCATCCAACTCAAGTTCATGTGCACCAATCATGTCATCTGGACCATAATCTTCATCTTTCATTGTAATTTCTGGTGGAGAGAAATAGAACGTCGATTTCATATCAATACTGAAAAGAAGACTGATGCGATTACTATTAAGAATAATTTACTAAATACTTGTATACTCATGGAAGCTGTTATAACCATACAATACCAGTCGCCTCTTTTGAGGAACAGTATTCTTTGATTATTTTGTTCTTAGGCGCAACGCAATATAAACAGGAACTAATTTGGATAAATAATTTTCTGGAATTGTACTAAATACATACCTAATGTGTTTTTCTTGTCATGATGCAAGTAGAATGTAAAACTTTCGTTCCAAACAGGATTATAAGTATCTGACTGGACCTTTGTCCGTTGTCTGCTATTAGGACTGGTATGAACTCTCAGCATGACATAAGGATCTGGAGTCTCAACTATACATGAATGATACATGAAATGCATTTAGTAGTTCATATTACAGTATGGGGCATAACTCGGCATTTAGACCACGACGGCATAATATTGTATAATGTTATTAAGAATTGTAATTGGGGGGAGGGGCTGAAACTCTCCAGTAAACCCTCCTAGTTATATGAATATAACTAAATACTCTTCGTTCGTGCATAAGACATAGGACTTACAGCTGAATCTCAAACTTTACATGGCTCTCGGCTTTGATATAATCCTAATCAGTTTTGAGACCTCGCTTATGGCAGAGGAAAACGGGATATTTGATATAAAATAGGTCCTAATAAGGGACACTTTCCACCTATATATCTCCCAGAAAATGAAAGTGCGGTTTTTATTTCTACCTATAGATTCCCATGAAAAGGGCGAATTTCGTTTGATGGACTCACATTTGGTAAAAAATCCTCTAACAACCACACGATTTGCTTTGACAACGGTCACTGTCAACACTTTGATTTTCTCTTGTTTTACCTGAAGAAAAGTATTAGTTGTCATATTCATGTATTTTTCAGTTTAATGAGTCACCAATAATAAAATATTTTTCTCAACAAAATTTTAGGTGATGTTATAGACTAATCATAGAACAGTAATAAGACGAAGCATTTGAACTTTTTAAAAAACTACCAATGCTATTACAGCACACCTTATTTTACCCACCTGGAATCGATTAACGTTCTGCCGTTCCATAGTTATATCAAAGTCCTACTTAACTAATAAGTCACTATATAAAAAGCACAGAAAATGGTCGATGTTAGTTATGTGATACGAAAAATTGTTCTATACAATCTTAGTTTGGGAAAACTCTGGTTTTTCAAAAGTATAATATGAAAAAGGATTTCATCCGTGTGCATGTGCTTTTGAAGTCTGAACTTTTCATGTGCATTCCGTGAACATTTCAGCGCTTGAAAAGTTCGACTTCTGAATAAAGCTGAGTATGTATATCATTGGCATTGCATTGACGTCATAATACTTAAGAGTCCTTCATTTGCTTCCTGCTTGTCTTGAAGAATGTTATGTGAGCAGTGGGGGTTATAATATCAGTACTTTAACGAATGTAAACGACAATCATGCAACAAAGGTTAATCTGCTATCCAGATGCCACTGATTTGGCAATCAAATTTCGGTAAAACTGAATATCTCGCTATAACGAGGTATACTATAGTACAGGTATACGAAGGTACGCATCCAAATTTAGGACGACGAATAGACGTCTGGTCAGTTGATTTCCATTTTGTTGACACAACCTTCGTTCGTCACGACATTTTCGTTCACCGTTGCAACGATGATTATCAATTTGATAGATTTGGTGTGTTTATTCAGGTCTCAGTCAGACTCAGAGATTAAGAATCTTCACTGCCTTTTATTAACTTCAAAATTTAACCTGTTCCGTTGCCTGGCCACAATGGTTAATGAGACAATCGTTTTCAAGTATTAAACGTCCGTTTACACTTGCGATTTTTGCTGCGATTTTCTTCTTTTGATAGATGTGAACGAGTGATAAGTTTCCGATGCTCCGATGTGTACGAGCTTCTTTTTGAACTTCAGTAACTAATTCACTCATTCATATCTATCTAAAGAAGAAAATCGCACATAAAATTGCAGCAAAAATTGCAAGTGTCTAAACGGGCCTAAACGATACATGCAAAGACCACGACTTCATCATCTACACATATCATTCCAGCTAACGGACAATACTGGAATACCGACATTTTTTACATTTATAGAGTATAATATTATTGTTACTGAAAATGTACGCAAAATAAGATAAGGTAATTGCATGATTTTACATTAAATATATAAAAACTTACATAGTACAAATGCTCTTCACACTTCCTGAAATCTGAATGTCTTTATGATAGACCACAATCTCTCCCCTTTTATAGGAAATCTGTTTCTATCAGGTAGCCAATTTGCAATACGTCACAGGAAGTTAGGCGTTGACGGGATGTTAATCTTTTATAACGTGTTAAGTTAAAAGAGCGGTTTTATCTGTGGGTGCATAAACCTTAAAATAACGACATTAATTACAACATGCGTCATGTCAAACACGTTCAAAGACAACGAATACAGTCTAACAGTAACAAGATAGTTCAGAGCACATGCATGCATCCATATGAATTTTTTTTATTCCACTCGGAAGCCATTTTGCTACGTGAGGGCTAAAAGAGCTCCAAGTCAGGCTAAATATAGCGATTCAAAACGTAAACATGCAAAGCGTTTAAAAAAACTCTAAAATATTATTTTTGATAAAATGTACGAAATTACTGAGGTCTCAATTATCATGCAGTCGTTATATCAAAAACGCTATATATATATATATATTTAAATGCACGTAGTTATAGTATTAGTTCTAGTATTACTCAGTGGCGTAGTCAGCCCGACAATTTAGTCATCCTATGCTAATATTTTGGTGTTCATTGACTGTGAAAACAATGAATTTCTAAAGAAATGAATAATGATAATAACATAAAATTTGCATAGCATGACTAAATCGTCAGGCTGGCTACGCCACTGGTATTACGCCGACGGCTAGCACGGAATTCGAATTGTTTATACTATACGAAGTGTGCCCGGAAAATCCTTCAGGACTTTGCATGGTTTTAAATGTTTACATCGGCCTTTCACACGCTGTCCAAACTTCGGCATAATCGACAGGTAAATGGTGCATTCTCACTTCGCAGTTAAGGATTGAAAGGAACTATTTTGAGGTCCGCAGATTCGAACGTGCAAGAATTTGTATTATGAAAAGAAAGGCCTGGGCTACGTGATGAAGAAATTTGAGTAAATAATCGACGACGCAAAGAAATAGATGAGAAAATCATAGGTCACGTCTGCATGCCTCCATGCCAATAATATACGGCGGAAATATAATATGATGACGTCAAAGTTAATAATCTCCCCTAGCCTCCTCCGCAGGCATCTCTTATGTTATTTAAAAATCTCACCGTAGGTGACCAAAACACCATGAAATTGTTTACGTTCATGAATCATGTATATGTATCCCTGTAATTGAACTTACGCGCTGCTGGCAACTAAAATCCTACATTATACACACGAGTTTTAATTAAACCTTTATATGTTCGTGTTCGTACGTAAGAAAGACGTGTCGGTGAAAATCAGACTTAAAAGATCGACGCTCATACTTCGAACTTACACAGGAAATGCCTTACGATATATCACGACATCCTGACTCCTTGGCGACTGTCAGCTCGCTGACGTTTGAAATGTGCGCGCGCGGTGGTGGCCCAGAAGTGCACGACTCTCAACAGAAAAAATATCACAAACAATAGTAATTTGTAACAAACTGAATGAGATTTGCTGCAAGCGTGTTTAATAAATCGCTGCAAACATAGAATTTCCTGCAAACGAAATATACAACTCAGGGCACATTAAATTCGCCCACACTGCAAACAAAAATTAAAAAACCCTGCAGTGACCGTTCTGAAAATGAAATTCACCAAAGACACGGCGACTTACCTTAGGGTTCCGAGAAAGATTTATAAAATACTATTTTACGAAAGGCTTTACCTACAATCACATCACTGATCACTTTAATGCTTGAGAAACATAATATAGCAATAAATGAACGAAAGTTAAAGCGAAGACTAAAATAATATGGCTTATGGCAGTTCAAGGCGTGCCAAAGCGGTTTACGAACTAGAGAGACAAGTAACAAATATCATTATAGATGAATTTCGTAATGGCCCGGATAGCCTTAATGGCTATAGCCTGTAGGACCATGTGCGACGTCGTCGTCTGGTGGCAAGAATCTTTAGAGGTTGACCCGCAAGGCGTAAAGCAAAGAAAGCGTAGGTGCTTTTAAAAAAGGAGAACATATGTATCACCGGACCAAACCTCGTCCCATTGGTCTCACTTTCGAAGGCAGCGTTGAAGTTGCTGGATACATTTTTTCCATGATCTTAATATATCTGTCATTGTGGACCTCACTGGTGAGATCCAGAATGACAGATTCACAGGGAGGGCTGGGAGGAAGTTTTGTTTTGCAGACCAACTACGGGACTGATCTTGACAAAGTCAAAGATCCAGCCATGCCACAGTCTCTGTAAAGTAAAAAGCAAATTCCGAACAAACAAGACATCTTGAGAATCAAAATATAATTCAAACAAGACACAGATTGAGACTGTAAATTTTCGACTTTATTACAAAGTTTTCGACTTTATTACAAAGTTATCCCTGTCTGAAGATGACTTTGTAATAAAGTCGAAAATTTACAGTCTCAATCTGTGTCTTGTTTGAATTATATTTTGATTCTCAAGATGTCTTGTTTGTTCGGAATTTGCTTTTTACTTTACTTTCTTAAATTGTCGGCTGGTCATGGTTTTCCACAGTCTCTGTGGTTCCCGACACGATGTATTTCTTGCCTGAAGGGTTTTTGATGGATAATAATTTACTTGACAAGTTTTCCTTGACAAAGAGCCAAGGATGAAAAGCTGCTATGACATGACTAGCTTTTGAAAAATAGACGGCCGTCAAGGAAAACTTGACTCGGAATTGCGCAGTAGGGAACTGCGCAACCAGGGCGGCATATGTCCTGTGCGCAACAATATCTTCGAGCCAATCAAGCGGAAGTTTCATCATTTTTGTTTGTTTCGAGATTCGATCGGTTGTATCTCACTTTATCATGGCTCATAGTATCGTAAAATATACGCATATTATCCTGTCAAAAAAATCTTTCGCGTACACACGAGAAAATAAAACTTGGCAAGGAAAACGTCATGCATACACATGAACAAGTGAACTGGTCAGGAAAACTCTCGCTCGTCTGTACGGGGCTTGAGTGGTGTCTGGTCGAGTCCCATAGATTTAAAGATTTATAATTTATCGTTATATATGCGGTGTTCCCGACATTACACCACATCATGCGGCCCGAGGTGATTCAAGCGTTATACGGTGTTATAAATTTCGTTATATGTTAAATCGGATAGTTTAATATATCAAGGAGACATTTTTTGCTTCGAGCGGGATTTCAGGCTTCCAGTAGCGGTATGGAAAGCAGTAAAACTCGTATTAAACATAACTACTCACATGCAGTCAAATTGCGTTTAATAAATGCGATGAGAACCAGTGCATGCTATTACTAGAATCAGTGGTTATTACTAGAATCAGTGAATATAACTAGAATCAGTGGTTATTACTAGAATCAGTAGCTGTTACTAGAATCAGTGAGTATAACTAGAATCAGTGGATATTACCAGAATAAGTGGCTATTAATAGAATCAGTGGATATAACTAGAATAAGTGGCTGTTCCTACACACAGCACAAGTCACTAGCACTAAAAGTTCTTATTATTTTTTAGCATATTTGGGATTGTTTCGTCTGTATCCCACATAATATGCGATCTTTTCCTTGATGGCATCCACGTTCAGCAGGGTGTTGAATTTCATCAATTCGTGCATTCGCTCAAAGGTTTTAGGTTCGTACTCGAACGTGAAGGATGAGTAAGGTTGTTCAGGGTCATCAAAGATATCAAAGTTTGCGAAGTCTTTTTCCTCCTGTGTCTTACGAGGAACACCTGGGAATGAGATTTGAACACATAAAATTGTGGCGAACCCTTAGGGAGGGCTTTCTCTAGACTCTAGTATGATGATTCGTGCGCAAACGCCTTTCACGCTTTTAACTTGAGAAAGGCATAATTTATTAAGTATAGTTTGTGCACTTTCATACGAAAGATGATGGTGCGTTTTTAGTTCACTCACCTGGTTTGACAAATTTTCTGAATGTTTTATTGACAATGGGGAAATGCATGACAATAGGACACGAGATGTCTTTTTTGTTTTCAAAAATGTAACATTCACGGATGTCGGTGTCTTTAGTGATGGGGTTTCCCTTGATTTGTGGGAAGGGATGACCATTTTGCTTTGCCCACTCTTCAGCTTTCATAAGTTCCTATAAGAATAATAAAGAATTGATTCACTCTGAAAGGCGTTAAGTTTTAACCAACTGGCTTGGGTTTTAACATATTTATACGTCTGCGGGAGGACTGATAGATTTACGTTATTTATCTCAACTGTTCCTGCATGCAACTGAATTGAATTTGAGTCTGTCTGAAGTGCCACAAAATCGTAACTGCATGATTTACTCTCACGTGCATGTTTACTGTACACAATGTTGTTAAGATATAATATGATCTTATTAACCTAAGCTAAGGCTCTGGTTACGAGATTGGTCCGTATCGGGCAGAAAAGTTTCTTTTATCCTTGCATGTGCTCGCAACCAAAACTCAGTAATCGTTTTAAACACAAAAGAACCCATAATGTTCGAACCAGTTCGAAGGATAATTTTCCTGAGTGGATATCAGCCTTAATATAGCAGCCGTCTGGCAACATTAACTTACCTTAAAAGGCAATTCCTTATCACCACCATCTCTTTGACTGAAGTCAAATGACAGGATCAATTCAACCTTTCTTTCAGGTCTCAATATTGCAGGGAATGGCGAGTTGAAAGCTATCCCGCTGTCTACAACACAGATGGTCTTGTCTTTACTAGTATGATTATCATAATCAAAATCTGGATCTGCAAAAAAAATCCAAGTCAATTTCAAAACATGCGCGAAATGATCAATATTGAGCTCGCATTTTCAAGTATATTTGTAACCTCCTCTAAACCATGCACTTATTGACAGTTATAAATGAAGTACATAACATATATTCAAGTTTCCATTATTATGCTGTGATACACATCAAGTCTCCTTTAGATGTTTAAGATAATAATCTCTATCCACATGCATGCATATATGAAATAAACATGTGTAAGAAAATAAATGAATAAAACTATTTGTACTTTTCTGTGATTTAAACTTCAGTCCACGACAGAAGTTAAAGCATTCAGCAGCTTTTCCTCTACGAGATGAAAATATATTGAATGGGTTTAACATCTCAGTCACCCAGTTTTCACCTGCAAAAACATTTACATCAATGCATTGATTACGCTGGAGAATAATCAAAATACACTACTTCAATTCACATGTATAAGAACTGAGAGGAAGAGGACGTACTAGGCATTTCGTCTTCGGGTAATTCTTCATCTTCACTGTCGTGTTCATCAGTTTTACACCGACCTGCGTCTTCCAGCACAGCTTTTACTAAAAAAAATACAAAGAAAAAAATTGGAAACTTTGACACACAGTTTCTCATCTTTTACAAACTGGATCCACAGTCGAAAATAACAGAAGAGTATTGATCAGTTTCCATCATCTTTCATTTTATCTTTTAAACATCATTTATCACACCATGCATGTTTGCCATACTAAACAACGTGTGGAAATCATCCCAGTACAGCACCAAGACCAAGCTAAGACTGTACCAGAGCTGCGTACTTTCCACCCTATTGTATGGCTCAGAATGCTGGAGGATGACTGAAAACGACCTCAAACAACTGTCCACCTTCCACACCAAGAACCTTAGAAGAATCCTGCGAATATTCTGGCCCGAGACCATCTCCAACCAACATCTTCTCGCCCGCTGCAACTAAGACAGCATGGGCACCATCATCATGCAAAGGCGATGGAGATGGATCGGACATGTGATGAGAAGAGAACCTGGTAACATTTCCCGCACAGCCCTCCACTGGACGCCAGAGGGGAAACGGAAACGGGGGCGACCCAAGAACACCTGGCGTCGAACCGTAGAAGGGGAGCTTAAGACCCTCCATCACACATGGGGGACTGTTCAAAAGCTGGCCCAGAACAGACAGGAGTGGAGTACCTTTGTTTCCGCCCTAATTGCCAGCCGGCATAACGGGCATGAGTGAGTAAGTGATTGATCAGTTTCCTTCATCTTTGATTTTATCTTTTAAACATCATTTATCACATCATGCATATTTGCCATAATTACTATCCTAGGTTTCTACATGAAGCATCATAAAGCGAAAAGTATTCGTACCCAGTTCCTCTTGTCTCTGCTCTTCAGTTTTCTTTTCAGGTGATTTCATGGAATCCAAAATAATACTGAAGGCACTTCCCCAAATACCTGAAAAACCACAATACACTTAAAAAACTGCACCTACTCTGAAACTACGTGTATATGGTGACGTTTACGCATGGGCGCGCACTTCTATTTACGTAACTTATACAGGAAGCAAAAGCGGACGCAAGCGCAAAGACATTTTAGGACAGTTAATTTATCATATTTCCCCCGGACATGAGCAGGGCACCAAAACGGTTGATATATAAAAAAACGTAAATTTATTCAACTATGAAGAAAGCAGTACGTAGCTATTAAGTTTTTAAATGTCAGGAAAGCCAGAATTTTCCTCGGCATCCCTTTCATACCATTCAAGACTACAAAAGACTGGACAAACCTTGTAAATAATGCAATGGAGTCTCCTTGTATTTCTTCACCAAACGACCTTTATAGTATTTCCCACCAAAATGTTCAGTCTTTCCAAAAACACCATATTTGGCTGAACCATACTCGTACGGTGTAAATTCCACCCATTCTAAAGATATTTTGACATAAACATTCATATAGTAGAGATTGCACTATAGACTACACAGTCGTGTTTTTGAAAAATAAGTGAATGTCCTTCGTCAAGATCATTGTCGTAGAAATATCGATCTATTTGTTTCCATTCGACCTTTCAAAAACCTTATAAAGGTATAGTTAGATAAAGTTTTAGTTAGATACCTATAGATATAGATATATAGCACACTGTCAACCAAACTAAACTGATCATTTACATGGGAAACACGATAAGGAGACAAGATTATCATACCACTGAATGCTCCAGCTGCGACGTCTTTACAGACTCGAATGCCGGTGGTGATTGGTAGTGGCACTTCCCCGTACTTAATTTTGCTATCTTGGAAACTCAATTTTGATTCTTGATTCTAAGAAAATATTGTAGAAATGTAAGGCAAAGTAACGGAATGTTACAAGCACAATGAAAAGAAATATGGTGTAAAGTATTAAGTGATTTACGGCTATGAGCTCAGTTAGGAATGCCAAGATGATTTTTTTTATGGTATTTTACCGCTGTCCCTTATTTCTATCCGTGTGCCTGCAATGACCGGCGTTTCGCAAGCGTAACTGGAATAACAAAAACTTAGCCCTCAGGTCGAAACGTCGAGAAGTATTTTTGTCTATTCTAGGCAGTTGGTATACCACATTTGATGCCAAAAACTTAGGACTTGATTTTCAATGAAATTTCTTACTGGTAGCAAAGCATCTCCAATTGCCATCCCAAAGAAATCCGTAAATCTGACAGGTTGACCGCCTTTTGCTTTCTCGTCCATACGACGTTTGAAATCAAAATGGAAATGACTTAACAACGGTGTATTAAATCTCTCCTTCAGATCATCTGCCATATCTCTGCATGAAATTTTATCTGGCCAGCCGTCATGCATGTATAATGAGGATATATACCTGAAAAAGCATGAAACACTGAGAATGGTGTTGTTAAGGATAAAGTATAACCGGGTCTGCATGCGCATCGCTTTTTCTAGTGACGGCAGGGCCCAATAAATTGAGAATTGCTTAAATTTTTCATTTTCCACATTTGGACACGGCCTCCAGTTTAATAGCTAGCTATTCAGGACCACAGCGAAGCAATGTTGTGTTAGTTATGCAGACAGTTTGTCCTATTCGAGAATATAGCAGACATTAGCAGTTCAGATTGGAAACAAAGTGTTTACATCTCTGACCTATTTCCTCGCCTATTATTTGTATAAAGGCCCATTTACACTATGCGATTTGTCGTATACGATTCGTACCCTGGCGTATGTGAACGTATGAATACACATACAAACGTGACATTTCAAATTTCGAACAATATGAATAAAGATTGTGGCAAAAGCCCTCTTTTACATTCGTCAGAATGATACCGTACCTTAAGAGGCCTAAAGTCTAAATAAGCCTTCAAGATTGTAGAGACATGCAACATCAGACGAATGCGAAGAAACATACCATGAGGAACCAGACAGTCCAGCTATATAGGTAGCACAGTCAAAAATCCCGGATTCTTGAAGTGCAACCATTACCCCCGATAATCCACAAGCAGCTCTATAACCTCCACCTGATCCCATGATAGCAATCACTGGCACCTAAATATATATAACCGTACAAACTCTGTTCACTTCGAATACAGAAACAATTTAAGAAAACGAAATGAGAGAAGTGCCGGAGATTGTGTATGTTAAACTAGGGCATATGGAACGATGTATAATTGGATGTGTAGATTGTATAGCATAACTACATATTTACCTCGTCTTGTGACTTTGGGGTTTTTTCTCCAAGACCAATTTTCGCAAACTTCTCAACCAATATTCCATCTCTTTTCTTCAAAAAGTCTTTCTCTTCGTCACTAATGTCATAACTAAATCTCAACTCTTTGCTGTCACTAGAAAAGGAGAGAGTAAAAGCATGATGTCTGTTATATTCTGCATCAGTTTTGTTTCATGCCAGAATTTAAGAGCGAAGGTGTGAGTACTTACTCGTTTATGACAAGCAATGATAGTTCAAGCGTAGTTTTCTAAAAATTTCAAAAATACTGACTTACGTCAATACATGTGCAAAGCATAAAAAGTGTTGGCGAAATTAATTCTTTTGCATGCGATTCTCTGAAAACTTATAAAAATTACCATGAAAAAATTGAAAATAACAAAGATTATTTTTTTTCTTGCGGTCCGAGTTCATATTTAATTTTAGCGTTTCCTGCAATCTGATTGGCTACGCAAGCGGTCCGTATGAGGCCGTACGAACCGCTCGAGATTTAAAATCACAGAGCTAACGCTAAAATATGAATTTGGACCGCAAGAAAAAAAATTAATCTATTATTTACCAGTTTAGTCGGTCCGTATAGGGAAATATTTCCCTCGGGCTGTTTTTGAGACCTCCGGAAATACTTCCCTATACGGACCTCCAATCTGGTAATTAACATATTACAATATATATTTCCTGCCCGGTTTCGATAAAATAACAAACAGAACCCTCACTCGCCTCGTCTAGAGCGATTGAAAAACACACTATTTGGGGCATGGTGGACACTGGATAGGGCTTTCCACCCTTCGTACAACCTGCTCGCTGACTTTAGGCACTATATGAATGATCACCCAAAATCTTGTTATTCACGTTGACTATCCATACCTCGTTAAAACCAATTTTCACATCCATTTTTTCGTTTTCAAGTAAACCATCAACATCTATTTTTTTATTTCCTATTTTGTCATCAAAACCGAAATCGGCATCCATCATAATCACCTCTATAAAACGGACGGAAACACAAAATTGTCAGCGTCGCGTATAAACACGCTGATAAAGTTGCAACATGATGGCCAACATCTATCATTGCAATGAGATTTAATCCTGTATATAACTTCCAAATTTAAGAACGATCAACAAAGCAGTACTGCATTGGCTTTAGTTGATTTGCTGCACATGTACATTGGAAGTCAACAGACTATATATGAAACATTCATGAGAAGTGAATTGGGCCCGATAAATTGAATCATGTGCGGAAAAGACCTTTACACTGACAAACATCATAATTTCTTTGTCTTACTGTAATGGTCAAATGAAAGCAATAGGGTCAGAAATATATTCCTTTGAGACGCAACATGAATCATAATTCGAAGATGAATCATAGCAGGGGTGGATCCAGCACTGACTATAACTAGTGCACAAATTTGCATTACAAAACAAAGTGGTTATTTTTAGCAGTTTTCTTGTGTCGTGCAAATTAGTGCACTAGTGTTGGATCGATCCCTGAATCATAGTTGCAGAGTCGAGTTATAAGAGCGCCTCCATGGTCGGTAAGCCACACAACACGCACGAACGTTTTAAGGTGTGGTCTGGGCGTGAGATAGGAGTTGATTAGTTGCAGTTGAATTAGTTTACGCTTTGCTTTTAACGTGTCTGTTTACTCTTTAATCCTCGGGACAGATACAATGCATTGATTAGTGACTGAGAAAAAATTATTACCAAGAACATTTTTCTGTTCAGGATTCAGATAAAATTCGAAGTCTTCATTCCAAACAGGATTGACGTCATCTCTCTTGGTCGTGGTTGTTTGCTTCGCGTTAGGACTGGAGCGAACTCTGAGCATCACATACGGGTCCGGTGTCTCCCCTAAAAGACAAAATGATAATTGTCATGCACGATGCCTAGTCAAGCACTAGCGTGTAGCCAGGCTGAAGATTTAATTCCGCTATGCTAAAGAAATTAATAATGATAATAACATTAAATTGGCATATTCTTGGTTTGCATATGACGTCATAATCAGTCATTCGGCGCCATTTTGTTTGACTTTACAAAGTTTACTTCTGCTTTTCAAGAGAACAAAACTGCGTTGATTTACTTTTTCCTTGTTTATTTTGTAACTGCTTATCATCTCTGTCGTATTATTGGGCGGATATTAAATTACAGCAACGACGAAAAATTATTTGTGCACATGTGTTGAAAAATCAACCAAGATGGCGGCAATTGCAAACCACCTATAGCGGCACTAAATTGTCAGGCTGGTTACGCTACTGTAAGTCAAGTATAATGTCGATTGTGTAACAACCTTTCTCAATGCAATTTCTCGCATTTTGGTCTCGTCGAAATTAATTCGAATGATAGAATTGCATTCGACGGGACCAAATTGCGATGTTTAACCCAGGCCTAAGTATGTCGTTATCGCATAATCAGAAAAAAACATGAGACTTACAATCCCCAAAGTAACCACCAACACTGACACCAGTTGCTTTAACAACTTTCACCTGCAACACTTTTACGTTTTCTTCTTTTATCTATTGAATCAGTCGCAAAAATGACAAACAATATTTCTGATCACCAAAAGATCACCAGATGGACGGTGTCAAAACTGTAAGGTACTATTATATATAAAGCGTCGGCCAAGTTAAGGCGGGCTTCTTTGAGGGCCTCTCTCTCGGGCCTTTTGACAGCACTATCCAGCTTTCAAACAACCGGCCCTTGTATTGTACTCTCAAGGCGACCGTCAACGCCCAAGCCGTAAGTGCGATTTCAGCGCGTATCAATGTATTATCGTGTTATTCGTGTATTATTAAGCAGTCAAAATGTATTATTAAGCAGTCAAAATGCATTATCATTAAGTAATCTACCAAATCATTCTGATAGGTTAAAATTTATTTGCTTTTGGAAACTAAAAAACTTGCCAAATCGTGTCTGTGCGGGCCTTTAACCGCTTGGTTATGCTTGCGTCGCACGTTTCATTGCGTTTCATTGTTTTGTCTTTTGTCCTTGCCTACTATGGCCATGCTTAAGACGAATTTCCACTAACAGAGAAATTGTTCGCTAGCGAAATATTTGTATATTCCTTTTGAATTTTAACAGCATAAATAAATTAGTGCGACTTGACTGTTCTCAATTCAAAAGAATATATGCAAATATTTCGCTAGCGAATGATTTCGGTGTAGGTGGAAATCCGCCTTTACTTACGCAAAACCAAACAATTCTGTACCCTAAATGTGAAGTGAAAACAGGAAAATAAGTACCTCCAAATGCTCCATTTTTGATCGGTCACTCTTGAGGAATAATTACTAAAAATAAGAAGACTGTTAATTCTGTTAATCCCAATGACGAAAAGGGAATGCCCTCGCTGGGACTGGGAACTAGGTTGTGTTAAATGTTAAACTAGCGTTGCAGTGGGAGTTTAAATCTTTAAATACTTTCGCAACATGGTGCCAGAACAATTAGTAATTTAAAATAATAGGCAACATCATTTTGTAGCCAATTAAGGCAGCTTAATTTCAAGGGGGAACCAAAGCATATTTCGTCTTGATAAGGTCAAGAGAAGAAGTTCCTGTCTTGACCTTATAAAAAGGTCCTTTGAAATCAGTGAACTGTACCACTGTACACAAAAACACAAACGAAACATGTAACTCTCGGCAAATAAATATCGTACTGAACTCTTCTGACGGAGGGCTTCGGTTGAAACATGAAGAGGTTTCTCTACTTTAGGCAGTTGTTATCGAAGAGCTTGATTTACCGCAAAACAATTGCCAGAAATGGTGTTACGCGAATCTACTCAGTGTTCAAATGTTCAATGTTGTAGCTTTGCTACGATGTACACTCTGTCACCTCTCATCATCTCTCAGCCACTCTGTTGCAATTAATTCGATGGGAAGTTATGCGAAGGCTGCCATGTATTTGGCCTTAAGAAAATATCATAATTGACTAATCAATGCATCAACAGGAAATATTTTGTTTTCCAACGGAACGATGTAATGACATTCTCCATAAATTCCCCCAGCTGAGAAATTTTTTCCGCAAGTAGGGAAGGCCTAGCCACTTTGAACTATAAAAATGAATCATTCACTCATGAACGACAGATGTCCTGCTACATATAGCTTGTCTTCTTAAAATATTTGCCGAGGAAAAGAACGTTCGGTAATCGGTAGCAAGCTAATTTGAACTCTTAAATTGAACAAGAAGCTTTATGTCCTTTCATGATTCATATGACACATGTCACGTCCGTCGCAACATTCGAAACACACGCAAACGTATGCTTCAACCTCGTGGCAGTGCAAATTTCCAAAATTTAAGATAAATTGAAGGGGGAGATATTAATAATTGCATCATATGCATTATTGTGGAGTAATCGGAGTAGGCTGTGCACAGAGACGCAATGCCAAATCGGAGTAATGGTAAAACTGCTGCAAACACCGGCTTACAGTTGCTAAATCATATGATAAATAAAGGAGCAAAATCAGGGGAGCCTAAATAGAAATGGTACAATTTTATAACAACCAATGTGGTTTTCCAGTTCGAATATGTATATGCATGCAACTACAAATCAGACAGACGTAAGATATTAAGCGCTGGAGATATTTCCTTAATACAAATACATAATACAAATACAATATTATATAAGATATTTGCACCGTGATTTGATATAAAGATTTTACTTACCTTTTTCGACTGGTGTTGAATACTTATAACTTCTGACTCTGCACCCTCGAAATCGTTGAATTACGTTGAATTGACTCAGATTTAGATGAAAGCACTGTGATGAAAGCAACCTTTATATATAATCACCTATCATCTCATGTAAATCATTAAACGGATGTGGACCATTACATACGCGTCATACCGAACTTTGACGTCGTTATCATCACGTAGCATTCAGTCAAGTGAGACGAACTTTCGTCAATTTCAAAACCAGGTAATTTCTATTTACATCATCCTTGCAAGACAAATACAGACGCACAGCTGAGTGAATTAAGCGCTTGGAACAAAGAAAATCACAGGAATTATAAAGTAGCCCACTTTTTATACCAAACAAGAAGCCGACTCGGCGTTAAGCCTGTTTTCCACAAGCGATAATTGTCGCGCGAAGCGACATAATCTTTTGTATTTGAGCAATTTTTTTAGTGTTTCAGATGGGTTGCATCTGTGGTTGCATGCAGTGTGACCCAGGTTTTTTGAAGGCAATTACCAAATTAGGTGACAGAAATTACTATATGAGGCAAAAAATTACTACGCACACATTTATCCCGCATTATCATTGGTAATTCCAAATCTTTTTCCAAAATATCCCTACTTTACCCTAACAAAAACGTATAAATTATTGTTTTTCTGTGGACTGACCTAGGACACAAGACAAAAAGGGGCCGCATGTATTTTTTCAACCTTGTAAGAATGCTTGAAAAGTAATAAAGCTTTCTGTAATTTTAAGAAAGTACAAATTTCCAATTACTACAATCATCCGAAAAGTTACCAAGTAGTTAAAATTACTACGTTTGGTCATACTGGATGGGTTGAGAACTCCGAAATAAGAGGTATCAGTAGAAAACGCAGGTGCGGGTAAGCGGATAGATCTTGCGGATAATGGTAGAAAAGGCGGCTAAATTCATACGGATAATAGTTAGAAAATGCGGGTAAATTCTTGCGAATAATGTAGAAAAACGCGGGCAAATTGTTTTTTTATCAAACAATCGAAAAATAACTCTTTTCTTCCGGATATTTCGGACAAAAAAGGCATGTTTTGACAAGAAACTGTCAACTCTTTACCTTTAACTGAAACTGTCGTACGTTTTTATTATCAATCCATTCATCAAATACGCTTAATCCTGGGTTAAAGCAAGTCTTAAAATGAATTTTTATAATCACTGGTTTACAAAGTTGAATTTCTTTTTTCATAAATATTTTCTGAACTGATAGAAGTCATATTTTCTAAGGTTTTAAAACGAACAGTGGTTCAGGCATATACTAAAACAGTGCAGATTTAAATTTAACCTAGGGTTATTAGGGCTAACCTAGCTTTGAACCACTGGTCCCAGATGTTTAAATTAACGCGTGTAACACAACGATTAACATACATCCCTAGCCTTTGTATGTAGAATTAAAAGTCTAATCTAAAAGACCGGCAAGCGAACTTTGTGAAACTGAATCGTGTTGTCGTTCACGTGAAACGAGAAAAATATAACAAAATTTAGCTTTCGACACCGTCTCAAATGCCCCATGCATGTCCAACAACTTCTAATCTTTCAACTTTAGCGTGTCTTTGTTCATGCGATTACTTACACTTTGTTACATTTCATAAGACCTTGGCGTAACAAAATCTAAGAACATGGCTTCTGAAGTATTTTGGGTAATTCAGTCGTTATCCGTACAACGCGACGCGAATTTTCAGGTTTCAGAAACATATAAATTAAATTCTGGAAGCAAAATTTGGGATCTATGGGCGCCACCAGAGCAGTCAAAATGTCAAATTATCGTTACATAATCTACAGGAATATTACGATAGGTTAAGGTTGGTGCCTCTTCCGTGTGCATGTATCTCTGATTTTATTTCCCATATTAATTCTTGTCTACAGAATGGAGCGCCAGTGCGCCATTATACTTTATGTAAGCCAAGTAAGCCATTAAATTACTCTTTTCTACATCATTATTTAAAATATGTCATTTCATTCTCTATAATTAAACTTTCAGAGGATATACCGCTGACATTACTTGTAACAGTCACCTCTTCCAGCGGACTGGACACCACTATGTCTGAATCTGTTAAAAACGCAGCTTCATCACTTTGTGTTTGCAGAATTTCTTCTGGAAGTGAGGGCTGCGTTATCATTACCTCATTCGTTATCATCCCTGCCGGGAGGTTTTTCGTCACTAAGCCTGGAACGAGTGAATGGGAATAAATAGTGTTGTTCGTTGTAGAAAAATTGATGTCAAGAGACTGGGTCATAGAAGGAGACACAAGTTCCTCAGGCGAGCTATTATCGTGTCCAAGTGCATTATGGGACGGCTCTCGGTCTCCATTGTGCCGTTCAGAAGCACTTTGGATTTCTCTGCTGGATTTACTTTCTAAAGAAAGCGAATGAGGGAGCTATTAAGGACCCCATAAAGATAAATGAAGCGCTTTCTAAAAGACGAGAAGACGGCATCTTTTCATACCTGTGTTAACTGTGGTCGAGATCTCTTCTTCAGAAACACACTCCAGTTGTTGATCCTGTTGTAAGATATCAGTGGCCCCATTTTCAACGTATGAATCAGTCACCTTGCCTGCAGGTAATCTGACTTCAGTAGGCGTTGACATGATTTCTGCTGCTGCGTTCTCAATATCTTTGCGCAATGAATCTGCACCCAGCTGTATCTGATTTGATGGCAGTGGTGAAACGATGACTGGTTGCGTAATAATTCTATTTTCCTGCCTGTTATTTTGCTACGAAACAAGAGAGAACCGTTAAAAAACACTCAAGAAGTGAAAGACTTAAGAATTAAGTATCACTAATCATTAGAATATTCTTACTCAATGTCACTCAGTTTACCAGCCTTCATAACTGATTAACTCTACATCATGTGTATGTAAGATAGGACGAAAAATGCTCCGAAAAACAACATCTTGTAAACTCAAGATTCGAGTATTAAACAAGACAAGAATTTGTGGTGATATTTCGACTTTATTTCAAAGTGATTCTCAAACAAATGTGCATTCCGAAAATCATCGTAAATCTAAAATGTACTAACAAAAAAGTTGTTGAAGTAACCAACCTGTGGGTTCCCATCATCGTGGGTATTTATTGTCTCAGAACTTGAAGGAACCTTAACTAACTTCGTGCCTTGATCCTGAGAGGTCTGGTGCAGAAGATATGAGGTAGCGGACGTGGTAACAGCAGCGCATTGCACCGGCTCAATGATATAAGACGTTGGTTGTGATGGGTCGGTGTTTGGAAGTGGACGTAAATGTACCATTTCATACGTGTTGATACCATCTGATCCCTTGCCATCCCCTCGAGCAATGTATATTTCTCCGTCCACTGGAAAGCAAAATTTTAATAGGAGTTTAGTTGGACATAGATAAGAACTTGCATTATCGCTAGTTCTATACAATAGACAAAATTGATACGTCCGGAAAACTGCGCGCAACAATAGCCTACCAGCTAGATAATTTACTGAACAAAAATGCGGCTTTGTATAGTTATGAAGAGTACAAAAGCTGCGCAAGTGTATGTGCGCAGATATCACCTATAAAGAAATATGAAATTGTCAACCTTTTGGCGCGTAATTCTTACCTGTTATAGCATGTCCCACACTTGTCGAGACCGTAGCACATGTGGTCAGCGGCGAAAGAGGTAAGCCAGTGGTGTTTAACGCCAGCGGTGGTTCAGCATTGGGAAGTTGTAAATACCTTGTGTCATGTCTGCATAGACGATGCTTGAGACTTTTTGCATATTGCGAGTGAAGGTATGATATTATGTCTGATGAAAAGAGATTTTGAATTCCATTATATTATTATCTTTTAATACAACAATTTGTCAAAGACCAGGCTAAAATTCATGGCTGTGAGTATATGCCGTTGTTTAAGCATCACATTTTATACGGCGTTAACGTTGAAACATATACTGCAAAGCTTGATTTACTGCTTTTTTAAATACATCAGCAATGGCCTTTGCTTTCTTACATTACTGCTGGATATCACGAGTTTTATGTAAAACAAGGCCTCGTTAAGGACTATTTAGACTACACGATAAGTTGTAAGTAATTATCATTCTGACGAATGCAAAAGAGGGCCTATACCACAATCTTCATTCAATTTTGTTGAATTGTTCAGGGTGGAATTTAAAGTGTCACGTTTGTCCTTTACATGGTGAATGGGCCTTTACCGTGCAACATTTCTTGCAAATTGCAATGCAATTCTACTTTTGACAGATGTAAATATGGCAACTATATACGAAACTTTTATGTTTATTACACTCCATGTACGTTTCTTACACTGACATTTCGAATACTTTGTGCACTAAATTACATCTCTTAAAAGTAGGATTGCACTACAAGTTGCAACAAAAATTCCACCGTGTAACATGGCCTTAAGATAGTGGAGTTTAAATCCAAAGTTCGTGGTTATCTAAAGGTGACTCGACGACGCACTTTCAAAATTTTGGGATTGAATCACCGTCTCTCTTTACCTACCTGGGAATGACAAATATTGAGGGACATGTTTCTTAATTGTCCACCATTTACTGCGTAGCCATTGGGGTGATCTGGCACTTGCCCAACCATCGGCTAATCCTGACCAATCAATTTCACTTTCGTTTTGAACTCCTAAATTGTAAATTCTATAACAGCAAAAAATAGAATTCAATCATACGATTCGCATCTTGAAAATAGTTTATGTGATGAATGTTTAAGATAACTAACTTTTTAATAAGATCTATTTCATCTGTTTTATTCCATTCTTTTCCACCACATTCTTTCCAGTTGAGGTAATTCAGCCTTGAAATTTATACTTTGAATATTAGTAATTAGTAAATGCACCCAAACCTTAATGAACCTATTGCATAACAGACCAACTTTTGATTTAGGCGACAAAAAGAGAATTTCCGAAAAGAACATTCTAAACTTAGTATAGTTGCCAAGTTTGGCTGCAAAATATTGTAAAATAAAGTGCAGAAAATATAGCCATGCGAATTTGGCAATTTTGTCTACTTTTTTACCACGGCCGGAAGTGTGTAACTAAATTAGTTCCAATATATATAACCAGGGAGCAGCGTGGCAGCGTCTTCAAACAACTTAGCATCAAATGTGGTATAACAACTACCTAAATAGACAAAACACTTCTCGACGTTTCGATCCCTGAGGGCCTTCGTCAGACTCAGGTCAAAACGTCGAGGAGTGTTTTGTCTATTTTAGGCAGTTGTTATACCACATTTCATACTAAGTTGTAACTAAATGAGTTAAACTCTTCCACCCGCAGTAAAAATACAAAATTGCGGCATTGTATAGTTATGAAGACTTAATTGAAGACTTAAGGGGACTTAATTATACTTTACTTATACTTTAAGTATATTTTTATATTTTATTATTATAATGTACATATTCTAATATACATTAAACCAAAATACGTTCAACAATGCTCGGCTTCTATTTTTCTTACCATTTGGATCGACATTGTTTTTCCGATCTCGTCCCCACTCTTCTCGCGACATCAGTCCACAATATACCACTAGTAATACTCTCCCCAGAAACTGTTGACGTCACCTCGTGGACCGCTTCAGATAAACGATCTTCTTCATCTTGGGACCATTTACCTAAGAATCAAAAGCCAAAAATTTCCAGTTAGACTTATTTAGAAGAATTGAATCTGTCTGTTGACTAGAACCAAGTTGAAAGAATTGACGATATATAATAGAAGTAGACAAACTCATTCACATCTCCCTGCGTCATATCCTCAATTTTTGTTAAAAAGGTGAGATATTAAACTCGGATCTTTTAAACGGGACACAAACTATGTATACTACTGCGCCCGCCCGCCCACTATGCAGGATTCTACACTAGAATTTCGCTTTCAACACACCCTGCCATGCCCACCTGTAGAACATTTTTCATTGAGTAAGCGACAACGATCCTTCACTGAGGAAGCACTTCGTCCCAAAGCTAGTCCAATGGCGGTCCAGTCATTGCCATGTTTTCTTTTCAATTCCTTCAACTTTACCACCTCGTCAGGAGTGTATTTGCCATTATAGTTCCCAGTCTCATACGTTCTTAAAACGCGGCGATAGATGGCGAATAATGGGCGATGGATTCCTTTGGCTAAAAATATTGAACACATATATACTGTACTTTAGCAACCATAGAATCGTTTCAGTCTCCCTGCTTAGAGCTCCGTTGTCACTTTTTATGACATTCAATGCAAGCTCTACCAAGTACTACCAAACCTGTGCAACATTATTTGGTGATGGGTCAAACAGCTAACTACAGTAATCTTTATTTTGAAACTCGAAAAAAGAGTATTTAACTTTCAATTTTTCTTTATCAAAATTGAATTATTTCTCAAAATTGTCTTTGGTTACGTTGCAAAAATAACCACATCTAGCAATAAACTCTAAATTGGTTCAGCCAGCAAACAAAGTGAATTCTACTCACCGATTGTTCTATAAAATGTTTTCCTTTCTTCTTTACTCTGTTTAAATACAACTTCACGAGGATCGGAGATACCACGGCTCTGAATAGTGAAATACGTATGTAGCAACATTAATTTTGCAGTCATAAACAGTGCACATCATACCTTACAATATTGCATGATATTACTGTGTAGAAGTTCACTTTCTTCTTTAGACCACATTCCTTGTCGCCATTTCACCCCTGTAAAATATGATATCAATGATCACCGCTACTTAGCTGTATTAGCTAACTCTGAACAATCAAATCACATTTATAACCAGTTCAGACTGTATGTTAACAAGAATGATGAAAAACCATACTACCACAGGGTGAAAAACTCATCATGATCATGACCTGTACATGTACGGAAGCCATCATCATGGGGTAGGGGTACAGTTCTACTAACAACCGATAACAAGCTAAAAATTACTGACAGAAAGCTTATAATCATTGATAACGATGAAATAGACGCTAATATTGTGTTTCTTTGATTTTATTTTTGGAAGCATAAAAAAGCCAGCAAGACGGGTCGGAAATTCGTAATATTATTACTGTTATAAGTCGAAGAAACACAATATTAGCATCTATTACATCGTTATCAATGATTATAAGCTTTCTGTAAGTAATTTTTAGCTTGTTGTCAGTTATTTAGTAAGACCCCAGGGGTATACATTAACAACACAACAATCAACATCCAGGCACATGCCATATTATGTCATAACGTCAATTACCATCAAATAGTAACCACAGTTCAATGATTATATACCAACATATCACCACCACTATTAAAATAACTGCCTTCATTATTGGAATGACCTATTACTACCAGCGTGAGCAGATTGTTACCTTTCCCCTGTAGACTATCTTTATCTTCTTTTGTTGTAAACCATGCTTGGTTAATATCATCAAATTCTGACTGTATTTCATTCTGGGAACCTTCAGGTAATGGTGCTATAGCAAGTCGTGGTAAACTGTGTGATGATTGATCCATTGGCTCCACAGGACATACAGATGATGCAAGGTCTGACTCAACCATGATAGGTGCAGTATAGGCTTGCATGGTTGATGTGGATACCTTATTGATTGCAACATAAGCACGTTGTTTATCTTAAGTGCGACTAAATATTCCTTTACAGCAAAGGAGTAACTAGTTTCCCGCACAGCCCCCGTGTATAGCCTTGTTTTGCTATTGAAACAAGGCCAGATGCGCTGTGCGGAAGACTAAAGACTGACAATATTACTAATTAGGTAGGAATATGGGGATTGATACACCAATTTCAAAGGCAAATCAATTGCCCTTAACATTTACAACACTTAACTACTTTTGAGGTCATTACAACTTCTAGTCCCAATGCAAATTATATTAAGCCATTTCTCACCAATACACAGTAATAATTTAGAATATTTAGGTTAGGATTTTGTCATCAATTGCTATTATTACGGATTATTAATGCAATCTCGATTGTGATTGGCTAAAAACCTACTGATAATTCTCAATGTCTTGCCACCTATGCAACATTGAAAATAATCCGTAGGTGACACAAATTTTTTTGCTGCTAGTTTGTTGTCAATAATCTGCACTTTTATTAAATTGCAGGAAAAATACATAATAAAACAATTATTGAAATCAGTTTTTGCATATGCGATAATGCAACAACCTCATCCAATAATTGTTAAATATTTAACATTTAACTTATTTTACATGTTATACGTATATACCCAAATATATTTTTTTGGCAATTAAAAAAAAATGTTTAAAATCTCACATGAAGATTTTCCTCAGAAACATGGTCCAAAGTTGTAGACTTTAAATCGGATTCACCATCAGCTAGAATTTCACAAGGAAATTTTAACAATCAGTATATTGGTTCCAATGAAACCCAACACCTGAGTTAATTCTAGGTTTTTTTAATGAAGTGTGATTCCTAAAAAATATTTTTAGCTCAGACATGAATATAAATGTAACATAAATTTAACTAACCTTCTTGCTTTTCATGCTCATCAATAATTATGGTCTGATTACGAATGTTATGATCATGGAGAGATTGTACTTCAGTCACTTCTATAGTGCCATGTTCTGAGATCACAGAGATGCCTTCATTCTTGTTATCCTCCACCTCCATACAGTTTAAACTTCATACTGATAATAAAAAGCTTTCACTCAAACCATTGAATTTGACCCACATTAAGTTCAAGAATAGTAAAATCCTTCTTAAATTTCCTAATATTATACATATGCAATCATCCCTAGTGTAAATTTGCGTATATCAACATAGATGAAAACCAGGGGCCGGTTGTATCAAGCCCGTTTAGCTTAAACGGTGGATAAATTCAAAATAGAAAGCAAGTCTATCGTTTTATTCAACAAGCAAACTAAATGTTTTTAAGCTTAATACAAAGATACTGTCTACAACTACATATTCAGTGCATAATATTAAAGTTGACTCATTCAACAGAGTTGTAAGAGTGTTATTTAATTTTGACTTATCCAGCGTTTAAGCTAAACGGGCTTGATACAACTGGCCCCTGTAGCATATCTGGATATAAATGGATGTATTAACTATTAAATTTCCCTCTTAAACAGACAGTGTATAAACACAGATGACGGTCTACCTGAAAATGAAAGTAACATTCAGCCAATCGGTATATTTTAAAATAGAAATTGCAATGATTTTCTCACGAAAATACGAATGATACAAAAAATTAATACAATCAATCGTTTCAATACATTCCCGGTAAATTTCGGGACATTTAAATTTTGGAGCGAAGTTTGCAATTATCCGGGAACTCGGAGTCGAAAAGATGCCCGAATGTTGACAGGCCCCGTACGTATTCACAAAATACTACCCAACATGTCATATTTATACACTCTAGTTTTAGATAGAACTTTATCGAATACTAAGAACTATACATACCATGTTCTTCATGGTAAACATAGAAGAAATTTATCTTATTTGTGAAGAAGGTTTTGGCCATTGATTTGAGGAATTAGATTTGAGGCGAGGTAGCAAAATGAATTACTGGTCACGTGGTTTCTGTTTTCCTGATCTCAAAATTATTGTTGACACTGGACATAATGAATGTTAAATTTTTGGATGTATGCAGAGGACAGCCTCGTCCCCCAAAAAAACGCGCCGGGGTGGAGACTGTGCAGAGGATGTATGCTGCCTTCTTCGCAGACCGTCGTTGCATCATGGGAAGGGTCAATCATTTTCCGGCAGTGTTTTATGTCACCCCACTGGGTAAACTCTGTTCAGTGTTCACGGTACTACATCTAGTTGATAAACAGAGGCAAAGATGAGATTGTTTCAAAATTGCATACTTATTCAAATTTCAACAATTTCTATTTCTGCAATGTTTGACACATTTGATTATTCCTTTATTAGGTGCAATACTGAGTAAGAGGTAATTTCTAGAGGGTAATATGTACAACGGGTAATTTATAAGAGGTAATTTACAATTCTATTTGTTAAAATGACCACACAATAAAATTCAATAACGCGTATGTTTATTAGTTCCATTGAAAGTTTCAAAACTATACTACATTCCATTCTAGTCTACATTTTCGGATTTTTTCCACATATTATCGACGATAAAATGCACAAAATGCACAGTCATCGATGAGTTAAAATTTTAGCATCTCAAGCTGTCCCGACCAAGGGTAAGGCGTAATGCTCCGAGATGAGACCTTCTTGTTTGGCTGTGTCACACTGGGCCTGACAACCACAGGAATTGTTGCACACGGGCCAGACGAAAGGAAGATCGTTAGCCTGCCAAATTTGAACTAATGCTTCGACGAACTCATCCATCATCTCAGGAGTGTGATGTGGAGTCGGTGCAATCCGCAGACGTTCCTCACCGCGGGCGACAGTCGGGTAGTTGATAGCTTGGACGTAGATGTTGTACTGCTTCATGAGGTCGTTTGAGACTTGTGTACACTTCTCCGGATCACCAACCTGTTGAACGAAGATTCGAGAAATTGATTTCATGTGCATCGGAATTGTTTGAATATTTAGCCGGTTTAATTTTCAGTGAAAAATCATCTCAAACAAAATGGTACCGCATTTCACTCACATGTACAGGAATAATATGGCTTGGGGCATAAATCACAGGTATTCCAGCTTGAATGATACGATTACGCAACATTTTCGCATTCTTTTGATGGGCTTTCCTCAGCCGGACTCCATCCTCGCCCGCGAGAACATCAATTGAAGTGATAGCTCCTCGGACAATCATCGGAGGTAACGAAGTGGTGAAAATAAATCCCGAACCATAACTTCGGACAGTGTCGACTAGCTTCGCGGAACCTACGATGTAACCACCGATAAGTCCGAACGCTTTCCCAAGGGTGCCGGTGATTATGTCCATTCGGTCAAGCAGCTGACGTTCTTCCCCCACGCCTGCACCATGTGCTCCGTACATGCCAACTGCATGCACCTACACAGAATGAGAAATTCGAGACACAATTTTACTCGAATTCATTTCACCAAGTTTTTCGTCAATAAGATTAGTGATATTGTTCTTCCATCCCAGTCAAGTCCCTTCACCTGTCGTTAGGACAGTTTTAATAAAAACCCTCGTGCACCTGGCCTCTCAATTCCCACTGAACAAAGTGATGAATGTGTCCAATATAAACTGCTTTAGAGCAGTGTCAAAAACAAAGATCTTAATTAAGTTGTGCCACTTTTTCTTACCTCATCAACAAAGGTCAAAGCTCCATATTTGTGAGCAACATCACAAAGTTCTTCCAAGGGACAAATAGATCCATCCATTGAATGAACGGTTTCAAATGCTACAATCTTGGGCAGATCAGGATCAACCTTGCGAAGCAATTCTTCGAGATGAGCGGGGTCGTTGTGGCGGAAGACATGTTTCTTTGCACCACTGTTCCGGATACCCTGGATCATGGAGGCATGATTACCAGCATCGGAAAAGATGTGACAACCTGCAGAGTACAGGAAATTAAGGATTATACTTCATTCTTAAACCAATTAAGAAATTGGATCTGTATTTCTTTTATCAACTATAGGACTCTGTTGCCTAAAGATCTCAACTACAAACATTGTTATAGAGTCTATACCTGGTAGGAGCTTTCCTAACGTAAACAAAGTTGTATCATTTGCAACATAACACGAGGTAAATACTAGACCAGCTTCTTTTTGATGCAGTTTGGCCAGACGTTCCTCCAACATTCCATGAAATTTGCTGTTCCCAGAAATATTCCGAGTTCCACCAGCTCCTACACCATACTCATCCATTGTTTCTCTATATTATTGGTGATAACATGCTGCGGTAAGTAGTCTGATTGTCAGGGAAACTTTATTCACATGCATCAAAATAACCTAACATAATTTCCTAACAAACATTAATGATCTGCAGGTGTAAATTGAGAATAATTTATTTCAAGATTCTTGTGGATGTGAATAAAGCTGTATATCTATGTTCAGTTCATCTTTGTAGATGTGTAGATAGAAAATAGCACATTTTCTTCTCAATCATCTTAGCCTCAAGGAAGATATAAATCATTAGGCAACTAAGTAATAATATTATAGTACCTAACAGCCTCCATAACTTTAGGATGATGTCCAATTCCAAGATAATCATTGCTACACCACACAGATATCTCATCACCATTCTTGCCATGGCTATAGGATTGCCCATAAGGAAATTTCTTAGCCAGACGATTCACCTTGTTAAACACACGATACGACTGATCCTGCTTTTTTTCAAAGATCTTCTTATCAAAGAAACTCTCATAACCAAATGCTAGAAAAGAATTTACCAGAAATTATTACAAAAGTCTTTCTTAAAACAGTATACCTACAAATTAATGTATTACAATGATCAGCTATTGTTCAGGAAATAGACTTCTTTTGTACAATGGTGTTTTAAAAGAAATAAATACTAAAGCTTTGTGATGTATGTTCTGATAACACTTACAATTTCCTGGTTGTTTAGGAACATCTTTTGAATCAGCAACAGGTTTTGAGGAAAATGGACATTTCTTTGCATTTTCTAAGAATGAGATAAATAATTATGAGCACACCAGTAACTCTACAGGTACAATAATGAAATATTAAGGTACATGTAATTGTAATATACAAACCTTGAAAAGCAGCAGGTTTGTCTTCTGCCACCTGAAACATTCCCTGATCTTCTTTCTCAATAAGAATATCTTTCAGTACTTCTTCATTAGGTTTCTGGATCTTAAGGCCAGAATCAACCAAAAATGGACACTTTTCAAAATTTGCTCCTACAAAGTTGAACATAAAGCTAGATAATGAATAAAATTTTAAACACAGCAAACATTCAACGGGTTGGCAAAAAAAAAGAGAGTACTTAGTTGACAAAATAATCTCTTATCCTATCCAATATATACTTTGGCCCCAAAAACACTGCCTTGCACAGCTGATTTTGTTTAAATGAAATGTAAACATAAAATTAGGTTAATCTAAACAATATATTAGTGGTCTTTACACTAATATATCATCAGTTAGCCTTTCTTTCTTTTAACACACAAATCCTTCCAATGACAGTTTTAGAAGTTGAGAAATAAATAATTCCCACAAATTGTCCTTTTAGACCCCATCAAGATAACACTCTCAAAAATATCAACACTCACAGTAGCTCAGTTATCTGTGGAGTGCTGATACAATATTTAAATGCAATACTGAAGTTTTTTAAAATAAAGAGCTTTAACTGAAAGAGGGAAATAGTGGGTGAACTCAATCTGGCAAGTACTTTTGCTACGTACAAGATGCGGCTAAAACACAGCTTACATAATATGCAAATCAGGTGTATCTATAATTATTCAAGCCTTTCAATATCTATCATTTGAACAAGTAATAAAACACTGGTAATAAAAACATAGTAAATTATATAATATATTTAAAATACACAAACCTCCATCTCGAGAACCAGAGTCAGTAGCTTTTACACCTAAAATAAGCATTTAAATCATTGGATAGTGTACTACAAAGATGCTTGTTATAATGACCATGTTACACATCACTTAACTCACAGTAATTTCAATATTTTATTAACGTGTACTATCCTGCGAATTTTAAGACTATGGCACGTTGTATTGAACTGCCTAAATTCAGTCATTCGTCAATTGAACCCTCGCAGAAGAAAGAAAACGGATTTACCAGATAACAAACAAATTCTTAATTCTAACTAGTTTATTTACTTCACAAAGCATATTAGGCTATTTAATATAAACCACACTGCGTATTAATATATAGACGGAAATATATTTAACGTGTAGAATTTTTGCTCACAATAAAGCCAACTATGTTAAAATCCAGCTGTAACTACCCACAAATATAGTACAACACTTTTGATATTAGACAAAACAAGTGAAAACAACGACAATACCTGATGTGTGCATTTGAGCACTTGTCGGGTGAAGGGAACTCAAAACCTTTGACATAATCGGACAGTTCCGAGCGAAATTCATCATATAGGCACTCTTAGTACGAAGAACGGACATAGGCTGACGAGCCAAGAAAGGACAGCGAAGTAAACTCATGTTTCTCGGTTAAAATTGAGTTTAATAAACACAATATTTTGAATTTTGATGTTGAACGGAGACTCTTCCTTTAGCTTCTTCGGAAATCATTAACGTTTTGAATAAATTACTGGTAAGACTTTCAATTTTATATTCCTGAATTATAATTTATTCAGTATGTTTCCACTTTATCGGGTTCGCCCATCCGGTCGGCAACTAAAATCTATATTATATAGTGCAGTTCACTGGTATACTGAGCGACTTTTCTGACAACCTTTTCTGACTTGAAAATTGAAATCTAGGACAGAAATCTAGAACGTAAAGGGTTTCACATTGGTATTTTAAACAAAAACGGTTGGCGCCATCTAAACGGCTTAACTGCGGCTCAGGCCACAGAGCCAGTACTCAGTAGGCGTGAACTAATGTTGGGTGGGTTACATACATGATTATATAACTGAGTGGGGTATCCGAATATGACAATACTAGTAAATATCTGTGAATATCACGGCGAGGAAATTAAATGCAACCAAGATAGGATGCTTTGAAGCAGGTTGCCAAAATTTACACTTGTTATTAACACCTGTCTCTGTGCAACAGGACCGTACCGAGTAAGAAAAATGTATGTCTTAGTTAACTTTCTCCAGTATCGTGGTTACATTTTTTTCAATATTCAAACAACAAAGCTTAGCTAAGTAACAATAGTTTACAGTTACACAACCTGCTGTGTTGTGTGTAGTTCAGTGGGTGATGATGCATACGTTTTTAGATATACATTATTATTCATTTTATTCATGCTTTTTGTTGATAAATTTAGTGTTGCGAATTGCGATGCAATATATTAAAGGGATATAATCTTTAGAGCACCATCTCCCACGCAGCGAAAAATAGTGATTGATATGTTTCCACTTTAATGGTAATTAATATAAAATGTTTAAAATTTGGCCTAAAATATTTTGTTTGCCTTTATCTCTATGGACACAGAGCTTTAGATAGTACAGCAAATTTGCATAATTATATCATTCAAAACAATAAATTGTTTCAAATTCGAAGACACTGACAAGCATATGTCAGACTGTCAGTTTGTGTATATTTTCCGATCAAGATGGACCTTGATAAAATACATGTACTCAAAAGATGTTCTCCAAATCAAGAAATAATCAAGAAATAATATATTAATTAAACCTTTTTAAAATCGATCTTTAAGAAAACACAGATCGTTCATGCATGCAAAATGATGGGAATTAAAGATAAGGTATATTCTTTATACTGTAATTTGAAATATTTTTTAAATAGACTTCTCATTTTATAGGTTATTCTATGTTTTCGTAAATATCAAAATTCTCAGCTTGCACATTAGTCATAATCCGTCAAAGCATCCTGATACGTGCGAAGATATGTTTCTTCATTAGATATCGCAGCGAATTTCGTATAAAAATGCAAGAAGCGTGCTCTTTGGCATAAGACACATTTAGGAATTTTACACGAGTGCCAAACCCGGCTAAATATATAAAGAATCGATCCATCAGCGCCTTCCCTATATGGCATCATAGACAATATGACATATACATTCCTATAAGAATGTACAAATAGGTACGCACTGCGTACACGTGATATTAAAAACCCTTGCTTGGGCGAACTCGCTTGTTGTAATCTAGTTATATTTGCAATTTTTGCTGTCAATTTCTTCTGTTGATAGGTGGAAACACAAACGTTTTAAATGCTCCAATATACTAATATTCTTATTAGAACATTGTAAATTATCTAGTCCAGTCGTTCGTGTAAACGACTTTTAATTGCACCTCAGAGCCGAAGTGAGAGCTTTAGGGACACGTCTTGCAAACAAATTTTATGATACAAACAATAAGGCGTCTCTAAAATCTCTGTTGAAAACAATAATTAGATTAATTAAAGATATGGCAGGTAGTTTTGAAAAGTTCGCAATCATATGTTCTAAAATATTAAAAAGCTAACTTTTTGGCTTCCGACCACTATATATAACATGTTTTCTCTTGCGCAACTAGCTTGCTCCAAATAAGTGCGAGTCAAAAAATATTTGATATACTAAAAGTGCGAACTGGTTAATAATTAGCTCATCTAACAATAAATTTCTTAGCTATGATCGATGAAGCTGCAGTAATTCCTATTTCCTATAACGGTTTGTAATCTTCTTTTAGGAGTTCACCACAGCCTTGGAGCAAGCCAACCAGGCTCAAAGCAAACTATCGCAAAAAGTGATCCGAGTATTCTTCAGCTCTCCTTTTGGGGGTCTTGAGTTAGAACGAGAGGAGCTCACAAAGAAATACTGGCCTCAACTTCAGTCACTGTGTGGTCACCATGGTTACACATTTGTTCCTGTTGATCTGCGATGGGGTATCACATCTGATCTCTCGGCAAACGCGTCAACCATAAAAATCTGCTTAAGTGAAATTGATCGTTCCGACATTTTTGTTGGATTTTTTGGCCAGGTACGAAAAAACTGAATGTTTCATAGTAAAGGCTGGTTTAAAAATTATCCTCCGGATCAGATCGAACGGTATGGTTTCTTTTGTGCTCAAGACAGTTAGTTTTGGTTGAGAACACAAAGATAAAAGAAACTTTTCTGTTCGACTTGGTCCGCAGGATTGTACTGGCTAAAAGCCAGCCGTAAGACCATACCATTTGTGCAACAATTGGAATTAGCGCATTTAAATTAAGCAGAATCGCGCGAATAGTTGAGACTCGAATAAGGCATAATTTCGACCGTTGGTTGTTCTTGTAAAATTCTACCTCACTATGTTTATTTTAGCGTTATGGCTGGCATGGTGACGATGAACTTTTGCAAAAGACATTCAATGCTGCACAACATGATTACCCGTGGCTAGCTGAGCATCGTGGAAAGGCTGTTACGGAACTCGAGTTTCTTCATGGGCATCTCAGGCAACCTGGACGAATACCTGCGTGCTTTTATTTCAGAAATAAGGTTTCGTAAAAGATTGTTGAAGTTAAATGAATGAGTTAAAATTCCAAAGTTAAAATTCCACAATTGCAAGCAGGCAATGTCGAAAATAGTAGTGAAAAAATTCCTGCCGCGTATCGGTTTGAATATTGGTGCATGTTGTTTTTAGTGAGGCTTTACTTTTCGATTTCTTAAGGGTTAAAATACCTGGAATTTCTAAAGAGAATTTCTATTTTCCCAGATGTTGGAGTTTGTTTACTGCATATAGACGTAATTACTATTAACCCGAGTTTAGTCCTAACTGAAATTCTAGATTTTAACAGTCTTAGTTCAACTGACCATGGAATCAGCCTTTCCTTTCGAAAGCTAATCTTTTTGTAAGCATTTCACTTGTCAGAAAGATTTCTCTGAATCATCACCTGGCATTGCATCCTAGGATTACGATGACAAGATGTTTGTTCAATACGAATCAGAAAGAAACGAGAGAGAAATGAGGAAGTATAAGTCAATAACGGATGGTCCCCATGCTGCAGAGATGTTAGATGATTTAAAGAAAAGAGTTTATGAAACTCGACACAAAGTAAATATTTTTTAACAAATATAATAGGGTTTGTAATTTTTCGGTCTTCGCGCCTTAATATTCTCAAAAAAGGTTTAAATTCATTGAATGCCTTAATAACTTTTTATTTATATTTCAGCACTTTGTTCTGATTAATTTATTTTACTTCATTTGATAATTTAGTGCATTGATGTTTGCATGTCCTATGAAACACCACAAGAGGTAATATATCAACTGTGTCAGGCTATGAGACTGTTCACATGTTCCCCGTGTTACCTGCGAGATTAGGGGAAGCGCGAAATGATTTGGGGGAATTGAAAAAAGTCAATTTGAAACCAGACAAGTACACGTTATTGTTAGGATAACTTTGCTACCGTCATGATCATTTATATTCACAATTTTCAATACCTCAAAGTCATTCATAACGCTTCGTTTAATCTCAGGTAACCAGAATGCTTACTCACGGTAGTCACAGTCACATATAATATGGATCATGAATTATTCCCAAAACTTCAAAACTTCTAGGCAGCCAAGATGATGTTTAAAGCCCTAAATGCGCAGATTAAAAAGATGCTTGCAACTGCATCTGATATTGATCTTAGTCCAAGAGAAGTGGAGAAGACGAAACATGATGCATATTTTGTAAAGCAATACTCTATTGGTAAGAAGAGTTAGTGTGTTTAATTGGCCCAGTATACGATGTGATTGTAGTATTGCATGGGTCAATCAACCACCCGGCCGAAATCAGTATATATAAGATCGATATTGATAAGTTCATAAAGGCTAGTTTCCACTCAGGAAAAATCTCCTTTGGATCGGAACGGACAGGAAAATTTCCTATGTGGGTGGGTTCTCAGACGGCGGTTTATACAAAGGAAACTTTCCTGTCCTGTCCAATCCAAAGGCGAATTTTCCTGAGTGGAAACTAGCCTTAAGTGTAATCTTTTAGGCGGAAAATATATCGGAGGCGACAAATACTTAGAAAAAATTGACGAACTCATTGCATCAGAGGGGTCGAATGAGATAGCGGTTACAGGAACTGCTGGTGAGTAAAGACGTCAGAGAATGACGTTGAACCAACGGAATTTACGCTCACATGGCTGGTAGCTGTCCGACCGGGCATGATTCCGGCCACGATCCTCATGCATGTTGGATATCATATGAAAGTCATGACAACAAAACTATACAATATACGTAACTTGTAGGAAGCGGAAAAACTGCACTTTTGTGTAACTGGATTGATAATCACTCGAAGAAAAATCCAGAAGATATTGTTGTGTATCATTTCATCGGTTGTGGAACTAACACTACAGGTAATATAAGACATGTGAACGCTCTGCTGAACTAATGCAACTTCAGTATATTAATTAAAACGACGCGTCATCAATATTCAATACCATAAAAACAATGAACGGAAATGAAATATTAGGATCACCTATATATGTTTCCATATATAGATTGAAACTTTCCTTATGCTATCTGCGTTGACCTATCGATAGTTGACCTATCTTCTAAAGTAGGTCGGTATTTGAGTGATTAGCTGATTTGAGTAAAAGACTCAAGCTGTTAACATTTTCCTCGAATATTAGTTAAAACAAGTTGTATATGAATGTTTTCCTAATTCTTTCAAAGAAAACTAAATTTCCATTTTATTAATAATTTCTTCATCAGTTTAATTCACTAATGTTATTATACGTAGATCCCAAACTGATCCTTCAGAGGGTATGCGATGAACTGGATTACGAGTTACAGAAAAAGTTGAGCTCAGCAACAACGGGGACTGAGCCCAGGGCTTCAAAAACTAACGAAGATGTAACGACATCGTTACATCGAAAAGAAGGAAATCAAGTAACGCAAAGTGCTCCGGGTGAAAAGAAAAACGAAAGAAAATCGTCACGGGGGCTTCTTTCATGTTTCCGTGGGAGCAAAGTGACAGATGTTGATAAAAATTATCGTTACGAAAACGCGAATGATGGTAAAATTAGAAAATTTCATATCAGTTACTTTATTTGTATATCATTTTAACTTTGATGTAAACTGGATTGCTGGCGTAGAAAACATAAAAGTGTGGGGAGGATATATTCATATATTCATATATTCGATCTCTGCATGGTCCATTCCTGTTGAAGTTATCTTTACAATTTGTTAACATGAATTTATGAAAGCCCCCCCCCCCCCTCTAAATATCGATGCTTCCTGCGCCATTAAACTCACAATATGGAAAAAAGGTCTAATTTCTATCTTACACGAGATTATTCTGTTCAAATTTAATGGCAGCAATAAATCAAGTGGGTGAAGAGAAGAATCAGGCAACAGAAGAACAAAAAGAGTTGAAGACAAATGATAAAAATGCCACGAATGTAAAGAAATTTTCACCAAAAGATTTGCTCCCCACAGGAGGTGGAAACCATTCCATTCAAATGATCTTGGGAAAAATAGCAAAGGTTTGTCAATGTTGTTCTTACACGTGCAAAGATAACGTATGCAAATGTACAATTTTCACTTTAGCTTACTAAAGATATATCTAAAGCAGAAAGAAAGGTGTTTATAGTTATTGACGCCTTAAACAAGACTGATGATCTTGGGAAGACTGGAAAGGTTTTATATTGGTTACCCGCCGACCTTCCATCCAATGTCTACTTGATCGTCTCAACTAGAAGTAAGCATCAGACTTCTATGGAAGTACTTGTCCAAGAACGATCGTTCGCCACAGTCGAAGTTTCCGGTTTAGATGACTTGCATAAAGAAACAATGGCGAAGGTAAAGTTGATAAGTTCACTTGCTGTAATTTGGTTCGATAATTCGGTAATTTGGTGATCGCATTTGGTTCGTTATGTTTCTTCAATGGAAGTGGTGGACGTCAAACTGATCTGAACCTCGCTAACACCGACTACTGTATATAAAAAGACCTTTGTCATAAAGATGGCCACCACATGACTAATTTCCTTTAGACCACCCTATATCGTTGTTATGATCTATTAGACAGAGAAGTTTAACATACTTCCTATCTATGAGAAATAGTTTTTGGTTGGCGAAGAAAAGTTGACAGACGATTTTACTACCTCTGTTTTTGTAAATAAACGTGTCTGATTATTGATATAGAACACATTGGCACTTCGAGGTAAAGAATTCTCAGAGAAACAGATGTCAAAAGTTGTGGAAGCAGCACAGACCAGGAATCCATTGTTTCTTGAAATTTTCCTGGAGGAAATGTGTGGTTTCGGAGATTTCTTTCTCGTTGATAAACAGATTGATCACCTTCTTGAGGCTGAGAGGTACAATGAGAGCAGGGATCAATATAGATCATCGTTTCGGTTTCTTTATTATCTTTGGACTTTGGACAGAAAACACTGAGATGATTATTTGATTTACTCTTTTAGCACAAAAATTCTCTTTCTGAAGTTTATCAAAAGGATGGAGTTGGATTATAACCCAAAAGATCCAGAAGGAAATCCTAGCAGAAATGTCGTAAAGGAAGTAAGTCTAAAGACTAATGGTGCACTACATGTGTTGTATGAGAGCTCACAAACTAACATGCATGCATGTGTATCAATCAATAAAAGGACTAAATTTCCATGAAGGTGAACAAGGCGAAGGGTGTGAGCTTACTCCATTTGTTGATTTTGTTCTTATCAACTTTCATTCTCGTTTGACCGAAGATTAGCAGAATTGTATTTACTTCTTTGTAAGGTTTTGTGTTTGATTGAAGTCTCCAACGAGGGTTTATCAGAAGAAGAACTAAGAGGAATTCTCCACATTGACTCGGGAATGTGGTCACCAATATTTTTTGCCATTGCCAGTTTTATTTTAGACAGAGCTGGTTTGTACAGGTATATATATATAAGCTCAGTAATGTTCTTTGATATTCCTATTTATTATTTTCCATTCTGGTAGAAAAATTTTAATCTTCGCGATTGGTAATTTAATTTGCTTTTCCGATTCAGCTTTGGCTACGAAGATCTAAGTAAGGCAATAAATGAGAATTACCTGACAGAACAATCAGACAGGCTCATGTTCGTGGAAAAGTTATCCGACTATTTTGAAGGCAAATTTCAGGTAAGAGAGATATAAATGGTCAGTCATCTACTTGTGTCTTGAACAATCAGCGGATCCGGTTTTCAGTGATAGGAAAAATAATGGACCCAGAATTTTTTTTTGGTTCAGCAGAAATCATAAGCAAACGGCCATACAGATAGATAATAAGATTTACAAATTTGATATTAAATTTAAGGCTGGTCTAAGAAACATTATTTCCATCCTTTCAATCGGTTTACTTTTGAATGGTCGACCTTTTCATTTAAGGATTTATCGTTATCAGTGGACCATGTAGTACCATCACGAATATCAAGTGAATATCCACGACTTCTGTCGAAACTTAACGAGGGTGAAAAGTTGTCCATATATCTAACAAAACTTTGTGTTATGGCTAGCGTCCCAAGGTGAGTTTTTGCTTTCTAGTGGTTTATTGTCCAACTGAAATTTCACTCAAATCCCCCATATATTCCTCATTTCAGTGATGGCCCAGAGTGGTTTAAAATGATGGATTACTGGGAACAAACAGGCCTAAGTAATGATAAGATCTCGCATGCATTTTTAACATCAATTGAAGAGGAAATTACCCAAATAAGAGCAAGAGATTTGCAAGAATTTGGTGAAGAGAAGAATCCAATTTTGACGCATGAAAAGGTCTGTTCACTCTCTCTTTTTTTTCGCAGCATATTTGTCACAATCTGATTTATTCAGCATGAACTTGCGTGATGATGTCGTCCAATATATCACCTTGCCAGTAATATGATAATATTTCGATGATAATGACACTGTGAACAGAAACTGATATTTGATCAGGCAAACCGTTGAATCTGCACATGTCTATTATTAGGTCGGATTTCAATTGTAATTGTGGTTTAAAAGAATTCGTTTGGATGTTATAGTTGCTTCCAGTTCTTCTACGAATCGCAGAATTTATGGTCAGCGCTGGCTACGGAAGATCTGCCATTCCTATTTTACTCAAAGCTAAAGAACTTTATGTAAGTTGAAAAACCTACCAAAACCTAATTCCATTACGTTCTTCTCATAATGTTGATGGATTCTTATTCTATGATTAGGGATCCCTGGAAAATAGAGCGACAACAGATCTTCAGGCTGTGGAACAATATTGCTGCATCAATTACAGACTGGCATGCCTCTACGTCGATTTGGATATGCTGGATGAAGCCGAACCTATTCATAAGGATGTCTTAGAATTGAGAGAAAGGTTAACTGATTAAGAAACCATTCTTTTATTGCTGAACGCAGCTTAAGGAGAGATTGAATGTAGTGTTATATAACAATAATTACACTCTTTGTGTGCAACTACGTAAGAAAGAATTGACTAATTTTTCAGTTTGTCTGCCATTCGATGGCACATCCAATATTCAGATGAATATTTACCTGTACTGGCTGTACAAGCTCGATCTTCATTTCACGGAAGATTTTGTCGATGTAAATAAGAAGCCCATACACACAAAAAAGTTTCAATTTAGGAACGGGCTGATGAATTCATTAGACCCTCATGCAAAAATCGAGTCTTCTACTCTACGACCGTACATAGATCAGGTTGCTCTGCGTCATCTCTGCGTTCCAATCTTGCAGAGATGAGATTGTTTTTCGTTGTAAAACAAACATCTTCGGTGTGGAGTACCTCCTTTATGCGAATTTGGGAATTGCGACGCTGTGCAGTACTCCAGCTATTTCATTTCTGTTCCATGCATATAGGTACAGCGATCAGTTTGAAAATGGTGACATTGAAGTGGCCACCTTACTTTATGGCCTATCTGTGCTTGAAGGGCGTCGCAGAAACTATGACAAGGTTCGATTTTATTCTCCTCATGTACAGTATGCGACAGTATATTGTGCTTGTGTGCTCGGTTTATAGCTAGCTAGCACTTTAGTATAGTTTAGGCTTCTACTGCATGATAAAAACGTTTAAGTTGTTCCCAGTTGATACACACAGGACTGAAAGTATCTTGCTGCATCCCAGAAACATGGTTTTCAACAAGTTGCTATGTTTTAACAAGCTGTTGAGGTGGTTTACGGCTATGTTTGTGGGTGTAGCACAACATAGTTTCATTAGTTTAGGCTAAAGGCTGCTTTCCTTTACATGAAAATCTGCTAAGTCATGGCAGCAAATTCGCCCGCGCAGGTGAAGAGGACGTAATGGAAAACGCCTCTAAGTCGTGTTGGTGTACTCAGGTGTAGCCTGGGTGTGGCTTATCAAATTTTTCGTTCAAGTCTTTACAAGACAGGATGCTAAAGCCGTATTTGATCATTAGCGAGAGTACGATAATAGTCTATAACATTATAACTCATTATTTTATTCTTTTAAAATTTTTCTAATAACAGGTTAACGAGTACAACACGAGAGTCCTGTGTCTCTATGAAAAACGATTACCCGAGGATCACGAGTATTATGCCAATCTTTACAATAACTGGGGCGTGGCTGTGATGTCCAATAATCCTTCAAACGATAAGGAAATATACGAAAAAGCTATAGAGTATATGAATAAGGCTCAAAAAGTAAGCAATTTTTTTTTCGACCACTACCATAACGAATACTACAGCAACAATTTGCAATATCGATAACGACGACGGCAACAATAACTGCAGCAGCAGTGCCAATAACAAGAACACTGTAACAACAGCCCAACAACAACCGAACCATCACAACAGCCCAACAACAACAGAACCAATACATCAGAACCACCACAATAGCAGTTATAGCACAACAACAACAGAACCAGCACAACAACAACAGAACCACCGCAACAATGCAGGCCAACCACAACAGCACAGCAACAACAGAACCACCACAATTGCACAAAAACAACAGAAAAACAACAACTACAGAACCGCCACAACTGCACAACAACCACAACTGCACAACAACAGAACCGCCACAACTGCACAACAACCACAACTGCACAACAACAGAACCACCACAACTGCACAACAACCACAACTGCACAACAACAGAACCACCACAACTGCACAACAACCACAACTGCACAACAACAACACAAACCACCACAACTGCACAATGATCGACAGATGAACCGCCACAATAGAAACATAACAACGACACCACCGCAACATCATCACACTTACTTTTTTCTTTAAAATTGGCAGATTTATGAATCAGTATACTTTGGCCACTTACCTCCTCAAGTAACTGTCACATTAAATAACCTGGCTTTATGTAATCGACGACTTGGCAACATCGAGGAAGCTAGAAAAATATACGAAAGGTATGATGTTGGTATACGGTGCTTGAGTGTAATGGTTTGAGCAGGTGCAACTATGTAAAATAAGGACAATCAGAATAAATAAACCTCTTTTAAAGAATATTGGCCATTCGTATCGACACGCTGGGAGAAAATCACACCGATGTTGGAATGGTTTACAGAAATCTTGGAACTTTGGAAATGGTTGAGCAAAATTATGATATTGCGATGAATTACTACGAGAAGTCATTAAAAATATATGAGGTTTGCAACTCGTGTTCTTGGTGTTGATAAATTTTACTACTGGCGATAAACTGCTAATTTGTTTGAGGATTTCTCCTTCAAAACATCATTAAACCAAACTCTCTTCATTCCATCAGGCGTTTGGAGAAGAACATTTGGAAACAGCTTTGTCATTGGAGAATATGGCCTTAGCTTACATCAATCTCAAAAACTGGGATAAAGCTCATTACTATTTCAACAGAGCTGGTAAGTTGCACAGTTAATGTTGGATATATAACAGGCTCGCTTCGGCTCGAGGCTTGGATGATGTAAGAACCTTCCTGGTGAAATTAGAAGAATACGACACACTCTATATGAGGAGTGATCCTGGGTACGAGATCGCACACTGCCGTCAATCAAGTTTTACACAATCATGAAAAGTTCTCAAACAATTTAGGATAGGTTATGCATGAGTATGAACGTTTGTTGCTTACAGACAAATAAAAACATAAACCGAAAACACAAAAATAACCTTACGTGAAGTATTACTTCTGGAAGAGAAATTATTAAAGAATCGTGCAATATTTGTCATAACTTTCAGGTGAAATTCTCCACAAAACCGGAAGAATGGACTGCTCTATAGCCAGTATGAACTCCGAGATGGCTGACTACTACCTTAACAACGGTCGTGAACCAGATGCATATAAATTATTTCAACGTTTAGTTGGTACCAGCATAGCTACACCACGTGACTATGCTGCCTTGGAATACTTCGATCGTCAACTGCCGGAGAGCGAAAGGCCGGCGAGGCCTTACGAACACACCTTGAACTATGCCTTGGAAAAGTAAGAAAATTAGTTAAAAAGACGGATTAGTTTAGAAAAAGATTATATTAGGTTTTCAATGTATGTAATAATGTATGTTGCATGTAATAGGGTCAGAATCGTTTCCCGAAGAGGAAAAATCCTTGCATTAACCAGATTAATTACCATTTGTTCTACTCATTAACAAACATGCATTTCTACTACAAATGAAACTTCAGACAGTTAATTTTTTTGGAGTTACTAAATGTCTTCACTTATACTTTATTTACTAGATGGCCCGATAATGAAATGTTGCTTCGAAACAAGATCGTCTCTCTTAGTGAGATTGGGAATATAGACAAAATGATGGAATGTTTTGTCAAAGCTGGGAAATGTGATGTGAATATTTACCTCACAGCGTATAGCTCGTTCGTTGAGAAAGGACATATTGCCATTGCTATGCCACTACTTAGGGAAGGCCTTGAGCATTACCCTGACAATCCAGTAAGATACGAAGGGAATTCAATTGAATTGAGGGACCAGACCGTGTTTTTGGAAATTACTAAATGGAGAATTTGTCCTTTCCTTTTTCAGTTCTTACTTCGAAACACAGTGGAACTATCCTTGGCATTGAAGGATTATCCTTCAGTTGTTAAATGTACTGAAAAACTGCTGAATCAAGATCCGAACGAACTTTTTGCATTAGTGTTTCTTGGTCGTGCCCAGGCGCTTAATGGGGATCTGACACAGGCAAAAGAAACGTTTTCTCGTGGTTTATCGGTTGCACAGCAAGCACAAGACGACGAACATACTTCAAAGGTGAAAAATTTTGTTAACCCACATGGTTAGCCAGTGGTTATAGTTAAGGCAAGAGAGCTATTTTGTAGGCGACGTGTTTGATTACTTTTGAAACCGATTGCATTGCACAGTTGACGTCCATTGTAACATCCGCATAAATGAAATAACGGTTCACTACCAGTATCGACGGTTTCAACCACCGGTATCACAATACAAACGGCCACCATGCACACGAATAACATGATCGTTTTGCTTTAACAAGTCAATATCCAGCTTTTCAAGTCCAGTCGATAGTATATTAGTAGGTAGTATAAAGTTCAAACGAATGAACAACAGCATAAAAATAGTTGAGAAAAAAATCGATAAGAAAAGTGAGAACAATAGATGATGCGGACTAAACTTTCAATATTTCAGAGGTTGCCTTCTACTCTCTCCGAAACATCGCCTTCTCTCCGTCTTTATGACGATCCTAGTGTTCAACGAAGAATAACAGTTTCGGCGCTAATGAACTAGAACCACTCATTCATTATCTCCATCGTTATACAATAGACCACTAAAATACACTTTTGCTCTTTTCAGTTTGAAGTTTTTTTGAAAATGCTGGAGAACGATGCTTAATGATATTAATGGTGATTAATCAACCTTCACGTTGTACAGTTTTGTTTTAACACAATATAGTGTCAACACTGTATTCACTTGTGAGACTGTTACATTTTGGTTGATTAGAATACGATAATTTATATATATTTTAAATGCACATTTGAAGTTCATAACTCAGTCAAGGCTCTTTTAAAACTTTACCTTATATGATCAAATGCACATGCACAATTGGCTCGTGAGAGTAAAACTTGAAATCCATTTCATTTAGGGCTGCGTTCCACTGTCGCGTTTTTTGCACGTACGTACACGCACGTTAAAAGTTTTTAAAAAATAATCTACATGAAACTTATGAAATCAACGATTGAATAGATGCATAGGGTTGGAATCTGTTGATGATTTGGTGTGTTTTTTCAGGCATAAAATTCATTATACAACAACTTACAAGGTTTTAAGCCTTTACGTGCGTGTACGTACGTGCAAAAAACGCGACAGTGGAAAGCAGCCTTAGGTGGATCTAAAAAAAACGTTGTGATGTTAAAATGTTGTGACGTAATTACCGAAAAGGTCTATTACGTAATTCGAAAATAACATCCAATGAAATTTGGTCTATAATATCACGTGACATTTAAAACCGCCGAGGGAAAATACTTGAAAATTTGAAAATAGCAGTATATTTTTTGTTGTTTGTAATTGTACCAAATAATATTTAAAGCAAATTTTTGCTTTTGGTATGGAAGAACTGCATAGCAATCTCTCGTCAGGTATGTATTTGAATTGCTTATTTTAAAAAATATCATGGTTAAAATATACAACATGGCATATTTTTTATATCAATGAAATGAGCGTGCGAGGTGAGAATACTACCGCGCTTGTCTTTGTTCAAACTTCAAACATTCTGAGTCACAATACTGTTAAATAATACTATCAATAACAACGTCGATGTTTGCTACATATGTTGTATATTTATTGTGTGATTGTAGATCTTGTAGAAAATGAAAAATTTGATTTTGATTTGGCATTTTCACCAGATATATTCCCAAACCAAATGTAAGTGACATAATTTTGATCATACAAAATACGATACTACGATAGTATTAGTGGCAGACTGGCAGATTACTTTTTGATACCTTTACAGTTTACACGTAGGGTTTACATGCAGATATAACTATGATGTTATGTTAAACTGTGGTATGTCCAGTGTCAACTCTACCCAAAAGATATTTTCCAGTGTAGAGTCATACCAACATATTTATGCATGTATTTCCAGTTGATCTGGGATTATGATGTTAAATTCTGTTCTCACTTCTGAGTTCTGACATATATTGATGAAGTTGTACTGCACTGGTTTTAGTTGATTTGCTGTCCATATACATTGGAAGTCAACAGACTACATATATACAGAACATCCAATCACCAGAATCAGATCCAACAAAATCGGATTGTTTGAACAGATCTTGATAGGACATGGCAAAACTGAGTCATCATGAATCTCCATTTGATGATTTGAAGAAGGCGTTTGTCAACATTCTTACTTGTAAACTGATAAAGACTAATTTACTAGAAATATAAGACAGATAACTCAGTTTTGTCAAGGTTCTGGTTCTAAGATCAGTTGGGTAGCAACTGTTGAGGAAGCAATCTGCACTAAAAATAAGCAGATTGACTCTAATTTTCAAGCTTGCTAGTAAAATAGAAAATAATTCATTGTAACTGCAATCATGGATTTTACTACTAGAAATGACTCCAAAGGGAAAGATGAAGAAGAAGTCTTTTTTGGTCCTGTTGGCTTCACAGAGCAATGTGTAGCAACTCGCATAAACGTCTTACAAGAAGAAAGCAACATAATTCCATTAAGCCCACTTACAGAAGAACAAGTTGTTGAAGTCTTTAAGGAAGCAACCAAAGTTGCCTTGCAATTTGAAAAACTATCTGATGAAGCAAAGAGTTGCATTTCAACCTCTATTTCAAGCAATAGTCCAGTTTGCAGTTCAATATTAAAGCTATATGGTGGTTCTAAGTCTCCATGTCCGCTAACAGGCAAATTATCAAGTGATAGCCCAAAAAAGAGTTATACTCAATTTGAATTAGATTTTAAGGAGAATATTCAACCCCTGTTAAGTGAAGAGAAATTTCATGCTTATGAAAATGGGCACATTGACCTGGCAGATAAAAATGTGAAGTCATACCCTGCAAACTTTGAAAGTGATAAAATTATGAGCAGTACAAATGAAAAAAAGAATAATACAAAAAAGAATAAAGTTGATCAAAAAGAACAGATTGAAATATCTGTCCAAAATGAGCCTACAATGTTGGAAAAGATCATTTTTGAAAAAGACAGTGAACAAGTTGATGGCAAAATGGTTCTAGAAAGGGTGATGGCTGAAATAGATGCAGCTGAGACAAAAGACACAAAGTACAAAAAGAATCCATTAGCAAAAGTCCAAAAATCAAATTTACCTAAATTTGGGCTTAGAAATTCCAGATTGCCAAAGTCTGTTAATACTGAGAAGTCACAAAGTGCATTTAGTTCAGTAAGTACTAAAACTGGTTCTCAGATTTTATTGAAGTAAGAGTAGTAGATAAGAGGCGTGGTCAGGACGTTTACCTGGGGTCCAACAAAAATTCTTAGTATACACATTCCCATCCAGTCTGAACGGCTTTAATGTCTGTTTTAGCCAATCAAGACAACGGGCTCCAGCAAAAAACGCGAGGATGAAAGAAATAAAACGGCGCGAATGGAAAAATTAACGAAAAATGCTGAGAAATCTGGAGTAAAAAAATCAAGCACTAAGTTGGTAGGATTTTCACTTTAAGTTAGTTTTGGCTCTCTGATTTCTCAGAGAAATTACTTTCATAACTCTAACTTTAGAGTTCAATGAGTTCAATCATTCATAACCATGACATTTTTCAATTTAGCAAAAGAGCGTTCCTGCAAAACAGACACAGGCTTCTCCTAAAGTTCACTCAAAACTAGCCAAACCTTTAGCTAAACGGTACAGACTACAGTAATCCTAACTTTTGTTGTTCTTTGCAGCACTGTTAATTTACTATTAATTTAAACGCTTACCTGAGTCATAGTTATGCCTGAGTATTGTTGTGAAACAGAATTAAAATGCCATATTTAACAATCGCTGCCAACTCCTGTTATTGAAAACGTGACTTCAAATCTCGCTCAAAACTGCTTTTAGATCTTTGCATGCTTATCCGCGGTACCGAACATAGGCGAGATCACAAGGGGCCAGAGGGCGGAGGGGTGTATTAGTGGTCCGACTTATTTCCTTTAAAAATCATTATTAGGACGGAATATAAACGTGCATGTGTGAATACACCCCCTTGTCTTAGCTCAGCCCAGCTGTTTATCTGCAACGCCAGGTCAGCATGAATCAAAGACACTTAGTGATTTTTTCATCGTTTTTACAGGAAAATATTCGACTCCTCTGAGTCCCTCTATAAATTAGAAACAAAGGATCTCAAAACTAAGTCGAAGCCTAAGGTAAAATTATTCGTAAAATCGCAAAACTTCTACTCTATCACAAAAGATTTCATTTAAGGCGTGATTTATTCAACATTATATTTTTTAGCTCCAAGTTCCAGAGCAAAGTAAAATTCCTGCCGTGAAACCCCGTCGTAGAAGACGAAGTAGTTCCTTATCATCACTCGATTCGTCCCAGTCTTCAGCATCGTCACATACCTCACCAGATGATAATGCAACAAGTAAATTAAAGCGGTACGAGCCACTAACGAAAAAAACTTTCCAAATCTTTTAAAATCTCAAGCACAAATAAATAATTTTTAGGCCATCGACAAAAATTCCGACAACGAAAGCAAGCCTGGCGTCATCCTTTGGCTTAATTCGACGATCTAAATTTCAAGACACAACCGCTGATAAGAAGCCTCAACCACTGAAGGCTCTACCTCGACCTGGGTTTGCGCCATCGGTCAAGAGTAGCAAAACTGATACAAAATCAGTAAAAGAAACGGTAACTATTTTGATATAAAATCTAAATGCTTTGTGTTTCATTTGTGCATAGATGCTTTTACTTACATTGCAGCCACAAGCTTCAACAGAATTGGAGGTGAAAGATAACAAAATGCCAATGCCAGCCACGCCTAGATCAACGTCATCGTTGCCTGTTGCAAAGCGACGTTCAAGTTTCAAATCTTCTATGTCTAGTACCAGTTCCCGAGAAAGCTCCCCACTGAAATATTCCACTCCAAGTAAACCAAGTAAGTAAAAGAAGCTAGGTGGACTTTATGGGGCGTTTGCACAGTTTTACAAGGTCCATTTTTGAGAAGAACAAATGAGTTACGTTGGAACAACCTGTAGTTTTGTATAAACAACAAAAACGTGTTTTGCAGTTGATAGACCACTTTATTGTAGTCCTAGTAAATCTTAATCCCGTATCCAGTGAATGCCCTGTGACAGCTGAGGTTGTGTAAATCCTCATTTTAGTGGGAAAAATTCCAGAGCCCCGGGCAACAACGTCTACATGTAAAAGACGATCATCGAACCCAACCCCGTCAAGCAGAGTACCATCATCCACGTCAAGAATATTAAGAAGTTTAGGAGATGATAGCCTTTTACTATCACCGGCTTCGAGACGAAAGGTAAGTCAGCGTCTTTGAAGGTATGCATTATGCATCGTTTGGTTGAAAACAAGCTTCACAAAAAGAATTTCCGTATAACCGCCTAACTCGGAAACTTCATGTAGAAAAGTCAAGAAAGCGCCACCAAGTCAAAGACAAACAGAAAGTTGATTCCTGACGACGACCCGCACTCGATCAATATTGCATCAACTCACACCGTAGATGATTTACTGGACTGTGATAATTCCGACGCAGTGTTCAAGGATATCGTTCCAATTCAACCCACACCGGTTGAGCAGGTACGAAATGGCCCTTTTTGTCAATTGCTAGGCAAAATCACGGACGATATCGAACTCTTGATAATTTTGACGGTGAAAATTATGAAATGACGCTCTCGCATTGTACGAGATGGGTGACTCCATCCCACTGGTGTTGCTTCGCTTGTCATATTCGCAGAGGTCAACAAAAAATGATGATTTGACCATGTCTACTGTCTTATTATTTCATTGTCATCCAATGTAGCAGCGAACGCGCACCGTAAACTGGTTTACAAACCCAAATCATGTCATTCGTTCACCAAATTACATTACAATGGATACTGGAATGAGGCACTTAGGTCTTAGCTGACTGAGGTCTTAGCTGATTGTCTATTGTTATAATTCACTCTTCAGCACATACGCACGATGACTGAAGAAAACCTAACCGACTTGTTTGTGTCCTTTACTCTAGGCGGACCTTATTGATTTATCTGGGTTTTAATATTATTGGACAGGTATTCATTAATATTGTTGACAAATAATGTTGCAAATTACTTGACCAGCAGTTACTTACAGGGTGTATAAAAAAAAACGCAACAAAAACACAAAAGACGTTTGGCCCCTGGAATGCGAGAAAGCTTGTAATCATATTCTAGCGGCACAATCAATCGTCGGTAAACAAAGTCGGGTGCGTAAACCAACGAGCTAAAATTTTATTTACAATTTATTTTACAAGGTCGACAGTTAGCATTCAAGTTATCATGCACGACAATAAAAACTCGTTGTTCGGTTGTTAGCTGCACCATTATTAGTTTAGCTGATTTGACCATTAGCAGTTGAACTGTAAGATTAGAAGCCATTTTAAAATCCCAGGGGCATAAAATCTATTGAGCTTATGAACAATATGAATTTTAGAATATTAAGTGGTTGCGTTTTTTTTTTATACACCCTGTATAATAAACTAAAGGGTATAACATTTCAAGACTGCACGAAATCCCTAACACGCAAATCAAAGTACATGTAAAGTGTTCTAACCTTTTACGCCATTTCTCTTTCAATAAACGGTAAATAATCCAACATTGTGAAATGTTGGCCATTTTGCGCTCACCCTGGGCTCACTTATTCACTGAACACGATGAGTCGATGATAATCTTTGTAAAAAGTTTAAACATGGCGGTGAATTACTCATCACCATGGTCAGCCAATTGGAATCAAAGTTTCCGTATAAGGTTGCTGTAAAGCTTCCATATATGGAAAATAATTAATTGTAATCTGTACAACAATTTTTTTTTCGGCGTTAGCTGTAGATTCAGATCTAATTCAGGTCTAATGCACCCATTTGAAACCATTTTTGGTTGGACCACTACATTATGCTCGAAGTATACGCCCTAGTAATTCGTAATTTCGTATGCAATTTTTTTTCAGCAGATGCAAACAAAACTACAGAATATATAAGCCAAAGAAGAGGAAATGCTCTACGATTCATTTCCTGAGATCGCGCTGAAAAAAATCAAATTTTGCAGGACTTTTATCAGATATTTTGTAATTATGCAGCTGCAATAGTATCAAATCCAATGAAAGTCTGTGCGAGAAAACGAAATGTTAGCACGAAATAAAACACGGGAACTGGTTCTTATTGTTATCAATGTAGCTGTAGAAATAGTTGGATGAATGTCAATTCTGCAAACCAAAGACAATTTAAATTGCAATTTGTTATTAATATATTTTACAAGACATTATTACATATAACCCTAACGAAATGGTAAATTTTGAGTCGTGAGCACATACTGTAAAGACAATGGTGACTGTGGTATGTAAGTACCATCAACTCTGGTTATACTACGATTCAGTCACGACAATTTATAGTCAGGCCATATACTTATAGAGTTATAGTACATGTGCTCTACTTCTCGAAAACGGAAACAATTCTGCAAAATCAAGAGTCAAATTCTGCAAAATTTGTACATTGAAATTGAAAAAAATCAAGTGTTAGCCAAATCACAAATACATGTATGTCTTTAATGGGGGTTGTTTTTGAATAAGTAATCGTTTAACGTTAGAATAACCTTTCATGATTTTATATCTGTGAACCTCAACACGAAACGCCTGGGTAAAATATAACTGCCATATCTAGCGCTGCGCGATTTTTTTTATTACAAACCGGATTTTAATGTCTTCTTGAGTTATTTTGCAGGCTCTTGTCCCGTGCCTTTATTAATGTCACTTACACATATCCATCCATCTACTGTTTCTCGCCATAAAGTTACCTAAACATGAAAGAAATGTAAGGCGTCTCCACCAGTTTTGTACAAGTATGCATTTCCTACAGTACGCATTTTGGGTGTCTTCAGTGCAGAACACTGTCTAATACTAGGTAAGTTAGTAAATTAGAAGAATAGAAAAAGGTGTAAAAAAGTGCATGTTTATAAACAGTTTGTTTTAGCGATGTTTTAGCCAATGCTTAAATAGAACTCTCACTTTTAAACAACGTTGACCGTGGTAAGTAGAAACGAAGGACATTCAATGGACGACTACACTTACACTATTATCTCCACCAGATACAGCTAGAATGTTTCCTGCAAACGACCAACTCAAGTGCCAAACAACATCGTTAAATTTATGTAATATCACTGGTTCCCACTGTCCAGATTTTGTCTCATCTTTCGTCCAAACTATGACGTGACAATCCTACAGGAAATATAACAACGAAAGTGAGGTTGGACTGGATTGTGAGCAAGCTGGGATAAAACAGTGTTTCAAGCCTTATTGACGAATTTCAGTCAGCAAATTTGTGTATAACACCACGCAATTTACATACCGCAAGTGCGTGGTTGTGGTACAGCGTTTTTATTGGGTCTAACCTACCTTGAGAAGTCACAGAGTGACTAACTTCCGAGTGAAGTTTGTTTCCGAGTAAAGTTTGTACTGTATTGCTCTTTCAAAACGCTTATGCCTAGTGGTTTATTTTCTTCCGTGTAACAAAAACAAAATATTTCTGTTGTCCATATTAGAATTTGCACTCCATCGTGTAAAATACATGCAGAGAGACACAGTCACATTATTTAACATACAGTACCTGTGAACAACTTGCTATTTTACTGGTTGCTAATCCTATATTTGGTGCCCAGGCTACATCACGGACCCAGTCACTATGTGACTCCAGTGTCTCTTCTTCCTCCCATTCAGCCGTCTCTCTGTTGTGACGAAAGAGAACCTCAGGTTAGGTATTGGATTTGATTATGTATTTATCAAAAATAATAAAATTTGGTATAAAAGGTACACAACCTGAAGAGCTCTTAACCACCTCTTACCCTCAAAATGGAAGGCTCATTAACACTTTTGTTGCGATTTTCGTCTTTTGATAGATGCAAAGGAGCGAAAAATTTTGAATGCCGTGATGTATGTATGTTCTCAATTAAACATCAGTAACTTATTCACTCATTCATATCCATCAAAAGAAAAGAATAGCAGCAGAAATTGCTAATGTAAAGGAGCCTTAACTAATGGTTTGATCCATGGCTGCTTCATTGATATTTCTATTTACAATACGTATCCATTCTTCAGCCCAAACCAGCTTTGAATCCAGTACCTCTTTTTCCATATTTTGACCAGATTATCACATCCTCCTGTCACTAGACGTTTCTCGACCTTGCCTCGTTTTGGGTCATCGACACTCTAACATGCAAAATATAGTACAATAATCTCACATTTGGAGCAAGGAGGATAATTTAACATGACGCAAATGACTCACTTAACTGTAACCTTTAAACCATATACTTACATCAAAAAGTGAACCAGGGTGTACCGCTGGTGCCCAACTGACCGCATTGCAACCAATCTAAATGGTGGTAAAAGACCCGGATTCATTAGAGCAAGCAGATCAGTGAAATTATTAAATTTTGATTTGTTCTATGAAATCCAGAGAGCTAATGAAATCACTAGTACTGTCTGCAACATATAAATAACTTACTGTATGTGCATTATTTATCTTTTTAACGTCCCATTGACCATCGCCTAAAACCCAAAAGTTAAAACACAATATTTAGATAAGCATTTATGGAAAATCGATAAAAACTTTATTAAGGGTTTAAAGATTCACTAAATAGATGACAATTTGTCCGTTTAAGCTAAGTCTCAAGTAGGCAGAGCCTGTATGGAGTGAGAAAGTTGCATAGTCAAACACACCTTCACTGGATATGATTGAGACATTTCCATCTGATGACCCACATGCTAACATCAAACCATATGCTTCAGGTGCCCAGCAAACTGAATTCACTACAAAATATTCTAGTTATTAATACTGGTGCTGATAGTGTCTTACCAGTCTGCAATTTCGTACCATGTCTGAACTGAAATACACCATTTTGACGTATTGGTTCACAACTTTGTGAGTATAAAATATGTACTGTATGCAGGCTACATTATGTTAAAATATTTAGAACCGTTCCAATATAACCCAGGAGCAGTAAGCAGCATGTGTTCAATGATATTGTTGCATATATCATCATTTTCTGGGCATTTCACTTTGTGTGGAGACAGTGGAGTAATATTGTATATACCATAAATTGACTTTAAAACAATGATATATTCAAATGAAGATTAATTTTTTTAATGTGCTGAAACAATTTTAATATACAAAGAGAAAAATACATATAAAAATACAATACTTTTTACAATAACATAGGAAACAAACCTGATGAGTCGTGATTTAAAAATTCTTGCAATTTTACCCAGCCACTGTTACTTTCTTTCCAAATAATCACCTGCAAGACAAAATATAATTCAGATATTAATGTTAAGTTTCTACAAAACTCTTAGAATATAAGACTGAATAGTTAACCTTGAGACAATAAGCTTGCATACAAGTTATTATATCATATTCTATACCATACAAATGTCAAATTTTTGCATGGTTATGTAACAATATTGTAGTATTTGTTGAGCTATATATTCATTGTCTACTTTTGCTAGATGTGAATGAGTGGATGAGCTCAAATGTTCAAACAGTATCTCATTTGTTTCCCAGGAAACTATATGCAAGCAATATGAATGTGGGACAGGAGTTATGGGAGGTAACTTAACATATTGGAAGTATTAAACTTTTTATTAAATAAAGGGACAAAATGATGAAGTGAGAAAAAATTTCCAGGAAACAATGTCTGTGTGCAAATAGCCTTGAAACAATACTCCTTTCCATATCTCAGAATTAATAAATCAAGTTAATTTGTGTTGCTGGATCTGAGAGTGATAAATGAGTAAGCAGAGAACATTGTAAAATGAAGTATAATGATAAAACCGTGCTTTTAATTTAATTATCCAAAGTTTTCAACCTTTCTATCATAGGAACAAGATGCCAATAAACCACCAAACATTGGATGTGCCCAGGACACCTGCCATACAGGACCTTCATGACTAAAAAATAAAATGACTTTGGTGTTTTTTTATATTCTCCATTGAGCTCCATATATATCTAGAAACCTTGTCAAGGGAGCACAAAAACTGTCTTATTGTAGTGTCATATTGTATTGCTTTTCAGATAAGAAATATGTTAGTTTGTAATTCAGGTAGAAATAAGAGGTGTGTTTACAAATTACAATTGCAGCACTTACCCTCGTAATGTTGCCACATGTGTTTGTGTATTTCCATTTACTTCAAATATTCTTACGCTACGGTCCGAAGAACAAGTTGCTAGTTTACGACCATAATAGTCCATCTGGGCATCATGCTAAATGGCAAAAATCCAAAGAAATTTTATGTTGAAAGCAGATTTTCAACCAATATAGGTAATAATTCTATGAATGTGATTCTTTTGGGCAATCATATTCATGCAATTATTTTAGAAAAATGATGCGAGCGATGCCAGAGTGAGCTTCACAGCAAATATGCATTAAAATGCATTAATTAATTTCTCTTGATGTATTAAAACTCAATTTGTTGTGAGAGGTTAGGAAAATTATTATTGTTTAGTATTATTATATTTTTACTCAGTTTTTACTAGTTTATATTGATGATCTTTGCATTTGATTACATGATTAGTTTGTAAGCTCTAGCATTATACACTTAGGATGATAAACATTGATGGTGCAACAAAGGCTTTATATTACTACTTCTGAAATACCTTCAAAAAGTTTATGGTGCAATGTTACATGTGCAAGGATTTTTGATATAAACTAAAGTTCTCGTATAAACTATGGCATATGCTGGGGCTGATTGTTCAAAAGCTGGTTAGTTTAACCCTGGGTTAAAGCAAATCTTTACATAAATATTTTCTGGACCAATAGAAGTCATATTTTCTAAGACGAGGAGCAAATCTTTACATAAATATTTTCTGGACCAATAGAAGTCATATTTTCTTTTTTAAAACGAACAGTGGTTCAGAAGCACATAAACTAAAACAGTGGATTGAAATTTAACCCAGGTTTAACTAGCAATAACCTAGCTTTGAACAACTGGCCCCTGGTGCAGAGAATTTTATGCAAATAATGAAATTTGCACTATGGATTTTATTCTATGAGCTGCACAGGGTCAAAATAAAAATGACAGTGAATTCATAATATCCAATAAACAATATTAGCACTTTGATCACAAGGACACATTGTATACAATATTATAGCAGTTTCAGACTAAACCTTTCAACCTCCCCCCCAAAAAAATCTTGTTCATATGCTGTTTAAAATATGGTATACCAACAGAAATTACCAGTATGTATGCATATAGTATAATTATTCATGATAAATAGAATTAAATCTTTTTTGAACTTATATTTCAAGCTGAATTAATTGCAGACCAAAACTTACAATCATATCTTCATGAGCCGTATCAACAGTGCTTGTCACAGAAACCTGCATAATGTAGAAGATATTTATTCAAACAGTATATTTCTTCAAAAATGTCAGTAAAACACGCGTCGTGCTTGAAAACAATCAAGTATTTCTCATTACCATTTTGTTGATTTTCTGATCTGGAAATTATAACGTGGCACAAAGACATTGAGCCGCCACGCAGCCTCGCTTCCATGCTATACCAGCGGTACATTTTTCTCCCGCTAGAACTCAGTCCTTGCGCGGCAAATTTTAAATTTGAATTTTGAAAATATATTTACCACTGTGAAGTACGCACCACATTCAACACGACATTCAACACGATAATCAACACGACATTCAAAAACACCGTACGACTCATTTCCATCATTCAAACGTTCGAAATTCAAATATTGTTTAAAACCCTTTCCAAACATTTATTAAGAGGAATAATGCACTAAATCGATCAATTGGGGCTTAAACTTTATATCTTGTAACAAAACAGGCGGAATCAACTTAAAATGTGCCCAAAAAAAGAGATTTTGTACCAACATTTTTATCGCTAATTTTGTAATTCGCGCTGCAAAGAACAATTTCCTAAATTTCTCAACCCCAATTCCATAGAAATCCTTTGAACTTTTATATTTAGTGGAGAATTATATGCTCTTTCAAACGATGTGTAACATGAAAGTGGATTGGCCATAGAAATATATAAAATTCCGTCTTTAAATGAAACATATTTGCACGCGCGTCTCTTATAAGCTAATTAATAATACCTATATTAGCGCGCAGCAAAGCCGGGCGACAGTAATTCCTAAAGAATCATAGTTTTCTCAGCCGCTATTTCTATAGAATTTCTTCAAATTTCCGTATTGTTCGAAGTAATATGCTCTTTCAAACCATGTGTAACATGAAAGTGGATTGGCCGTAAAAATAGTAAAATTCCGTCTTTAAATGGAACATATTTGCACGCGCGTCTCTTATAAACTAATTAATAATACCTATTAGCGCGCAGCAAAGCCGGGCGACACTAATTCCTAAAGAATCACAATTTTCTCTCAGCCGCTATTCTATAGAATTTCTTCAAAACTCCGTATTTAGTTCGAAGTAATATGCTCTTTCAACAATGTGGTAACATGAAAGTGGGTTACGTCAAAAAAAAGGTGAAATTACGTTTTCAAAGTCAAACATATTTGCTCGCGCGTTTCTTATAAATCAATTACTGATTCCAATTACACTATTAGCAAACTGAGAAGAGGCTGAGAAGTTATTTTAATAAATAGTTATTTAGATTACCTATTTGATATTAGTTATAAAATATTGTAAATGTAGTTTTATTAACTATTATATAATAAGGTTGAACATGTGAAGAATTATTATCCCGCCGTAACTGATTGTTGGTTTCTTATTCATGCCTGGTGTGACGTCAATGACGTAACTCGTTGAACATGCCGATTTAAACATTGAGAATAGCTAAATAGCTTTAAATAATTGCTATTTGAATTTAATTAGTGTTATATCAATGGTGTACGCCTTCTAGTCTTCTGTTTCCCGCGATTGACAACACAGTTGGTTTTGTTTCATGCATGGTCTATTTGGCATTCACCTGTTGTTACGATTTAATTTCTATAAATATTTTGTAAACATTTCGTAACATCACTCTAAATTTTTGTACATTTTTCTTTTCAATATTTGCTTGTCTTATGTTGCATATTATACATCACTTTTCTATGGTCGGTCCCATTTATTTAAGGGTAGAACATGTCAGTGCAGCGACCGCGCAAACATTGGGTTGCACATAATTTCTTTTTTAGAATACGGTAAGAAATGATTTTTTTGGTTCTGGTAACATTTTCTTAATTTTCCGCAGTAAAATGAATAGGTATTTCAAACTTAGGAATCTTTTTAGGAATCACGACATTCGACACGTTTGATTTTAAGACGGAATTTTATTGTTTTTTAACGTAACCCACTTTCATGTTACGCATTGTTTGAAAGAGCATATTACTTCGAACTAAATACGGAGATTTGAAGAAATTCTATAGAATAGCGGCTGAGAAAATTGCAATATATTAAGACATGCCTGCGCATTAGTAAGAGTAAAAAACGCGAAAAGACTACTCGTTAAACAATCGCAATTTTCTCAGCCTCTATTCTATGGAACTTCACTATACTTTCGTAAATAGTACAGAATGACACACTCTTTTAGGAGGTTTGTAATGTTAAAGTGATTCCTCTTTCGAAATGTAAGAAATTCTGTCTCAAACACAACCGCACCAAAGTGTGAAGTACGCACGACATTCGAGACGTTTCATTTTAAGAAGGAATTTCATTGTTTTCTGGCGTAACCCACTTTCATGTTACGCATTGTTTGAAAGAGCATATTACTTCGAACTAAGTACGGAGTTTTGAAGAAATTTTATAGAATAGCGGCTGAGAAAATTGTGATTCTTTAGGAATTACTGTCGCCCGGCTTTGCTGCGCGCTAATAGGTATTATTAATTAGTTTATAAGAGACGCGCGTGCAAATATGTTTCATTTAAAGACGGAATTTTACATATTTTTACGGCCAATCCACTTTCATGTTACACATGGTTTGAAAGAGCATATTACTTCGAACTAAATACGGAAATTTGAAGAAATTCTATAGAATAGCGGCTGAGAAAACTGTGATTCTTTAGGAATTACTGTCGCCCGGCTTTGCTGCGCGCTAATATAGGTATTATTAATTAGCTTATAAGAGACGCGCGTGCAAATATGTTTCATTTAAAGACGGAATTTTATATATTTCTATGGCCAATCCACTTTCATGTTACACATCGTTTGAAAGAGCATATAATTCTCCACTAAATATAAAAGTTCAAAGGATTTCTATGGAATTGGGGTTGAGAAATTTAGGAAATTGTTCTTTGCAGCGCGAATTACAAAATTAGCGATAAAAATGTTGGTACAAAATCTCTTTTTTTGGGCACATTTTAAGTTGATTCCGCCTGTTTTGTTACAAGGTATAAAGTTTAAGCCCCAATTGATCGATTTAGTGCATTATTCCTCTTAATAAATGTTTGGAAAGGGTTTTAAACAGTATTTGAATTTCGAACGTTTGAATGATGGAAATGAGTCGTACGGTGTTTTTGAATGTCGTGTTGATTATCGTGTTGAATGTCGTGTTGAATGTGGTGCGTACTTCACAGTGGTAATATATTTACAAACATGAATCATGGCGACGAGAGCGCCGGAAAATTTTCTGAATTCTGACAGTTTGTCTTCAAAAAGTAAATTAGTGGTTAAGACACCGTTAACACAAAGGCGATACACACCATATACGAAGTCCAACCAGCGAGGACAAGGTGTTACTAAGACTCCTTTGCCAAGTATACACCAAAGACGAAGCCACACAACACAAGGGCCAAAACACAAAAACAAGCAACAACGGTCAGTTGAACTCAGCAAGGATACATCCAGAGACATTTCCACGATAATAGCAAACAAATCATGGCGAGTTTATCGAGTTTCGCCTTTATACTGCTTCAAAACGGATGAGAAATCTTTAAAGTTGTATGAAAGACGTCTGAATAGCTTTTTGGCAGTCGAGACCTCTGGGATCACTTCTGTTCCAAGTTTAAACACTAGAAAAAAATCGACTTTTAGCATATTCAAAGGGGATACTGAAGGTGATTACGGTGTTGAGATTAAACTAATAACAAATGAAGGAAATGAGAATGCGTCTAAAGAAGAATTATGCGCAGTTTTATGTTGTATGGGAAGTGTTAAAACGGTTTTAAAGAGTAACTTGAGCTCATTACCTGTATGCTTGATAAAAAGCTCCGTTTTACTCAAGGACTTATTTCTTCAATGGCTGGAGAACGAGTTTGGCTGCAGAGCTTGTCCATTATTGTTTTCTCCAACTGACTTGGCATGGTTGGCCTCATTATGCATTGGAATTGGTGAACCTACCACATCTATCGAATTTACATACTCTGTTCCTGCAGTTGTACCAGACCTGGACACCATTACTTTTAAAATGGATGCTAAAGATGCAAGACGAATTTGGAATTTGGTTCACAACCCAAAGCAACCATTTTTCACAAACGATGAAGCAATTCGGATTTTAAAATCCATGGAAACTCATTTTTATCACCATTTTAAAGTACATTTAAACCAAATGCAGCTTAAAACAGTTGGCACATCAGTTGCTTATATTGGTCATGAAGGACGGATTAAGTTCTTTCAAGAGCCTTATGTATGCTATATTCTACAGCAGTTGATAGAATTAGCAAATACCTAATTTTTCTACTATTTACAGATTAGATGTCATTTGTATATATTAACAATGTAATCAATAAAGTTGCACATATATTCTTGGTCATAGCAGTTTCATATTTGATAAAACTAGGTTGACAATGCAACATTGCATTAGGTATGTTGATAACTTGGGCATAAATGTTTAGATACTTGAGTTTATTTTATAACAACATGTTTGGTTACAAATTACAATGATGTGACAGTAAGACTAATGAAGCAGACGTTTTTTAATCTTTTTTACCAATAAATTCATTTAATTCATCCAGTGTAACATTAGAGCCAGTGAGAAATATTACTACCTGTGCATTATCTTTGACACCTGGGACCTTGTTGGCAAGTAACGCTGCAAATGCTGCAGCACCAGATGGTTCTACCACCAAACCACCATCATAAAGTACTCTCATTGCCCTAGTTGAAATTAATACAGAGCTACAACTTCTGGTGTTTGGAATATGCATGTCCACTTAAGTCACAAGCAAGCACAAAGTAAGGCCACTCTTCAAGGTAATGCTCAAATACATGAACTCAGTTTGAAACATATTGAAACAACTTATGTGTCTGTCTCAGAAATATATTGTCACATGGTTATGATAACCTGGTAAGCTATATGAAATAAAAATCAGATGGCTACAAACCTTCCTATTTCCTCATCTGAAACCAGAATAATGCCCTCAATACAATTTTTTATCACCTCAAAGTTATTTTTTCCTAAAAATAAATAATGAATTAATATAAATAATAAAATTACCTTGAAAATACCTTGCCAAATTCAATTTCTACCTGCCATTGGTGGAGCCAAGCCACTTGCTATTGTGTCTATTGACTTCAAGGTCACAGCTTTGCCTTCTTGCAAACTTTGAAACATTTTTGGAGCTGAAATATATATGGTAACCCACTTACCCTTGCACTTAGGGTAACATATTTCAAACAAACTCTTCAAATTTTAGGCAGGTATATGAAAAGTTGAACATTTGAAACAGCTGTGGCCTTACCTCCCTCAGGTTCAGCTCCATACACTTTTGTTGTCTTTCCCGAGTGCTTCATTGCAGCAGCTACGCCTGACAGAAGACCTCCACCTCCACAACACACAACAACAATGTCGGGATTAGGAATGTCATCAAGCATTTCAAATCCTGCACTATATTAAATTTTATTAAAAATTCAATTAGCAATGATGTAGCCAAGTTGGACTTTTCATTATTTTAAATTTTTATTCTCCACCCTTGACTAAGAAATCAGGTCAATAAAAAAACCTTAATAAAATAACCACAAAATGTAATTTAACATCATTACCTAGCACAGCCACATATAAGATTAGTATCATCAAAGGAATGGAGGAAATGCATGCCATCTTGAATGACATGTCTATCAACGGTCTGTTTTAATTCTTGCACTGGCACCCTTTCAACATGAGCACCATAGCCCTAATAATTGTATATTGATTCATCACATTAAACATAGTTGCATTATTTTTTTCTTGCAGTCTGAATTCATATTATATTCATAGAAATATTTCCCTAAGTCTCAAAAACCCTCCCTCAACCTCAGGCTGTTTTTGAGACCTGGGTCTGGAAAATATTTCCCTATACAGACCTCCAATCTGGTAAATAACATATATTTATTACCTAATATAAAAATTAAAAAAATAAAGTCTCCTAAGGTCTGTATTTTATAATGCTATATTAAGCTTTGAAAGGCTTTCAAGAACAATTAAGTAGATCAGATTGAGAAATTCATGTGGAAAGTATTTTAAAGTCTGAGCTAACGCCTAATCTTATCAAGCTTACCTACATTATACCATTAGGTCAACTCCTGACTTTGCTTCACCCTATAGTGCCCTATATGTATACCTCAATAATCTTGACTCGGCTGATTGGGGCAACATCAGGCATCACCACAGTTGCCGGCAAGCCAAGTTGTTGAGCAGCAAAGGCAAATGCTTTTCCATAGTTCCCTGCAGACATTGCCACCAGACTTTTTTTGTCCTCTAATACACTTGGTGGCAAGTGAGCCAACTGATTAACAAGCCCTCTGGTTTTAAATGAACCTAGACAACAATCAAATTACCATACTCCATTAGGGAGAACCAAATGGTGACACTGACATATAAACAGCACAATTTGCAATTAGAACATACGACACAGTACGTACTACACTACTACCACTCCTGATGCAGTCTAAAATGTGTAATCATTGACTTTCCAACACACCTAAATACCTGTTTTCTGTAGAGTTTCTAACTTAATATGGAGATTGCATCTTTTATCCAATCCAAACAGTTCTTCAGCATTTTTGAGAATTGGTGTCCTCAAAACAAAAGGACTTTTCTCTACAACCATTTTGGCTTTGTTTAAGTTCTCCTGGGTGATATTCAAAAAGGCTAAACCATCCATACTTAGTGAGGTTAACTTGGAGAAAATCTAAAAATATATAATATTATATAAAAGTTTCCACTAGAATGCTGTTATAAACCATCTACCTCATTTGTTATAACCAACAATGATATCATATCTTGCACCAATCAGAATAAAGAAAATCACTGCTGAATGATGTAATTTTTGCAATGGCCAATAGGTCTTCTGGAAGTGCTCAGAAGAAAACAAGCCGTTTTGCATAAAAAGATTCAACTTTAACCATACAGAATAGACTAATTTCTGAGTTAACTATGGTTAAACATAGTTAAACAAGTAAAACAAAGCAAAATGTAAAATTGTAAAAATGTAAAAATTTAAAAAAAAAATTTATGCAATTAACGGACCCTAAAAGTGTAATCTTATACCCGTTGTTACCTTGCATCCAAAATTTTATACTTACGTAGCAATTTTAACGTTCCAAGGTGTTAGGGGAAATACCCAAAAATTTCATCATCTTTTTACGGTGACGACCATAGCATTTTTTGCTGCATCATTCAAAACTCGCAAACGATTAGCGAATATAAAAGAGAGTTGAGTTGCTATTTGACTGAAGTTTGTCGCCATATTGTTGGTATTTGGAATCATATAGCCATAATAAAGACATACAGGATATTCCTGTGGTATTTATAAAGGTACGAAGTAAAATTAATCCACGATTACGGAAGAGATGGCGGATGTACGGTTTACTGTAATATAATATATACTGACTGGTCACTGGAGAAATAATTAAGAGAATCTTCGAATGACGTGAAAGTTCAGGAAATCATCTCCTTATATATTCTGGCATTCTACCATGTTTTCTGTAAACTGTTGATTAATAGCACTATATCAATTTGCATGATTGTAGTCACTTGAAACTCTTGAAATTGCATTTGTCTCTATCAGTATAAAAGCAGCAGCTTAAAACTATCGCCAATAGGCTCAACACATAAATGCCAACAACCTAAGCTGCCAAAATTTTAAAACTTGGAAAGGAAGTCACACACACTTGAAAATATCGGATGCTTGTTTTGGGCATGTGTATATATACTGGTTATTGTTTGAGTGCCTTTCTTTTTTGATTGGAAAAATGCAATTTTAACAAAATCAGAAAATTTCACAATATATACAAAGTTGGGAGTTTTTTATTCCAGCATGGATGCAACAAGAAGAAAAGAGTGGGAGGATTTAAATGAAAGTGAAAGAAATTGTCTAATGTGGCCAGATTTTCTTCAGTGGGGTGAACCAGATAAAGTTAAAATTTATCTAGATAATGCTCAAACCAGTCTTGGCCTTGTGTCTGTTGCAGTTCAGGTTTATTTCATTAATATATCAATTATACACGAAATACATATTGTCTAAAAACTTAAAACATATCTTGCATTTTGAGTTTACCTGCGACTTTACCCAAGTTCTAGTGCCAGCTATATAAGGGCTACATTGTTCAACCACCTAAAAATGTGCAGTACAGAATCAGAGATAAATAGCCTTATATAATTACATTAAGCATTGAACACTAATATAACAATAGAGTTGATGTTCGTAGCCATAAATGTGTTTTTGGCTTGACTCCGAACTCGTTTTTAAAATGTGTTCTGAGGAGGACAAAAAAACACATTTATGCCCGGCCCAAGAACATCAACTGTAATATAATAGTTTATACTAACTTTAAAAATTATGCAGTCGGTAAACACTTCAGTCATTCTTCTAATTGGCTAAGATCAGCGGGCTGATAAAATATATTTCAGCCCAACAAATTTATCATTTTAGCCTGCAAAATACACCGCAATGCCCGCCAAAGTTAATATTATAATAAAGATTTATATTAATGCATTATATTGCTCCATTATACAGTTAGTACTTGCAATATGAAATGGTTCTTAATTTTTGAAGGATCCCATGACCAGGGAGTGGTACCATATATCAAAGCGAATTAAAGAAAACCAGCCTGCTCATGGTCTTGTTGAGCCTTACAAATGGATAACTAAAGTGAATGGCAAGGATGCAAATCTCCCAACTGAGGAGTTCAGTAAACTCTTTAAAAATGGGCAGCCAGGAATTGTACATTTGTCAATGAAGAAAACTATTGACCCATTGACCAAATTTGTAAAGAAATGGCAAAATGAAAGAACTATAACTGGAAATGGAAAAACTATTAAGGAAGGAGTGACACTTGTACATTTTTATTCTAAGGTACATTTTGTGGAAGGTCTTTAATTCTTGATGGAGATTGAACTTACGGTTGTTGTTGTTGGGTATGATTAATAGGAATTAATATCTATTATAGTAGCCAAGTAGTTCATTATTAACATTTCACTACCACTATAATTCCAAGGTTTTGTAATTTGTCATCAATAATTATTTTTAAGCTGGGACTTCTGTAAGTATAGCAAACTACATCTTCTGAGAGTAGCAATATGGCTGACCACATATTATTTTGGATAGATGTGATAATTGCATGTGCCTAGAATTGGTTGATGTATTCAAACCTTTTTTCCATTAGGAGAATGAGGAAATTAAGGACCATATATTGGTATGGGAAGTAAAACCTGAAACAGAAGTATCTTTGTTCCGTGGTGATGAAATATTAGCCGTCAATGATCAATCTATACAAGGGAAAAAATTAGCATTGATCTACAAACTAATATCATCAGATCAGACTCCTGCAGAGGTGAAGTTGAAAATTAGAGAAATTGAGCGTGACAATCCAAGTACTGATGAAGGTAAACTTGAATTTCACTAATTATACTGCAGACAATTGTCATATTGCATATCATATGAAGAACTTGAGTGAAGCATATGTCCAACAAGGGCCTGTTTCTTCATCCACCTATAGCTAAACACACCAGTCCTCATTCAGAATATATTTAAATTATTAAATTAGTGAAGTAAAAAACTGAGGGAGGGCTGGTTCTTATAAGGAGTGGCCTTCATATAGTTCTATATAGGCATACCAGGTGGGGGAGCAGGCAGTTGCCCTGCCAGAAACCTCACAAGGATGACAAGAAGTGTAGAGAAGGTAATTGAACCTGAACATGAGTCAAAACATTAATCTTCGATCCTACAATGGTTTAGATTGTAGGATGCATAGTAAGCAAAGTTTGTCACTACGTAGCAAGAATCGTAGGAAATTATCCAAATGATCATATAAACAATGTGAAGAGTAATTTTAGAGAAGAGTAATAAGTAGTTTAAATGAAACTTAGAAAAGTTGAGTTCTTGATTCTGATCATTATCAGTAGCTTAGATGAGGACCAACACGGGCAGCTGTCCCTCCCTACTGTTCTCACCAGTAGGGGCAAGAGTGGGCAGCAAAATAAGCGCTTTCAATACACAGGATTGCAGCAAACGAGCCTAATGATGTATTGATGTTAGCCAACGTTTTGAAAACACTCTCTACTGTGTCGTCAATATAGAAATTCCCATTTAACGAAACTGCCCCCCTTGCCTTCGCATGTTTCGGCGTCCTTGCCGAAGTACTGAGTAGTACAATAATAAAGTCGATATTTGTATATCATAACGTATTTTGTTTTTCGCGAAGTCTTTAGAGTTTATTTCTTCTAATTTTTTTTAGGAGTGGAACAAACGAATATAAAAACTCAGCAGTCCATTGACCCATCAGTTAATCCTGCAGTGTGTTTAGTTGTCACTAAAGAAATGGACATTAACGCTGGACGGGAAATGCCAAGTGAAGTATTTGAAAATTCATTTTCAAATATAAAGGAAAGCCAAACTGCAGACGCAGTGCCCGAAGGTATTCACTTTTTTAATATGTAGATTTCCCCAGTTTCACCCCCTTTTTTCGTGAATTTTTCTGTATGTCAGAACAAAATAGGTAAAAACCTGTAATATGAAACATAACATGAGAAATTGGTGGAGTAATAACCATGAAAACATGTCATGTCGACGTCGATAGATTCTACTTCTAGCTTAGGTTAGCTGATAGCTTACGTCCGCGGTAGGTTTTTGTTGTAGAATGCAGATTAGAACTAGAAGAAACTCTATAGTCTTACAGTAAGAATAAGGCATCTCTTATCGTTTATTTTATTCGCCTGCAGGTTTCAAAACGCCGTCACAAGAAGAAAACAAGAAAAAAGGCAAAATGTCATCCCTCAGACGTCGGTTATCATCATCATCATCATCAGCCAGTCCTAATAGTGATACAGGAAAAATGCTCGGGACCGAAAATGATCCCAAAAATCAAAAAATTCTCGAAGTCGAGAATCCAGGCTACAAGAATACACCACCGCATACACCACCTGCCGGACGAAAAAGAGACAAAACGTGCAATGCCTGTAGCTATGTTAGTTTGCAACCAGATGACCGGAATAGTTGGCCAATTTATAAAATGGAAAACGCCCATTTTGAAAAAATATGCGTGCTTCTCGACTTACCTGATCGAAGTAGAGAACCACTTTTGAGCGTATTAGGATGCTTCAGCGTTACTGAAGTCGCCGAAATCAACCAGAGATGTGGACCTACTGGAGTAGGAACGGCTAGGATAGCGCTCATTAGATGGGGAAACTATGATCGCAAGAATAACGTGGGCGCTTTGAAGAAAATACTCAATGAAAGAATGAAAAGAAATGATGTTTTAGATGTAATTGAGGAATGGGAAAAGCTACCAGTTTGTCACGGATGTTGCATAAGACTGACTGAGACGTGATGTGTACACACGACCTATAGCTTGGAAAAACTAGCCTTAACACCGAAGAACACATAAAAAATCCTTGTGAAAAATGGGGTTTTTGTGCTTCTTTTCCAATCAAAGCGCGTAGTACAGGGTGTTTAAAAAAAAAGCAACCACTTAATTATGCAGAACATTAATACAGCTCTAAAGCGCAATAGATAAGCACCTCTGGGAATTGAAAATGGCTCTTAATCCTTCATTTAATATGCTAAAAGTCATTTTAGCTGAACTATGGTGCAAACCCGAACATATTTAAGTGGTTGCGTTTTTTTTGAGACTCCCTGTATTTTGTAGACGTATACTTCACCATAACAACAAACGATCTCGGTTACTAATTACTATTAGTATAAATTTTGAGGCGACTACAGACTACAGTATTGATTTTACTGCATCCTGATTGGTCTAAATTTACTGTCCCTGAAGTGATAGTCACTGGTCGGTGACTATAGAGCTTTTCGTTGTCGTTTTTCAAATAAGAAATTTAAAGTAATCATAAATTTTCATGAAATTATGTTGGTTATTATTTGTAAACACCTCGAAATTTATATTAAAAAAAAGCTTGTAATCACCTCGCCCAATTATTAATTGGAAATATGATTTGAAAACCCCAATATTGATCTCAGACTTAGTCTACTGAATATATCCTGGATATGTTATGTAATTTACTTTTAAACCATATGCATAGTATATTTAATGTATTTCAGTCTTAATTTATACCACCAATTACTATACAAGACAATTCTGAATGCAATTTTGAATAATTCGTTTAACGTTTATATATTGGCACTAGCTGTAAAATCGTACAATTTTTATCAAAATAAATGAAATTCATAATTGACCAGTCTCGTTTTTACCTAAGAACTTTATTAACAGATTTCGTGTAAATATCCAGCGTATTTGACTATTGTGAACATCAACGGAATTGATCATAACGAAACAGCAGGCAGCATGTATATTTTACCACGATGTATTATCGAGCATGAAGCACAAAAGACTTTATTAAAAAACGGAGAAAAAAATGCCTAACGACATGAAATTTTACACGACAAGAGGATTAGGGGAATGCCCTTTTGCTTATGCCTGCATGCCTCTCGGTCAAAAAACTATTTCTGACAGTAATGCATTCTGGTAAGATGTACATCCGCCATTTTTCTCGTTATGTTCAAAATACCAAATTTAAAATGCGTATAATGCAACCATATTATCTCCCAGAGTTGCAAGAATGTAATGTAATGTAATGATTTATTTAAAGTCGTTAGCACGGGATGTGGTTGCCCAATCATCCGAGCCAGAGGCTCATGGTTAAAGTGCACGACATAAAGTGCAAGAAGTCGTCAAAAACTTCATATAGGAAATTTTAAAACATGTCAAAGAAAACAGGTAATTTGAATCGATGCATGCAAAATTGTTTGTACTATATCTATGTATATATATGTAAAATCTACTATACTCTTAATATAATATGAAATACATGCAGTGTTTTCTTATTTATAGCACATTTTATAAATGAAATAGAAATAAAAATATTTTAGCTAGTTTAAAGACCATGCATGCAGTCGTGCTCCGCGCTGGTAGAGAATATTGTATTTCAATTAGAGCGCTTATATTCGCGCCCACGCCCCCCTGATTTAAATCACATAAAAACTAAAAACTACCCCTAAAAACTCACAGTTATAAGTTATCCAAAAGGCCCACAGCAAACCATACCACAGCACCTCTTGATTTGTCTTTTGCTTGGCATTATTGACGGATCATTGGCATTCAACGGCACCTGAAAAACTAAAAAATACGCCATGCGTTGGGCACCGGAATCTATAAAATGAAATTTCACAGCAATTACATAGTTTTACCTTTAAACTTTAGGCCTCTACCAAAATTTTTCACCACAACATATAGAGCCAAAAGCAACAAAAATCTGATAAATAACGCCCCGATTGCTAAACAAAAAGAGACAGAAAAATTCAAAATCTCCGTCAGTATATATCTTGACAGCTAAGTCAAAATGCAGGAAAACATGTAAAGTTAAGCAATAATTATATAATTATATATATATATTAATATTATATAAATTTTGCACCTGCAGCTATAAATGAGTATGTCAACTTTTCCATTTCATTGCTGGTGTAGTGTTCCCATCTCGATGAAAACTAGAAAGGTATTAACATGGTGAGGCAGCCAGCACAATGGTTTTCCGACATGATGTATTTAGCATCCCCGACATTAAAGGCTTCATTATTAACTACCATACTTCCATCAATATACTCTTATAGAAATAAAGCCATAGTCCAGTCGGGCTCCAGTCGGAACAAAAAATAGCCCATACCTTACCTTATCATGCGTTAGAACATCTGTCTAACTAGGCTACACTACGCCTTGTCTCTCTGCTAATAGACAGAAAGTTGAGCAAATATTTTTTCTTCCTCGTTTTTACAAAATAAGTTTCAATATAAAGAGAGCTCTAAATGAGAATTGTCTGAAACTTGCAAACAATTTTTACCTGTATAAACCTGTGCACTATAAAAACAGGCTCAGCGCAGCACAGTGGAAGGAAAAACCAAACCAATAGAAGTTGTTCGGACCTCATTGCAATCCAACCCACCAATGAAGCTAGCAGCTGAAATGGAACACCAACAGCCAGGCAACATTTCGAAAAATACGACATCTTCCCAGCATCTTCGATAGTAAGAATTAACAAAATTATCTTTAAAACAAGATGAAGAATTACAATTACCATGTGAAAGAAAGACACACTTGAACAACATTAGTTCATTTTGATCAGAAGAGTTTAGACAAGCAGATTTTAGTAGAGTCTTGTGATGCCATTAACAAACTTGATTTGTATTTAAATCACGTTTGAGCTTGCATGAATTTACAAGAGCTTAATGCATTAACATAGAGTCTAAAATCTTTCTGTAAAAGAAAGATACTTTTTATTTGCAGACTTCAGAGTGAGCCAGGGCAGTAGAAACATTTAACACTAGAGACACTAGAGGAAATCACAGCAAGGACAGACCTATGTAGTATACATTAAATAATACCACCAACTGTATCTGATGCACTAGCTGTTGATATAATGTTATATGACAGTATTGATTTAACAAAATGGCAAAAAGAGTTTCAACTCACTGATAGTTGATAATCAATTTTGAGCAAACCAGAAAATCTACTTGCAATGCGGTACATGTCTAAAAGATGGATTGAAAAAAAATATTGAACTAAAAAAAAATGATGTTATCTACCATATATTTAGAGAAATAGAAAATAGAAACCTTGAATTTCTGTTTTAGCCCCAACAGTTTTAAACAGTAGGTAACCAAAACCTCGACCTACAACCCAGGCAAAACCAATTATCACTGGAGCCAAAACAACAACTACCACAAATCTTGCCTACATGTAGAAAAAATAGGCATATAGTGTTATACCAGATAGAAAATCAATTTTTCAAATTTTTCTAAAAAATAAATTAATAGAACAATCATGCTTACCAGCTTAATCTTGGATTTGGATTTTGGATATGTCAGCCCAAAATTCACAATTACATAAACAGTGACAATGAGAATGGCCAAAATAAGACAATAAAGTTCAAATTCTCTTTCTCGTAAAACACCATGGATAGTATAAAAAAGACAGAATGCTAGAAATGATAAAATTGAGAAAATTGTAAAAATTTTAAATTTCAATATTAGTTTTCAACATTTTCAAAAAGTGACAGTTAATGAAATTGTGTGGTATGGTATTCTTTGTATTTATATATAGTATATGAAAACAAAGAATACCACACAATTTCATTTAATTAACAATTATTGGATGAGGTTGAGTGTGATATTGAGAATTATCAAGCCGAAGTTTGCGTTATTTGCCGAAGCGAAGCTGAGGCGGATAACGCAAACTGAGGCTTGATAATTCTCGATATTATGCGAAAACCGAATTCAATAATTGTTTTATTATGTATTTCCTTTTTAAAGACGAAGTTTGACAACAAACTAGCGGTAAAAATTACGTCACCTACGGATAATTTTCAATGTCGTGTAGGTGGCAAGACATTGAGAATTATCTGTAGGTTTTTCGCCAATCACAATCGAGATTGCGTTAGCAATGCATAATAATACAATATACTAGCTGCTGAATAACTACAACTCACCTGCATTGACCAGCAATAAAATTGCAAATATATAATTAGGAGAGTTAAGATCAAGTTTCCATAAAATATAAATTACTGTCAATGCAATTGCTGCCACAAGACATGGAACACAAATGATGAAAAATATCCACTCAGTTCGATCCAAACCAGCCAAGGTTTTTGTCTAATTAATCAGAAATGGTTAAGACTAAGGATAAGGGCAAGTACATATATACAGTATGTTAGTTGGAATCATAGTTTTGGTAAAATTTTATTCTCCCCTATTTCACACTTCTCCAATAGATAAGGTTATAGGGATATTTGCAAGGTGCCATCTATATCAAGGTACCATCAATTCACTATAGATAAAAATTATTGAAACTCCACACTCACACTGAATCAGTCTGAAATAAGACAAGTGTACACCAATATTTGCATGCAGTGCATGCAATATGACTTGTCAATGTACAAAAACACCTTTTGAACTCCTGAAGCAAGTAATAGCTCAGTGGTATAACTTCCACTGAAATTTTCAAACAAAGTTACACACGTTTTGACTTTTCAGTTTTCACTGGGCTTGCAAATAAAATGTACAATAAACAATTTTAACTCGCATATTAAAATAAGAAGAGGAATTCCAAATAATTCAATATCACTCCTTGCGGCCGTGCAATATTGCATTATTGCTCAACTAACCTTTCCCAATAAAGTGACTGTCAGCTCGCCTTGAGCAGATTGATAATCACTTGAAACAGAATTTGTATCGCTTCGTATTTCCTCTGAATCCAACATATTTGTAGACACTTTTCCTTCCGCACATCAAACAACCTAGTATTATAAAATTCAACTAAGATCTATAAAATGTATATTGCATCACTAATAGTAAGATGTGTATAAAAGTTCCAAGAGCGATCAGAGGAATGATCGGTCTGTCCATATTTCTTTCGTCTCGTGATCTGACACTGGTCAGACTGTTTGTTATTCAGTGGAATGCTCCGTGGTTATATGAAGTATTAGCGCAAAGCTTCCACTGGTCAGGTGCAGGGAATGGTGCAGGGCGTGGCAACAACTTGTTGCAACAGTTCACTGGTTGCAACTTGCTGATAACAAGCAATAGTCAAGTATGTTCGTGGGTAGCCTGCATGGTTCGTGGGCCGCAGCACAACTCAACCTCCGTCGCAGGGCACTCTTTTGAGCACAACTTTGTTCAGATAATACATTCGGTACATCTTGTTGCTTTTTTTAGCCCTGTAAAACACTCTCCTGCCTAAGTAGTTTGGTTTAGAATTAATGGCGTAATATTGTGGGTGTGCATCAAAAGTGGAAAGGTCTGGCCTTGGGACTTGGTTTTTAAAACAAGTAGGCGTAGGCCGTAGAGCGAGAAACATTAAGGCTGGGCACACGCTTCCTTCCAAGCTAAACAATAATGTATAGATAAGATACATGTATATATCTTTATCTTAAATAAAGTTACATTTACATCGTGTTATATTCATTTATTTTTCATTTATCTAATCAACATTATATTTACTATAATTATAGATTCTCTGCGTATGTTTAAATTAATTTATACAATGTCTACACCTTGCTCTACCATCTAGTGTTCAAAATGTCTAAAAAATAAGAATTTTAAATAGTAGAAATCATGAATACAATTGCAGTATGGTTAATAAATATAGAGCAGCGCTGCTTTCTGTAAAAATTTTCGGAATCTTTGAGTTTCTCCGTGTTTCGAGCGAGCACCAATTACGTTTTTCACTTTCTGCAAGAAAAAATGTTATGGTAACTCCCAACATCTACAATCCATCGATAATTATTACCAATATTATTAAAAAGGTTTAGGAAATACTTGCAGGAAACAGATGTAGGATAAAGAGAGTTTAGGACGGAAATTCGAGCGAAAATAGATAAAACACGTATTTTACCAAACTAGGTTACCGCCTGAGTGACAAAGTTATTGGGTAGAAAACTCTTGAATTTAGGCCTAACATTCCGTAATTTATAAAGCAGTAAAATCATATGCTAAAGTGGAATCAAAGATACCTAGGTAAGTTCTGGTAAATCAAGTTCGCCTTCATCTTGTGGTTCAAGTTTGACTTGGACATTAGTATGGGAAAGTTGACTGCTAAAATACAAACATTGGAATTTATTTGTATTATTCTTCAAGAGATTATATATAATCAAGTTAATTAATGGTCACACATGTTCCAATATACATACTTTATATCTTTTGAACAAAATTCAACTAGTTTTGAAATTCCAGACGAGCCATTTCCGGTATTTTCTGTATACACTCGTTTTATTGGTGGTTCGTCAGAATCACCATCGGCATCATCTCGGTTTTCGGAATTGAGGTCGGGAACTTGTATGACAGTTCGCGTGGCAACTTCAAATGTAGCCTGGGTCGGGAGTTCAGAAATACACGTATCACGAAACATCACCGAGCTCTCGTTATTGTCTGGAGTGTCTTGTTTAACCTGATTGCTGAAAATTTGTACGGTAATTGTTGAAAGTTAGAGCGATTATACGATACTGATACTCGACAAATTCAGGCCATTTTGACGCAGAAAAATGCCACTACAACTTCGCATGCGGTTTCTGGCACAGCCTCTGATTTCATCATATAATGAATATCAGGTGGATGGCTGAAAATGATGTGGCTCTGTGACTCTTAATATGGCTGATGCAAAAATTGCGTTGAAAGCTTCAACGGTAACAAAATTAGATTTTTGAGTTAAAAATAAAAAACACCTTAAGACTTTTTGTGGTCTTCTTTTCCGATATTCCTCCTCATCCACAGTCCAAACCGCTCCTTTGACGTTCTCCTTTCGTACGAAACATTTGTGAAGAGATAGATTGTGCCGCACTGCGTTCTAATATCAAACACACAACAGCGTTAGGTTAGCTTTCAATTACTTTTTGATTTTCCCAGCAAAAAATCACGTTATTGGTGCATACCTTCCATGTTGCAGTGTTTCTTCGGAAATAAGCAAAATTATTCGTAAACCAATTGTAGATTTCGTTCAGCGTTAGTTGTTCATCTGGGGCATCCAAAATAGCCTAGAACCAGAGAATTTACTTACTCAGAAAACCTGGGTACTTGTATTTATCTTTTAAATGGCGTCAAATTACAGCGTTACCTGTCTGATGAGTGAGGCGTACGTAAATGGTGGACGAACGTCTGTCTTTTGATAAAAGTCTGCGGACTGCTGCATATCTAGGCGATAATTTCAACTATATAGAATTTCTTTAGGAAAAATCAAAGCGAATATACAATATACTATTCCTCCAATTAGAAGTTTTATCGATCGTATCCACTGAATATCCTATTCTGGTATACGGAGATGGGTGAGAGTAAAAAGATAGTTAAAACTGGAGAGGTTCAGGACTTCCTGCACATTTTTCTCATCACCTTAAAAAATGGGGGGCACTAACATTATATGTGATTAACGTTACTCAGTACTGAAGCTCTTTCAGGTCAGAGCTGAGGACCAATAACCAGAATCTAGAATCATAAATCCCTATCCTTCGTTCCTCTCCCCTCAAGTCAAGAGGGCTGAGAGAGGGCTGCAAACGCACAATTTTAGCATAGATGTATTCTTCCAAATGGCCCTCATTATGATACAAAAAGTTAAAAATAAGATAAGTGCATCAAATGCATGTCAAATGGTCTATGTACATTCCCTGCTGTTCGTATACTTTTTACATCACACAGTTCGGTGCAGTTGAAACATACCTTGTGCAACAGAGACGGGCGACGTCTGAGCGGATCTTTTATAACTTCCACGACTTGTGTTTAAAGACTCTTTATCCTTTTCTTCAACATCGTTCACTGGTTCCTCGTTAGTTTCCATACTCCTGCTCGATGTTGACCGCGATTTCGTGACAGGAACTGGGGCGGAGATGACAGAAGTCTCTCGGCATACCATGACATTAGGTGGACCTTGGGGTAGAAGGTCCGTTGAGGTGAGGTCATTGTGTTTGCTTACAGAAGGGGGTTTAGTAACAGGGATACTGTGAAGCGGTGGGCTGTCTTGCCTCGTAGGAGGAGCTGGGCTAGATATGGTGCTCTATAGAAAAAATGGAGTGGATGCATGGGTAAAAATGATTAATTATTTAAGTTGAAAGTTGAAACTTTGATTGAACATGGTTGAAACTCTGACAGGCCTTGTAAAACAAAAATAAGGCTGTTTTCTGTTTTGCTCTTTGATTTCTTAACAATAGACAATTTCAAATTTCGTGTAACATCAGACTTTCCGCGTTTGACATCATTATAAGAAAGGTCTATTGTCTAGGGGTAGATCATTTTCACATTCCTGTAGATAACATGGTAAATGAAATATGATTTATATAAAACTCTGACCTTCTGCGTGTGTAAGTGTTTCATCATTGCCGATAATCTGTCTCTTTCTCGGTTCACCTGAAAAATAATAAAACAGAAATTTTGAGTATTACCCACTGGACATAAATAATATCATAGAACATGTTCATTTGTCCATCTCTACGACAAGAAACAAGGAATAAATTCGATCTGGCACTGCACAAAACATCGCTGAAGGCGATATTTCCCACTAAATTAAAATTTCTCTTTAAAGACTTTATCAGTCGAAATACTGTCATATATCTGTTACTCTCAGCTATACGTAATTAATTGCAGCTTTTTTCCCTAGAAGCCAAAGCAGGTTTTTAATGTGGATGTGCAGTGCATGTGATTAGAAATACCTGTCCCTCTAAATGTGAAACCATCTGCATTTGAACCCTTGCTTGGGCTGTACTGCGATCATCAAGAGGATGCTCAGAATTAAGATGGCTAGGAAAAGAAAAAGATGAAATCTCTACAATACTTAAATATGAACCATGACGAAGAGCAATTTGGTATTAAATATGGTATGACAACTGTCTAAAATAATACACAAAATATGATGAATATATAGCTTTCAAAACTTGACAGTGAATAAAAAATATTTTAGAATTACTACATTATAATTCTTCACTCACTAATTGTGTATATGACAAGGAGTAGCATCATAGAAAAGCCAAACAAAACAAACTATTGTAACTGAACTTTCTACGTAGAACTTTCCTCATAAATTTACAAATTAGACATATTTCATATTTTTTTCCATCACACTGAATACAAACACACACACAAACTCGGCATGGGGTTCAAATATTATAATGCATAGAACTGGAAGATTTTGTATCTTATGAAAACGATTAAATGCTGTAATTAATTGCAAATAGCTCGAAATATTACTTACTGCATAAACAGTTGAAATGACTCACAGAACGTGTCACAACCAGGCCACTGACATACACCATGAATATATAGTGGATGCTGGCAACCTAAACATAAGGAAATGAAATGTTTAAATTCCTTAAAAGTACGAGCAAGGGTGCACGATGTCTAGACAACGCGTAGATCACAAGATATTACAAGGCTTTACCATATTTGATATACTCTTACCGTAGACGGCATAACCAACCCCATTAACAACAGGAACGTCCAATCTTTGTCCATGTATTGACTGCCACTCCCTGGCGAGTAAAAACTGAACAAAACAAAAAATATGTAATGATCTAACTATCAAAATGATAACTGATTTATAATAAAGCTGAACAGTAAAAGATACAATGCTAAATCTTAAAATCTAAGTGCCATGCAGTGGTAGACAGAATAAGGACTCTACTTCGGACAGAGCCCTAATATTACGGAGCATTTCAACCTCGGGGTTAAGTTTACAATGCAATCTCTGTTTTGAGAGATGGAAATTAGTATTCGTATATTGAGTTTTCATTGAGATATCTCAACCCTGTGAGATGATCTCGACGCTTCAGGACTGACCTTTTTTTACACCTTTATATTTCAAAATGACATGCGCGAGCTATTATGGTGACAATATTTTAGTATTCGCATTCCAGGTTTATATATCTGGCGACTGGAGTACCGAAGGCGGAGCATTAGGGATAAAGAGCGAATCACTCCATATTGAGACAAGCGAAATTTTTTTACATTTTTGGCGTTGGGTATTTTCTCAGCCTCATGTGGCTCCTTGAGCTTTCAATCATAATCACCAAAGTCGCTGGGTATGCTGGTACAGTAGCGGAAATTCAGATGGGGGGCAAAGCTTGCAAATTTCCGACAAACTTGTTTTGATTTCTGATAAGAGGCGGATTAAATGAGGGGAGAGGCTTTTTCTTTGCCGTTTAGCTTTTTTGCCACCAAATACCATGCCCGAATTTATCTTAAGTAGCTTTGTTCAGGAAGCCTTGTTGAAAAAAAAGCGAAAGTACCTAGCATTTTAAAGTACAACCAAGGAGCAAGTTGCCAAAAAAAACTTTTAACAATTATAATCTATCAAAAATCCCATCATTTTACATATAATTTGACAAATTGAAGCCTATTCTAACACAAAGAACGGTACCATTAACTACCTCCACCTAATGTTTATGGTTTGTGTTATTTGAAACAGTCCCTAAAAACGTCACTTGTAACGAAATAAAGGCTTTGCATAATTTTACAACAAGATATATATTTTAAAATAAACATTGAAAAGAAAGAAAGAATCAAATAAATTTAGAGCATTGTAGAGGATGCTATTTAACTATAGCAAAGGCGAGAGTAGCCAATTTATTGAGACAAAGTATTAAAAAAGGAGGAAGTCTATGAAGGCTTACTATAGATCGAAGGTCTGATTTGAGGAGGGTCACAGTAATAGACAGTAGCTTTTATTCAATAATTTTTCGTGAATTGTAACCAATTAGATTAATGAGGTTTATAAAATATCTCCTCTTCAGGGCTTCCGATAAGTTTTTATATATAATAGTAAGTAATAATCATAAATGTATGTATTAATAGTAGTTCATACCTGATGTTGATTAGTTGGGTCAGCTCCACTTGTTGGTCGTAACAATAATGGTGGTGGTTGTGCTGGCATAGCTGAGCGATGGAAATGATGACGATGATGATCACCAGTTGTACTGTGACAGCATCGGGAGTGATCAGAGCAACATTCATGGTCTCCATTGGAATGACTGCATGAATGTTTGGTACATGTGTGACCAAATGAATGGTGGTTATCATGATGGTTACCATCTCTGTGCTCCCTACATACAGAGTAATAGGTTGAAGTTCTAAGAGCTACACAGCACCTATTAGCTTTCGTGCTTAAACATGCCAAAAGGAAGGACATTTGAACTTGTTGTGGTCAACAGGTCAAATTTGTTCACTTGTGGATTATATGCAGTATGCTTTTTTAAAATGCACAACTGACCTGTCTCCCTGATCCTTTTTAAAATGTGGAGACCGACGATGACTGTGGGCATTTTCATTGTGACCACACCCACAGGTTGATGGTTGCATAAGGGCCAAAGAGCTCTCAGATGTTGAAGGATTATTCAAGGTTGTTGTTTTATCATAGTCAACATGTAGGACATGTCGAGCATCAGGTACCTCACCACCACAATGGTTGCATTCCGGCTTTGCTGTGCGGGTATAATCACGGTCACCTGGAGCGATAGTGACAATCATAGGAATAGGACTTCGATTGATCTTTCTATCACTTGTCATCTAAAACATTTCAACAATTAAGATATATCTATTACCTAGCTCCAACAAAGCTTAACAGAGCTCATATACAGACAGGACTTGAGCATTCCATAAAGGTTCTTTTCGCATAAAGTAGTTGAAATACTCAAATTAGTATTCTTATCTGTGGTATAAAATGTGTGCATATGAATGTAACAGTTTAACCAGTGTTGAATTGGCAGTAGTGTAGCCAGCCTGTCGACTTGTCCCGCTATGCTTATATTTTAGTGTTCACTGACTGAGAAAACAATAGATTTCAAAAAACACAAATAATTATAATAACTCGAAATTTACATAGCTGGGAAAATCGTCAGGCTGGCTACGCCACTGTGAATTGGTAACTAAATTCTAATTTCAGATTGTTTTTGATAGCTTAATGTAAAAATATATTTACTATTTACTACATATTTTACACCAAAAAGGTGGTATTAGGCATGAAATGGAAATGATATAATTTATCAGATGTGGTATAGCAAACTAATGGTAAACCTGGATTTCTAGCAAAAAACATTGGTTAACTGTTACCATAGAAGAAGAAGCTATGAATATTTTTCAATGACTGTCTTTTACTATAGTTATAATGGGTGTGTTGGTATAAATATTGTGTATCACTTCATTACTTAATGTTGATCAAGACCTTTGCATAAACATTTCACAACCTCCTGTTCAGTGTTTAATTACTGGCATGCATGTTTCTAATTGGCTAATCAGCCACTGTGACATAAAGTTATTGACTATTAACTCACATAAACAGTAACAATTTTCCATGGAACAAGTGGACAAATTTGTATATATAATTGATATTATATTTTATCAACACATCCATTGAAATAACAGTAACAACTAACAAGGCCAAACTGTTATATAATATATATCATAAACAATTACTAGACCTTGTGGAAAATCAACGCTGAATAATACAACTTCATGTAAAAATAAAAACTGAACTTTTGAAGTGATTTAGTACTTAAGCGTCATCAAAATAACGACTAAAAATGCCACCAATCTCTAGTATAACAAGTCATATTTTACACTCGTCAATATGGCATTCATGCGATACGTCATTCTCAAAAATTAACTCATTGTAATTTGACCTTGCTGTGCAGATTAAATCGTTTCGAATGTTTTTGCCTGGAACGTTTTGGTTTCTGTCAAAAATTCACCTGTTTTAATAAGACTAACCTTTTTGCTTTTCGGGCCTTTCATTCTTTAATAGATGCCATTATCCACGACAGGAGAGAATCAAAAGAAAAGCTGACTTCTTTGTACCATGTAATAACTTCCTCTCTCGAAACCCAACTCTGCTTTGAGCGACCGAAATGCCGGTTTTCTAAAAATTAAAATGTACATTTAGCAGTACGAAATTAAGAACATTACGAACTTGAAGGTACTTAAAACTTATTTACGATATTTGGCAGATCTACTGAAGATTGACAGTTAAATTTTAAATCACTTGTTAACTTTTGGCAGGAAAACAATGCTATAAAGTTTATGCAAATTTTGTAACTTTATATATTATTCGGCGGTAAATAAGCATTGTAATCACAAAAGTTCCTTTTATTTACTTCGGTAACTATCCTAGCGCTGTCTTTTCAGACCAAACAAAGAAAAAAAGTCTAAATTTCAGTCATATCAATCTCGAAATGCTAAAGTCCACCAAAGAATACGAAACAATTTTGAGACAAAATCTAAACAAGAAGCATTAGTTCTCAAAATAAACTGTATCAAGCTACATACAGTAAATATAAACTTGCACATTCCGAGCGCCTAACTGGCAATCCTTTACGAATAAACAACTTTATTACAACGTATTCCTTCTATAATTTCCTGCTAAAGGCTTAAACATGGACGCAAGACGATTCGGTATACACTTGAACCGAAAGCAGCTGCTATATTTCACAAATAACAACAAGTAAACATCGCGCAATTTCGCGTCGAATTTTAGTATTTGAGAGCTACATTTCAACCTCAATCACTACTCATATATATTACTTTAATACATTACCAGTTAACCCATAAAACTCTAGAAGAACAAGCGAAATGAAGGTTTAAGATAAGCCACTAAACAATATTAAAACAACAACTTACGCGCCGTTGGCTATCAACTAGGTAATTAATAATTCTCTTCAATACATCAGAATACAAGTGCAAATGCGTTTGATAGAACGGCCTATAACTTTAGCCTTGTTGTGCCAAAAATGTTTCTCGGATGTTCTGTATACAAGACCAACGTGTTACTCAAGTATTAGTGAGTATTTTGTCACGACGTTGCAGGAAACATTGTTGTTTCTCTAAGACTATAACCACCCACGGGCAATCGCCTCGTCTACATAAGTGTCTTGACGTCAGTGTCTCATTTACATTTGAGTCACGGGTAAATAACAACAAAAATAAACAAATCCAAGGAGATTATTAACAACATCTGGTGTGGATTTATGTATTTGATATTGAGAAATGCATCCCTAATATTTGTTAAAATAATGCGTTAACTGGCGTTGCAACATTTCCTCAAAGAGGTTCACTTGACAGTTGTGAATTTTCTAAGAAATTATAGGAATTCCGCCTTCAACGATGTCCACGCTCCCGCCAAAGTATTTTGGCACTGTTTGGATATGCTATACGTTGACAGGCGCATGAAGGACACGACACAAAAGAACTGAATAATTACTGGCTGGAAGGATTATTTTCATTATTGCCCAATGTTTTGTTTAGGAGTCTGTGTAAACAATCGCACATGCGTCTCAACAGAGTGTGAACAGAACTAGTGGATAGTGGATAGAGGATAAATAGTCGTGTGTCGAGGTCTCGACTCTCGAGGATAAAGTGTTTATTTTTAAAGACTCTCACACGGATACTTCGTGGGAGTAGTATCAGAGAGTCATTGCTAACGGTCTCGCATTCTTTAGTGCCATTAACTCGACCAACCTGCTTTGCTTTGCGCGCTTAGTATTAGAAACTTGTTTATCTGGTTAGTCTACTAGCCAACAATTAATCGGCTATTCGTGCATCCGTGAGTCGTCTCATTGAGACCTTTGATTTATAACAATTGCCCGAATCAAAAAAGCTAAAAACAAGTGAAATATGGGGAAAAGAGGGAATTTAATGAAGTCTGTTTTATTAATTCTATTTTATATTTGGATGTAGGTAATTGGGGCCAAAATACACATGTGTGTGAATCAGTGTGCCCGTACGTATCGTCAGGGCCTTTTTTAAGAAATTTCGAGTGGGTGGGCCATTGGCAAAAAAGGGCTTCCCCACTAGCGGATAGAAGCAGGAATGTCGATCATGGCCGAAAGCTAGGGGGCACCCGGGAGATTTTTGAAATCAGTATGGTCAAGAAACGCCGTTTCCTATATTCTGAGCCTTCAAATTTATTCTAAAAACTGTATTTGTATCTCAGATAAAAATATGGAAAACGCACAAAAAATACAAAGTTAACTTACGTCTTACCAAAAGTAATATCAAAGGTACAACATGTGTGTCAATATCAACAGGGAGTAATGGAGTGTATATTTGACAGTTTAGTGTATTTTCCAGTCTGAAGAATATTTTCTTTAAACTGGATAATCTCTGTACACTCAAATATCCATGTATATTTGTAAAGGTAAAGATGCATTTGAAATATTGTACATTACAACAGAAAAATGATTGATCATTGATGAATCTATTTGTCTATTTAAGCCGTTTTTTTGCTCCAGCGTCTCGACAAATAACATTCGTCGAGTTACATTCGACAAAGGTTGGGTTACAGAATACAAGAGTGCTAATAGTAATACACTGTCGCAGAGCTAAATTATTCAATTTTCTTCATTTTTTGTTAATATCTTTTAAAAAGGGGACTTTCACTGGGGGGGCCAAAATAGTGAACTGGGGGGCCAACATGGGGGGTGGGGGGGCCTTGGCCCCCCCAGTATATATGTTAAAAAAGGCCCTGCGTATCGTATTGATGTGGGCTCGTGAGCGAGGACATTGATAATAAATACGTCTGTGGCATGGAGCAGACTGGCTCTTGTGTGATTGTATTATTTGTATATAATTTATGCTCTTGTTGGGTTTTACAAAAAATCTGTGTAAAAGGCCAACGGCGAGACATCTTGTGAAAAAGTATGAAGGTCAGAGCGTCTGAAGAAGCTTTTTAAAAGCTTGATTGAAAAGGGGGCAAGGAGTTGTCCGTGGAAATGATGTGGAATTCCGCTTAATATGTACAATAGCATGATGGAAGAAATTCAAAGAAAAGGAAAGACTAAATATGTTCGTTAAAAGTTGGACGAACAGGCATACCTCAATATTTTCAAATTTCAAACCAAAACTGTACCTAGTTCAAAGGTATCTGTCAATAATTGTTTGGTAATCGGATTTTTATAATCTATAAACACCATTCCCACGATATCTCATCCACGACTCTCCACCCTCGAGTTTTGGCTATTTCGCAAACAAACCTGCTATTGTAAACATGCCAGAAAGGGTTGAGAAGCGGAGGATTTATGGCTTTACATTTAAATCTTTTACCCATTATATCTTCATTTGTTAAAATTTCAATCTTTGACAGCCATAAAAGTCGATAATCTTGTTAAATTTATGTTATTTACGATCCTTTACATTGTCACCAAGGTCAAGAAAGTTCTTTTTCAAGCGGAAATTAAAAGCCACTGAATGCATCACTTGTTTACTTTAGAAAACGACCCAGCGAATATTTCGCAATATTGCAAATAAATGATTCGAATGTTGCTTAGCGATGCAGGAAGAATAACGTGTATGTTTACATGAATACACTTTGACCTTTATTGCCTTGGCCAATTTAGATTTCCGGAATTTTGGGCCATTTTTCACTACTTTGTAAAAAAAAATATTGTTTACAGCCTAGGAAACACACATTAATCTCAGTTATCAAGGCAAAAAAACTACGGCAGAACAATACCTATTAATGTTTTGTTTATGTAGTTGAGTCAACCTGAACGATAGGTAAATACTCGAATTTATTGATGAAAACCCTACCAAAACACTTCTCTTATCTAAAACGTCTTGCCTAATAACTAGGGTCTTTTCCTGATAAAAATACGAAAATGCAGCTGTTCAAGCCTATTTGCCGGTCGGTGTGCATGTAAACTAAAGACGGCTAGGAAATCTAACTGGGTGATAAATTTAAGTTGTTACGCGTCCAGTATTGTAAATAATTGATTTTCAGTTTTTGATCAACCATATGAGTGATATGACCTCAATTTCCCCCATTATATTCCTCGTAAACACGTCGGGGTTAATTGGTTGATATCAATCTGAAACCCAGCAATCTCCATTCTCGTACCCAGAGCCCGGCCCTTCTTACTGAAGAGCAATCCCTGAAGCACAGAGGAATGATGACTAATGTCCGCCTGACGAGTGACGAAGCGAGGCTAGAGGTGGCTTCAGGGTTAATATTTAAAATCAGGGGGCGGTTATATAGAATCGTAAATTTTACTGTCAACTACAATTCAGTAGTTTTTTCGACCAGCCACTGCCACATTTTGAGCTAAACGTTTTCTATGTAGTCTCCTGACTCTCCTCCCCTTCAGTACTCCTAAGAAATTGTTACTAGACATTGCTTTTCACTATTCTTTAAATTATCAACTCAAATTATTGTGTTTTGAAAATTAAACTAGAATTTTACCTAAATAACCATCCATATGTTCATTTACCCAGCCTGTTCCTTGCTAATATTTTTTTCTACCCAACTCTTTTCATTTTAAATCATGACCGGTACGGCGGCACCCGTATATAACATCAGAAACGACATTTTTGGCCATTTCAGGGAGCCTCGTTTTTAATCGGAAAGACACAAGGAAATCCGCACACGACTCATAAGGGTGAGGCTCACCACAAGTTGGATGCACCCTTAATTTTAAGTACAATCTTGGGACACAACCTGTTGAGACTACACTGTTAATTCAAAAGAGTCATTTTGACTCCTTCAAAGGAGTCGTTTTCTTGACCCCAGGACGACTCCTTGAAGAGAGTCATTTTGACTCATTTTGGGTTGACACCTGTAAAGAGTCATTTTAACCCTTTAACTAGAGTCATTTTGACTACCCATGGAGTCGTTTCAAAATGACTCTTGCAACAGTTAAAATGCAAATTAACTCCTCAAAAGTGTCGTTTTAAAAGAGTCATTTTGATTTTTGACTCTCCTTTGGCATCAATTTTACTCTTATTTGGAGTCATTTCGACTCCTTTTTGTCATCGATTTTACTCTTCTTTGGGCATTACGACTATCTGTATCATATTACTCTTATTTGGAGTCATTCGACTCTTCTTTAGCATCGATTTTACTCTTATTTGGGGTCATTACGACTATTCTGTGGCATCAATATTACTCTTATTTGGAGTCATTCGACTCTTCTTTAGCATCGATTTTACTCTCATTTGGAGTCATTTCAACTCTTCCTTGGCATCAATGTACTGTTATTTGGGGTCATTTGAACTCTTCTTTAGCATCGTTTTTGCTCTTATTTGGAGTCATTTCCACTCCTCTTTGACATCGATTTTACTCTTATTTGAGGTCATTACGACTATTCTGTGGCATCAATTTTACTATAGTACTGTACACCAATATTAGTTTCATGAAGCTTGCATATAATACAAAAGCAGAGTTTGGGTATATGCAGTGAGTATTACAGCATACCATACATGCATCCCGCAAATATGTTTCTTTGAAGAGAAATTATATATAATAAATATCTATATATAAGCATGCAGGCTTTAAAATATCGGCCAACAGGCCATCTGTCAAATGTCCGGTGTCTTTAAAAAATGGGTTGGGTATACATTTTTTAAAATTAAAATATGGTAAATGGCCATATGTTAGCAGCAACTAATTAAGTAATGGTTTAAAATCGAATTTTCAAACGATTAAAACAGTACAAAACTTCAGAGACAAAGAAAAAGCCTCAAATGTTATTTTATTCTGTAATTATAGTCGACGGCTAAACGTTTTATACTTCATAGTGTGTATTTTTATATCAAAATTCAAATTACACTTTCAAAAACACTTTTTGAAGTTATAGCAAAGGTGTAATAGCCTTTTGCAGGTTTATCCGTTTGCATAAAAAGCTGAAAATTAAACAAATAAACGGCATACAAAGCTGAAAATTATACAATACAGCTCATCCTTATTGCGAAGCAAATACGAAAGAAACAAAGTAAACACGCACCCTTTGAAAACACTTATAATTAAGCTTGCATGCAGATTATGAATTTCTCTTACACGGCTTTCGGTCTTGATTGTATCCCTGTTCATCTTTGGTATCTGTCATGCTTCATATATCTTGTTTCTTCCCGTTTTACTTTGCACAAAGTTTATGAAACGCTTTTACAAAAAGGTTTACGAAATGACAGTTAAATTGCTGACGTTCTCATTGAAATTCAAACTTTCTGTCTTAGCCAATCAGAACGTTTGTTGATTATTTGTCATTTTTGATATCAGCATATACTTACCAGCATGAGTCAGAACTATTAAAATGGATTTATGTATAATATATTTTTATGTGTGCATATCCTGTTCCAGCTGACATTTTCAAGAGATATAAAACCTATATACATGCAGCGTAATATATTTTTTTATATTTATTTTATTTTATAAATTTGCCATGTTAAAAAGTTAGAATGAACTACACATAAACTACAAATGAACTACACACATGCAGTGGCTGGAATCACCACACAGAGATATGTCTTCCACAACAAATAGACAGACACAAACATACACATATAAGCAACTTAACAAATTTATAAGACTTTCTCGATACATGAAGAAACGATAACAACTAATATCAAGTTATTTGTGTCATAATAATTGAGTAGAATGTGTTGACTGGTTATTTGCTTCAAATACAAAGGATTTGTAATACATGTAACATGCCTAATGACTTCAATTTAATATTTTAAACATGCAAATTATTTGTTTTGTATATAAGTGGCTGTTATAAAAGCCAGAATGACTCTAAGAAAGAGTTCCACCACTCCAACAAAGAGTCATATGGCTCCAAAAACGAGTCACATGACTCCATGTGAACTCTACTTAAGAGTCTATTGACTCTTGCGAGAGTCTTGTGACCCTTCAAAGGAACTAAACGAGTCCTCCGAATTGTCATTTTAACCCAATGTCGGAGTTAAAACGACTATTAGAGTCGAAACGACACATTAGAGGAGTAAAAATGACCTTTTGAATAAAGGTGTTGAAATGACTCGCCCTGGTCAAAACGACTCTTTTGAATTTACAGTGTATGCCAAAGACTAATTAATCACCAAATATTTTAATACGAGTGTCGTATATCTTCAAATGAACTCATTTATTTCCTGCCAGTTGGATATCAACGAACTCATGCAAAGCTCAAGGCGAAACAAAATTGATTTGGGTGGAGCGGGGGACGGAGATCAGTGGGACGGATATATACAGTGAACTGTAATAAAACCTGTAACGCTAAATTGGCCGCCATCTTTGAAGCCAAATTTGATGGTAGTTTTTTTTTAGTTTTTGAGACAGACAGATTGTTGAAGTAAATTTTACTCATTTCAATTTTGTCCTGTTTTCATCCCCTGCCACAATCTTGTAACCATAAATAAACCATTGTCTGTAATACGTGTTGTCCGGTAAAATCTATTAAACTAAATTAAACTATAGGATTAATTTGTTCAAAAATGACGTGCGCCATACATCATACATGTAGCCTCAGAGGCTCAGACTAAATTCTAGTATACTCTCTTCCGACTCTTCGCTTATGCGCTTTTGCTTAAAGAGACGTCAAAAGAATAATCAATAAATGACACTGAACATAAGAAACATATGCACGGACTAGGCGTGGATGGACATTATCCATCCAGCAGCATCTTACTTTTCTTCGAATGAGTGGTTGACGAAGTTGACTTGCTAAGCTGGAACGTTCCAAAAAAAAAATTTTTTTAATTTCTGACGAGAACACTAATAAGTCACTCTTAAAACTTAGCTTGATAATCAGTTAGACATGCGTGAAACAAGTCGTCGAATCTTTTCCTGAATGCGTCACAGCATAATCAGTAGATTATAGGAAGACTTTTCGGCCAAGGAGTATCCTGTAGTATTTACATTTTACTACTAATCACGATTGTGCTAGAGTGATCTACCTCAACCAAATTTGTCTACTTGACTGACAAATAGAAGAGACATCGATTCATGGCAGTAGGAACTACGAGGGCAGGGGCGGGCTTACTCCCCCCTAAACTTGCAGAGGGCTAAATCCCTTAAAATTCTTAGTTCGTACCCGTCACCCTGCCTGTGCGGATGGCTCATGGTCTGGCACGCGCAGTGATAGCGTGCAGTGCTGTTATTTTCTTAATTAATATTTCTTCAAACTGCGTCAGAGGAATAATCGAGTTAAATTTAGACATTTTCGCGACCTTTATGGCCTGGTAATTGTTTCACACCAACACAAAACTGACGCACTTTTAAGCACAAATGTAAAACTACGCAGTAACATGAATTTAAGTGTCATGCAATGAATGATGAAATATTTCATCGTTTCTTATCCTTGACTTCATAGAACTACTTGATCTTCTTGGGTTGATAGCATCACATCTTTTTCACCTCATCCAGTTATTGGCAAGATGTTGGCAAGATTATATCAATTAGTAAAAAAATTAACCTTTATTGACTCCAACTAACAATGCTCTAGCTAGAAAATTCCTACGTTAAGACTCTTTGTGAGTCTTCTGCTTTTTATCAGTTTCCGGAGACAGTTTCCTCCTGACGCATTTAGAAACAGTTTGAACCGGTGTAATTATACTGGATGAGCTATATTTTACGTGTGCCTCTATATGCTTACACGCCTGGAAGTCTAGACTATATTACATGCTTTTCCGCTTGCTGCTTCTGCCAACGTTCGGTCAAACACATTAACACAAGTAACCCTTTTCATCTTCTTAAAACGTTTCTTAAATATGGTTAAATGCACATCAAGTAATAGCCCGTTTAACTAACAGAATTAAAGCTTACATATAATATCATTGGTAAATTTTGAACTGTGCAGTCTGTGCTTCAGTAGCCCTTAATTTTGAATGAAAATTGAATAGAAATTTAAATGAAACATCGCCGGCACGAAACGAGAAGGCCATGCGATTCGAACAGTTACTATGAAAGCTAAATGATTCAGGATTCAGTACCCCTGTTTTAGGGAAAGCGCATTATTCAATGGCAACAGCCTAGTCCCTAGGCTTCTTGCGCATGTTTTAAAAATCTTTGACGTCACCGAATGAAACACGTGCGAGAGGCCTAGCACAAAATGTTTTCTAATGTGATAACGACCCATTTAATGTTGTGAACTTTTATTAAGAAATCAGAATTGTTACTACAAAGTAAATGTTTGCAATTTACTACAATAACCGTTATAAAGGAAGCGAGAATAATTGGCCCCACTTTAGCCAAAATACAAAACATTTTGTTCTAGGCCTCTCAGTTTCTGTCTCCCCCCGTGTTAAGGTCTAGGGACTAGACTGCAATGGCAAGGGGGGCGGGGGGTGTTGGGAGCTAAAAAGAAAATGTTTTGAAATAAGAGAATATTTGCAAGTTTTTCACCAGACGATTACGCTACTCTTCGAAACTCGTTGGTCGCACCCTTTCAAAACCCTTTATAACGACCAGGCAGGAAATTGCACTTTTCAAAAGGCCACTTTTTCACTTTACCCAGTACGTCAGTGCTACTTCCCTCGTTTCTACTTCCTAGTATATCAGATCAATAAACTCCCGGTGTAATTTTTTGGTGCGATTGTGTAAAAAGGTGACTAACTTTAAGAATCAAGGTGGCTAACTTTAAGAATCAAGGTGGCTAACTTTAAGATCCTTGAAGATCAGCCATTGAATCGGAATGTAGCTTTTTCTTTGCTCAGCTGAACAAGATAATCTGTTGTTTATTTGCTATGTGCCCATTAAAAAACATTTTCTAATTTCTAGCCAGACTTCATTAACATAATAAACTCCACCATATCAGGATGAGGGCTTGTATCAGTTGTGTGAAGAGAATGTCTCGAATGGCATAAATACTTCACACTCCCTCCCTTTGGGAATCCATTCAACAATATTAACCACAATTGTCTACATTGTGTAACGCTAAGAAATTCATATATATCCAGTCTCGCAGTGTATAGTATGTAGAATCGATGTAAAAAGGATGAACTTCATTCATTGGCATTTTACTTATCTTCATGCACATACTCAGTTTACAAAAAATTCTACTTTACAACATAAATTATGTATATTATTACCACAATTATTCACAAACATGCATGCAATAATTTTATAAAACAAAACTAAATTTTAATGTGAATGTATACTGTATACTGCCAAATAGATAATATAATGTTTGAAAAGAGTATAAGATCTCTAAAGCTTGCGCTGTGGTGTAGGTAACACATATGGTTTCACATTCTCTAGTTTGAAATTCTGTTTATCTCATTTACAACAGTGCAATGTTTTAAAGTGCATAATTAAAGTGTGATAAATGAATGCTATATTAAATCTTATATAAACTACAAATTTAGTAGCTGACTGTTTAGTGTTTATATTTAACCGCACAGTGCATGAGAGTTAGAATTGACAGTCCTTTGCGGCCAATTGAATCAAAGTATTCACACAGGCTCATCTGAATCGAAGTATTCATTACTTTGTCCATCATGTTCCGTTTGTATATGTTGTTTAAGATCACATCTTCTCGAAAACGCTGTCTTACAATAACGACAACGATACGGCGTGTTGTCTGTGTGAACATGAAGATGGAATTTCAAGTTGGACAACTTGTTGAAAGCTTTGTTACACAAACGACAGTTGTAGGGTTTTTCTCCAGTATGTATCAAGAAGTGGTTTCGAAGATTACCTTTTTGATGAAATCCCTTTCCACAGACATCACAAACGAATTCCTTCTTTTCGCTATGGGTACGAATATGTGTCTTCAAGGTCGAGCTACGATTGAACGCTTTTTGACAAATATGGCATTTATGAGGCTTATCGCTTGTGTGGATGATTTTATGTCGACAAAGTGTACTCGAGAGTCGAAATCCTTTACCGCAGATATTACAAACAAACGGACGTGCTCCTGTATGACTGGGCATTTTGAGATGAATTGTCAAAGTGTATTTTGTTTTAAATGTTTTTCCACATTGCTCGCATCGGTAAATTGGTTTCATTCCAGGTTCAGTTGCTGAAATTTCCGCTTTCGAGTCCGCTTCCCTTGGTCCACGTATCTCAGTGTTTAGTTTAGATTTGGCTGATGAGAGCTCTTCAACTTTGTCTGATGTGGAAATAAAAAGCTCTGATTTCAGCGCATCTTTGTTTGTTGTGATCATGTCACCATCAATGTAGCTTTGATACTTATAAGGACCCTTTTCATCCATTTTTTTCTCCATGTCTGACCAGAAAAGGGTCTTTCCTTCATAATGACTTTTGAATGCAACTTTTTTTGTTTCTTCTGCAGGGAAAATTCCTTTCTTGTGTCCTGAACGAGAAAAATCTTTGTTATCACAAAATGTGGACAAACACTAGTGTCAGCTGTCCACTGGTTGGTTGCACCGCTCTTAAACAGTTACTCTTCGTTAAAATAGCATAATTTTTTTATAAAAATGCGGCTAATTCCTTCATTCTTTAATTTGAAAAAAATTGCTCACAGCGCATGCTCAACACAAGAACGTGGCCAACAATATACGGTTGCACAAGGAAACGCTTAAAACAAAAGAAAAGGTAACTTGGAAGAAAAGCATTTATAAATCAAAAGAACAAATCTTTCCATTCGCAATTCACAGGTTCATTAATTAGTCATGCATGCATGTGAATACAGTCTAGTACGCGTATACTGTGTTAGTTAATTAGAAAACATTTCCAAATTTAAACATTTCAACGATCGTGTACGAACGTGCCATTTGATAAAGAAGATAAATGCATGCACTGCAACAAGTTGTCTAAACGACATAAAAGAGTTTGGAACCCAGAAGACGGGGGACATAAACTAAAAAAAGCGACACCAATTAGGCAAGTCTGAGGGAAGAGCTGTGAGAGAGAACATTACAATATACCGTCAGATATGTATGTTCTATACGGCACAAAAAATTGTCATCAACCGACAAGCAATGGAACAATGTAAAACTACACACAATGTCTAGAAATTATTTCTCACACAAGAAGCAAGCTAAGGTGAAGAGTAGTATAGGCTCTTACTTTGCATCTTGACGACATTTCCGCTACCTTCCCAGTTTCGTCGAAGTAAAAACGATCTTGGCATGCTGAGATTTGCCCAAACTAAATTATCAATCAGCACAGCAATCCGGGACAGTTTTCGTTGAAGAAATTCCACGGTATTCTTAATAAAACGAGCCAATTGGGAACAACTGCACTCTTGAGTCTGTCAACCAGCTAGTTTCCTCAGCAAGTGTGTTGTGCCCTTGCCTGCCCACTCGTTAAAATGCGTTCGGGGAACCGCGAATTGAGCATATGAAGCATTTGGGTCAATTTAAGTGTACCGCAAGGAGTATAGAGGTTACAAAACAATGCCAAGGTTGGCCAATCAAATTCCTTGTTTTAGTAAACACGGGGAAAGGAATAGCTTTTTATGGTCCGTGGCCAACTGGTATGCAACTGGTGCTCGGGGAGATCACCTGTCCCTACACAAACCTAATTCTTTACTTCAACTTTGCAGTAATTTGAATATGACAAGCACTTTCGGACTGCTAATTCAAATGTCACGAATTGAAGCTTTAATTACATAAAGTCTAAAATAGTCAGTTGTAAATGTTTTTCAGTTGAAGACTTGTATTCCATTTTGGCAAATTATATCATTTAACACGTTGTTCAAAGTGTATAGATAAAATAGAGAATCCTATTTTACCGAACTTATACAAACGTTTTTTATATATACTTAATTACTAATATTATGTATAATAACATATATAAACATATATCGATCTGCAAGCTTTGGGGGAGAAATTACGTGAAAGAAAATCGTTTTTCTTTTATGCACTCTGATTTAATCCACATTGTAACTTAAATTGAATACTCACGGTATTTAGTTTTTTTTGAATTAAACTAAAGTAACTTTTATCTTTCAATTTGTATCTTTCTACAAAAATCTTTAGACTAAATGGCTTTGAATATAAGTTCTTATCTATCGCATAATTTGACGCCAAGTGTACGGCGACATTGTCATTGGGCCAAAATATTAAAATTTCAAGCCGGCCGATTTAAATCAGTGAAAATACGAAATTGAATCGAAAATCTCCAACAACAAGACTGATGCGAATTTAATCCTCCGAAAAACCATGATAAAACAACTGTGGATTTGTGTGTTGTGCCTTTTTTATATTCAAAATCAAAACAACAAGCGGTGCATATAAAAACATGAATAAATTGTGGTCAGCCACGCATGCTGCTTTATAAATGCATGAATATCCTATGGCTATGGCCCGTCACATGTTAGGCATATGCATGCATGCAATGCTTTTTGTCAGTAAAGTTTGAATATAATCTTACCGCGTTCCTTCACTTACAGACTATTTTCAATATCTAACGACAAATGAGAATTTGCTTAAGCAAACATTCCTGATATATTTTCACATTTATGTGACATAAAAATTTAAAATTCGGTTGCCCGTTTTCTTTCATCATTAAAAGCACATTAAAGATTAATTGTTTAAAAAACATCAAGCGACTAGTAGCAACCGCAAGCGTGTTGTTCATATAAACGGAAGATATAAATAAATGCAAACTTAAACAATTTTGAAGCATAAACTAGGCTAATCCACCACAAACTTTGCCATAGTTTTGTTTTACTATGTTTTGGTAAACTAACTTCGTGTCTCTAGAATCGTCCCTCGATCTACTTTCACATCATTATGCCTTAAATCTTTCAAGATTATTTCTCTTCAATATGGCCGACTAAGCTGCTTACATACATACATGCAGCTTGCCTGTTGACCGCAAAATAAGGTTCAATACGTTTATATTTTGCAATTATATCGATATTGAATTTTTCACGTTTGACAAAAGCATTGTTTTAGTGAACGTAATTACACTAAAATCAGCTGTAAACGAATGTCATTGACATTGAAGGGTAATTAATCTTGTTCTTTGTTAGTTTCTCACTGAGCCAGATCGACAAAATAATCAGTAAAACCAAAGGTTTAGCGGGAAAGACATCCATGCATGGACATTTTGTAGTTTGCTTTCGTTGAATGTTATTTAAATTGAAACCACAAAATGGTTGCGGCATATGGCTTCACCGAATGCATCTTAACTAAGACTTTAGTAACTGATAAGTATCGAAACTGAAACATATGAGTCAGTTTAAATCGTTTTTTACGAATTTCTTTTGCCTATTACTCAGCAGTACTCACGACTCGTAAATATTAATCATCGTAATGCGACAATGCAAAAAATAGTTTAATCACGAGTGATTATAATCAATCAAATCATAAGACGTCTTGCATGCATGTAAATGCATGTGAGTTTTGACGCAGGAATTATTATTAACTTTAATGCGTGTTTTGTTCGTGGCGGCTCATGACCTGGCCGCATGCGGGCTCTCGTGTCATTAAATGAAAATTGACATTCTGAGAGAATGACTTTAGTACGGTTGGCAACACAATCGCCATAGCTGCATACCCTGCATGGGCCTCTAGATTCCTGCCTCGACAATCAACGAGTCCGCCTTGTTTTCTATAGTCGTTCCGAGACATTCATTTATAGAAACTCTAAATTCCTGTTTCTCATGTTACACAAAGAAGGAAGTTTTCTGTTTTCGCTGTTTCGACGCAAAACCGAGGCAAGCTGTAAATTAAGCTAGGCCTATGGGTTGAGTCACTCTGGTTAGACGAAGCTTTTTCATATATATTTAACTTTTAATTACTAACTCTCCTTGTGTCAGGAGCTTGATGAACAGATTTGATTAATAATGATTATAGACAATATCTGAAGAAACTGCCGTAAACGAGATTATATATAGCCAATACAAAAAATCCCTATTCATAATATGCCTATATAAATATAAATATTACTACCTACTCAGGAAGGGAAAGCCGTCTGATCATCAAGTTGAATGGATTATGAAGTTGAAGTATTCTGATCATCAAGTTGCATGGGATATATTTTTTTGGTATTTTTTGGATTAGAACTACACTATGTGAAATTTTTGCAAAAGAGGATTATTTTCTTCACCTTTTTTCGGTATATATATGATTAACGCATGCCAAAGGCAAGGTCGCGTTCGCACGCAAGTTCAGCCACATTTATTTCCGTAAATCAAACAGATCTGATGAGATATATCATATATCACGGGACTAATCTGTAGGAGTTGCGTATATATTAAAAAAATCAAAGTATCCCGATTCATTATGCTGCATGGTGAATTCGGAGATTTTTGCACCTCATGTTAAACCTACAATTGATTTTAAACTTTTCGGCGACTGCACGGCTTATATTCGTTTTAGGAATGAGAGCTATCACCATAACTGGAACGTTAAACGTTACACATTTCATTGATCAGCGAGAGATAACCTCCTGACAGTCAGTGAGTGGTTTTTCAAAGGATACACAGAACAAAGACCACAATGTCATTTCAATAACGATAAACGATAAAATAATTGTTGCCCTTTGAACAGCTTGCGCTCATGGAGTCAATCGTCAGAGTCTCAGTCCGTATATCTGCATGATAAATGTTTATAACCATTTTGGGTCATAACATGAAATCGGATCAAAATTAACAAAATTTTCAATTTAGGGCAGGTTGCATTCCGTTAAAATTCCATAGCGGTTAAAGTCTCCGCTGCAAACTATCTTGAACAACGTAATTAGCTTATATTGCAACATGTGGGGCCAGCCGCGATAGCGACGAAATTGTAAATTTCTATAAATTTCAGTTATATTTGTAACTTGAAACAAAGGTTTTAAGTTTTCCCTGTCTGTTTTAACAAGTTGACGTTTCATGTTATTTCTAAATAAACGTCCCGGAGAGCATTCGAACGTACCAAAATGATTCATTCTTGATCCTGTTTAATTAAATCATAATTCGCAATATCAGCGAGTGAAAGACCTCACCCGTAATTACATAAGGCGCGAGATGATTTAGGATAACGATAATATCTCGCATCTCATGTTCAACACTAGTATGAATGAGCGATATTCAACTCTGTGGCATGCAAACGCTCACTCACTTATTTCCATGTACATTGATTGAAACTTGTTTGTGCCTTGCCCGTTTTAAAATTGCAAACACAAATAACACAACAATTTTAAGTTCCCTTCGCCCTTCGGGACTTGTCCACTGTCTTGAATTTAATTACCACACGTAACATATGAACGTGGAGATTTAAAACCTTTCAAATTTCTATATGAATTCATAAAACGTTTGTGTAAATACAATTAAATATCATCGATAGAACCAAACCCTACGCTTTTAATTGTATCATTTAATGGTTTGAACTATGACTTCACTTGCTAACACCTATAAAAAAAGCTTTCTCATAAAAAATAATCGTCGCATTATTGGCGGTTGGCCATTGGCAGGCATAGCATTGTAGATGATCTCTAATGAATGTAAATAAGTAAACTTCACCCTAGACTGATGTCATTGGTGGCTTTGTCGGCCAATTTTATTCATGTTTGTCCACTTATGAAGGCCGAATACGGATTGCTAATCTTAGCCGCGCCTTGCCAGTAAATTGAGTTTGTACTTTAATTTAAACGGCGAAAGACAGACGAATCCTTCATCCTTGGTTAGGATGTCATGCAGTGATGAATTTGATGCGATTCTAAAATATAGATTCAAAACTATATTCCGGCGCTTGTTTGCGTACATCAGAAGACGAATATCTCACCGAAAATAGCAGCAAAAATTTCAAGTGTAAACGGGCTTTAATTTAATTTCTATTACTGTATTAATCTATTAGAAGATCTATCATTAACTTTAGATAATGTCGCGGCTATCTCTAATGAAAAAGTCATGTTTTACAATTTGTAAGAAAAAATCCTTTGAAAATTTTCCTGTTGATAAACGGGAAATTAAAACCACAAATCACTAAAAATCAACAACTGAATTAAGTTCAATAATATAATCTTTTCTGGGCAGCGATATGACGGACATTCTAATCAAACTTTTAAATGTAAATTGGCTGTAAATTTCAAGACGCAAGCAGTGACATTCAAGAAATGTATGATTTTAACTCACTGACGGGGTGGGCGTACGTGCAGTTGATATGATGATATAAGAATCAAAAAAGGTCATCATGTTTATAATAAACGCAAATTTAAAAATATAAATCGTTCTCAACTTTCTTGGTTTGCGTCAGTGCTTATATTCAGTAACCTGAAAATTGCTTGCCGGACGGAATCGTCAAGGCTGACGAAAAAAATTAAGTGTAAAATTAAAACACAGTTTGGTCATTATAATCAGTAACCCTACGTGTTACATACAAAATTTTATGGGTGTCAAATGGGTCTGAGCGTCGTAAGGTTCAAGTATATATTACCCATACATGTGTATATAGTACATTTCACAAACTTGTGTAGACAGAAAGTCTGGTTTACGGAAATTCTTGCGGTAATAAGCATGCATGGAGGTTCCATTCAATTATTTAATTTAATTTTCCAGAAGATTCTCCGGACCGGGCTATCTCGCTTATATCTGCAAGAAAATCTGCAAG